TCATACCTTCAGTCATCTGTGTAGCACCCATCACATTAATACACTGAATTTTGGCCTCTGCCATCCTTGGATGATCAGAAGATGTGGCTTCCACCTCCCAGCCTTAGCTTTGCAAGCATATCAAGAACACCTGTGTCCCTGCTTTTGCTCACTTGCTAGAGGAGCTGAAGTCAGGGCAGTGTCTAGCTTGTTCTAGCAGCCAGATTGGCTGTCTCTCAGTGCCTTTCTCTCTGATTGTGAAGGAAGAACTGGAACAGAAAATACCAGCAGAGGTAGCTGAGGTCAGGGGACTCTGTCAGATGGCTTGCCCACCAATGGCAAAACAGTTCTGATTGACAGGCAGATGGAAAGGAGGTGAGAGATAAAGCAGCGTGGAGCAAAAGGTGCCAGTGCTTAAGGGCAGGAGACTGGTCCTGTCGATGATTGGTACAAAGGGATGGGCACATTGGCTTGGTGGTTAGGACTTGAAAATCCACCCTCATTCTGCGTGGTGGTCTGGGGAGAACACTGTGAGGGTAGCAGAAGGACAATGAGTGTTCATCAGTTGTTGGGGGAGAACCTGCTGCAACCATGAGCTTCCTGTTGTGTCTGGAGTAGTGCTGAGTGTAGGAGAGACTTCTAGGAGAAGGACTATGGCAGGCAGGGAAGATAAGGTGCATGTTGTGGCTGACTCCTGACCAGCCTAGGCAGTGGTGCTCCTGTTGCACTTCTACTGAACATGAAAGGCAAGTGGTGGAGTTTATGCCGGAGATGCACAGTCTTAGAGTTGGCACTCTGATTTGCCTCAGTCGAGCTGACTGGTGTGTGCAGACGCACGTCCTACATAGGCTGTTGCACTGGGTGCAGGCAGAGTGCCAGCCAGCTTGCTGTGCCAGTTTGTGAAATACCATTGGCTTTTTCTGGGCCGCGATTCTGTCTCTTGTTGCTTTCTCCTGTCACTCTGTAGTTGAGCGAGTGTAGGATTTCCACTCTGGAACTTTGAGTGGAACTTTGCTCAGTAAACAAGAATAAAAATGGTGGCTTCTCTGGTGTGGTACACATGTTTTTCTTCATCAGACTTAGAAATTGTTCCACGTTTTCTGTACTGAGTTGTGCTCTACCAGAAGTTGCTGGTAGTACCTGGGTCTTCCAGGACCTGCCATAGCAGAGGTGGTCATTGCACTCAGTCTCATTGAAAAAGCCAGGTTTATGCCTTGGAGGAGGGGTCCACACCAGGCACCCACTCACTTGGTCACTGAGGAAGCACTTTGTTGGCTTCTCATGGTTCTTGTGCTTTGAGCTGCGTCTTGAATGGTGCTCTTAAGTGTGAGAGGCCCCCCACTCCCCACCCCTACCCCCTTCCAGTCTTCAGCTCTGCTCCTCTGCACTTTGGCGCCTCTTGCTGTTTCCTTAGTAATAGTACTCAACACGATTGCTCAGCTTTTCACAGATGCCAGCAGAAGTCTTTGTTGCTGATTACTCAGCTGTGACCACTTCCGGGGGCGGGGGTGGGGGTGGGGTGGGGGGTGGGGGTGAGTTTGTGGGCAGACTAAAGGGCCAGGGCCAGGCTGAATTCTGACTCTGAGTCAGCAGCCCAAGTGAGGAATTTCCTGGTGTGCATCCGTCTGCACAGCATCTCCAGAGGTGCTTGTTCATCATTTGGGAGCCCCATAGTGACGCTAAAGCTCCACACACAGCTTTGGTGTTTGTGGAGCGCTCTTGTGCACCTTGTCAAGTGTGCCTTGTCTGCTTTTACACATGAAGGTCTAAGGGCCTGAGAGGTTGCAGCTGTCCAAAGTCACACAGCAAGTAAGCCCACCACATTGGTTTTTGGGGGCATTGAGCTGGGGACTGCTCCCCTGCTGATAGGCCTCTGTCTTACAGCATGGAGGCCTTTTCATAGCACCTCCCCATCTCTATGTCACTCACCTAAAAATAGAATGAGTAAAAGTATAATGCTGTGCAGAATACTGCCGTTTTTATCTAAGTTGCATGCTGCCCATACCTAATATAAAGGAAATGTTTTTCAGAATCTGGAAGTAGTCACTTTGGGGTATTTTCCAAATCTAATTAGATTGAAATGCAAAATATCCTTCTGTTCCACGTATTCCTAACCCTGGCTGCATGTTCGAATCACCCAAGCAGCTTTAAGAGCCAACAAAACAGGAAAACAGAGCCCAGCCCCATCCCATCCAGTCAAGTCTGATTCTGGGCTGTGGGCACATGGATGAGTTAGGCCAGACAGTGCCATGTGTCGGGGCGCCTGTCCCATCACTGTGCAGCTGGGCTGAGGCGCCAAGGGCAGCAGCAATGTTAATGACCTAGAGCAATGAAGATTCAGCACAAAAATACTTAGACATCCCTGTGTATTATTTGAGGCTAAGAGATGTCAATGCTGCTTAATAATGCTGCTTCCACAGGTTACATTGTTCACTCCATCCCATTTTTCTGCTTTTAAGGTCAGGTTCTAAGTACTGTGGAGCCATGATCTGTTAAGTGGAGTCCTAATGTGCTTTCCCCTCATTTTAGGGACGGCCGTGTCTTGGGTGTGTTGGAGGTGTCCCGCTCCATTGGGGATGGGCAGTACAAGCGCTGTGGGGTCACTTCTGTGCCAGATATCAGGCGCTGCCAGCTGACCCCCAATGACAGGTAAAATGACCCTACCACAGGCACAGATGTGCACACAGACGGTTGTTTCTCTTCCTGACTTCTTCCAATTTCTATAACGCACCTGGGGTGGGGGTGGGCAGCCATGTCTCAGGCACGGTGCTAGGCCCTGGAGGTGCAGAGAGAAAGACAATTTGCTCTAGTGGGGTTCATAGTCTGGAAGGGGAGCATACATGAATGGGTGGTTCCGATCCAGGGCGTCTTGGGAGTGTGGGGTGCTCTGGGATACTCTGGCAGTGGGGGAAGAGGGGATGTTCTTGCTGGAGATAGGCAGAGGGCTTTCTGGCAGAGGGGACACACACAAAGGCGTTAAAGTAGAACAGTGTGAAAGTGGCCAGGCAGACCCCAGTAAAGGGAATGATGGAAGGATGATGGCAGGGTCCTTCAGGGACAGATTGTGAAGGGCCCTGAGTTCATGCTGAGGCCTTTGAATTCTAGCCTGTAATTGGTGGAGAACCGTGGGAGGTTTTTAAGTGGAGCTGAGCTGTGTTCGGACAGAGCCTGCCCATTTACTTGTCCGCCTCCCATTCTAAGCGGCCTGAACAGACCAGGCACCACGCTAGGTGACAGGAAGCCCTCAGCAAGGAATTGTGGAAGCTTGAAGTAAGACGGAGCTGGGAGGCCCTACAGGAGCTGAGGCCGTGGCCCTGGCTTGAGGGGGAGGGCTGATGCGAGGCAGCAGGGGGGAGGAGAGAGAAGAGCTCAGAGCTCAGAACAGTGGGATTCACAGGACTGAACTGACGAGGGAGGTGAGATGCTCACTCGCCACACTGGAGTTGGCAGTGCTCTTCCAGGCCCTGCTGCCAGCGCCGCCGACAAGGGGCCTTACTGCGGCCCTGCCTGCCCAGCCTGGCCGCCTCTCCATGCCTGCCTGCAGTGGGCCATGTCTGGCCTGCCTTGGGTCGGGGGACATTTCCACCAGCCTCCTCTGGCTTTCTCAGTGTGGCCTCAGGACAGTCTCGTCTGCTCTCACACTGGACCTGGCCCCCTGTTCTATGTGCTGGTGTAGTGTTGCGTTTGCATGATCAGTTACGCAGGGTCTGTCACCTCACTGGAAAGGCAGGAACCTGCCTGGACTTGGTGGGTCCCAAGCACAGACCGTGTGCTCAGTAAGTACTTGTTGAATGAATGCCCAGTCATAAAACGAAAATCATGACCTGAGTATTCCACTGAGAAAAGAAAGGTAGTTCCCTTCAGGCTGCGGAGAACGTTTCTCCAGGCTGGGAGAACCAGAGCTGTCCCATGGAACCCATCACGGTTCACGAAGACTTGCCTGGGGAAGTTGGGAGGAGGAGGATTGTGAAGGGAGGTAGATAACCCTGTTTGCAGACAGTGAGGGTGGTCGGTGGTCCTCCCTGGGCTCTGGGGCTCACACATACTCTCATGTGGGTAGAGAGTGCTCAAGGACATGCCATCGAGGGTCGGCTGTCAGCTCTCTGTCCTTGGGAAATGGCTTGAGGCAGATGGTGATAGAAATCTGGTGTGTGTTCACCCGAACACCCGACGTTGTTATTCGGTGGTTTCCTCGAGCTTGTCTGAGAAGTGCAGCACAGCACCCGGTGTCGGGGTTAATCCGTGATTGTTGGTGAACACAAGGGCAGTCCCGATCTTGCTGTGTGCCGTCCCACCTACAAATATGTCTAAGGACTTTTAACCTTTATCTCATAGCACTTGTTGGTTTTAAAAAATTCTCAGCCTTTGAGCAGTTGGACAGTATTTATTTTACCTCCGTTGCCAGCCCATTTTATGAAGTTTGGTAAAACCCACGTATATTTCTTCGCTATATTTAGGTTCATTTTGCTGGCCTGTGACGGCCTCTTCAAGGTCTTTACCCCAGAAGAAGCTGTGAACTTCATCCTGTCCTGCCTTGAGGTAAGGAATCTCCTGGGGAGTGCCAGTTCCAGCTGCACCTTAGGTTTTAGAGAACTGGAGTCCTGAGACCCTGCTCCTCCCGTGTCGCCTGTTGTTGGGGGGCAGTCCCTGCGCACTCTCTCAGTGTCAGCTCCGTCCAGGGACTCGCCAGTCAGTTTGTCCTGCCTGCCCTGATGGAGACTGGGGAGCAGTCCTTCCTTGAGGTGGTGGTGCCTCAGGAGAGTGGCGGGGTGCAGGGTCCCCCTGTTCAGCAGTCACCCTTTCCTGCCTGGCAGGATGAGAAGATCCAGAGCCGGGAAGGGAAGCCTGCTGTCGATGCCCGCTACGAAGCGGCCTGCAACAGGCTGGCCAACAAGGCGGTGCAGCGGGGCTCAGCGGACAACGTCACCGTGATGGTGGTGCGGATAGGGCACTGAGGGCGCCGCGGGCCGGGAGCCTGGCATGGCAGTGACTTCAAAGGTTCATTGTGTGTGTGCACATTCTGTGTGTCTCGTGTACTCCTGTGGGACTCCCATGGTTGTAAATAAAGGTTTCTTTCTTTTTTTTTCTAGTCCTTTGAGTTATCTTGTTACGTTTTGAGCAGCTCTTGACCCTTCAGAGGTTAATTGTGTTTGCATTTGAATATGCTCTGGGTCTTTCCTTGTTAAGACCATTGTCAGCATCTAGTAATGACCCACCCTGCAGGCCGCTCCCGGGGCAGTGTTGTGTAGTTTACGGGCACCTTACCTGTGCCCTTTCACTCCCTGTGCCCTTTCACCCTTGCGATGACCTGGTTGGATAAGTGGCGTTTGACAGCGAGGAGCTCGAGGTGAGGATGGGCTAGACCAGCACCTGGGCTGTGGGAGCGCTGCGGCTTCTTTCAGTATTCTGGATGAAAGTAAGTCGACAGAACTTTCCGCAGCACCATCGTGGGCTGCCAGGAGTGCCAGCATGGAGGGAAAGGCTGGTCAGCCTGCCCAGGCACGCACGAGGTTATTGCTCTGCAGAGCAGCGTGCCCCTGCCAGGCTCTCCGAGAACAATGCTCGTCTCTGATTCCGCTGATAAAGATGCAGTCTGGCCGAAGGACTCTGGAGTGCTAGGTCTCGAATCTGGACCCCCCTGGGTGTGAAATGTGCGCTTCCAGGGCGTGAGCACTCAAGCTGCTCTTCAGCACCCCTTCTCAGACCCAGCTTCGAGTCTTGGGAGCGTGCCTGCGCTCACGTGGCTCTGTGTTGGGCTGAGGTTGGTCTTTGCATACCACTTCAGAGGTGACCCTTTCGATAAAGATGTTAAAAAATGCATGATCGGCCTACTCAGAAAAACAAACTTTAAAATGCTTTCCAGGCCCTTCTTTATAGTGAAACAGGCCATCAGTATTGCTGGGACTGCTTTCTAGTAAAGCAGCTCTTAGTCTGTTTTTGTAAATGCTAGCCTCAGGATGATGTAAGATTCTAAAAATTTGCCTTTGAAGCAGCTGTTTTGTAATGCTCCCTGGCCCCCGCCCAGCATGCGCACATGGGCTTATCACCCGTCAGCTCGGTCAGCGGAACTGGGGCCCCTGCTCCAAGTTCCTTGGGAGTGTTCAGAGCACACCCTGCCCGTGTTAGAGCCAGGTTCCAATTCTGCTGAGGACTGTGACATCAGACAGGGTGGCACCATTGAAGGAAAGAGTCTCAGCATCTCAGAATTGGGAAATCGAACAATTTATTCAATAAGCATCTTCCTATAGCAGACCAGGTGTCAGCCTGTGACTCACGTGTCCCTGCTTCCCAGAGGGCCACTGCTGCAGAGCTAGAGAGGTTTGGCACCGCGGCTTCCCTGGCAAGGCCTTCCCCCGCCACCTTCCTGGGGTCCTGGGGCCCCCACAGGCTGGAGGCCATCCTTCCACCTCTCCCCCCACAGTGCACACCCCACCATCCCAGCGAGCCTGGTCTAAATGAAGACGACGCTGTGCTTTAAGGTCTGCCCTTTGTTTTTATTGCAACTTTGTATAATCACATAACACAATTCTTAAGTACTTGCACCACTTCATAAAGTCAGTTATATATAAATATATTCTACCTGGCAATATTATACAATAAATACTTCATTAAATTGCTGTGTAACACACTTGAGAAAATGAAAGAGATCTGTGGCTTTTTCAAGGGTAAAAGAGAACTTCTCTAAAATATCTGTGCCCACTGGATGCAAAGTGAAATCCAGAAAAGGGTGTGGTCACGTCACCCCTTATCAAAGAGCGAGGGGAGGCAGGACAGGCCAGCCGGCGCTTCCTGGTAGGGCGGGTGCGAGTCCTACTGAGAACCGTGCCAGGCCTGCCAGAGTGCACAGATGGGTCGGCGTGTACCGTGCTTGAGGAGAGAGGTCTTTGACTCTGAGTCTGGGGATCAGTCACCTGCGCACCCTGAGGCCAGCTAGGTTAAGGTGACTGGCCAGTGCCCTCTTCTCTCCCAGGCCTGAACACACCCTTGTTAGAGCAGTTTGGCCCCCAGGACAACCTGTGGTTCCAGGTCCCGGTAGCCCGTTGTATGTAGGGACGGGTTGGGGTAACTTCCTCAGCAGGCAGTGGGGGCCCCTGCACCTTGGAAGAAACATGCTGCAGGCCAACACCCATGTCTCCTCACAGGAACACGTCCCCCTCCCCCACCCGGGTCCCATCACTGCTACTGCAGCATGGCGGACTTGGGACCCAGCCTTCCCAGGACCAGCTCGTTCTCGGCACTGTCTCCTCCACCTGTCCGAGCTCGGGGCCCCGTTTCCACCCAATTAGGGAAGATGCTTTGAATAACCCCTGAGCTGGTTGGACCAAGCTAGGCCATAGGTGGGCAGTGGGAGCTGTCAGCTCCTGGGAAGCCTTTGCTGTGTCTGTTCAGATGGGTGGGCAGGGCCTGGCCGTCTCTAATCTGCAAAGATGTTCTAGATCTTTCATCTGGTGGGTGGATCCCAGCACTGAGACCTCAACCGGGATGGGAAAAGGGAAGGATTTCCTGAGGAGGGGAAGAGCATAGCTCCTGTTTGGAAAGACCATCTGCGAGGTGAACTTGCAGGTCATCTTGCACACATTAGAAGTGACCACAGCTCCTCAAAGGCAGGCCCAGACTCTCACTGTCCCTTCATAAGCCCTTTCCAGCGTCCCTCTGGTTTCCAAGGTTGCTCTGCCAAGGAGCTACAATGAGAGTCTTGAGTCCTGTGGTCACTGCAGGCCAAGCAGCACCCTGAGGTCCCTGGGCAGGCCAAAGACACTTTTGGGGGAAGAGCAGGTGCGGACCAGAGGGCCCCAGGTGGAGAGGGGAGCTGTGGGAAGGCTGTTGCTCATGGTGGCCTCGCCATGCAGCTCGCTTTCCCTGGGAGGCCCTCCCCCTGCACACAGGGCACCTGGGCAGGCTGACCAGCCTTTCCCTCCAGGCTGGCACTCCTGGCAGCCCAAGAGAACGCTAAGAAAGATGGAAAAGGTAGGGCTCCGCCACAGCAAGGCAGTTGATGCTTTCTGGGCAAGGTGCCCAACCGGCCAGGAGGGGCCCGGTCTGCAGCCAGGGACAAAAGCAAGTGCTCCTGGGCACACTGAACCTCACTGGAAACATTTCCAGAATAACAGCCCAATGGGGCTTTTCCCCTTTTGAATGACAGCATCCTGAAGTCATCCGGGTCCCAGGACTGCCAGTTTCCATGTCACCTCCTGGGGCTGGCTGTTGTGGCCGTCTCTGGGCTGAACTGCGGTGGCCAGTGGGGGCAGTTGCAGGGGACTTCCTCCTGTGTGTGGCCTCTGCCACTCCGACACTGCCCAGAGATCATTTGGACCGTAGCCCTGTTTGCCCAGCAAGAGCAAGGGCCTGGGGTGGCCACTCACACGCCGAGGAGGATAGCGCTGAAGTGGGAGCCGCTGCGCACCGTGAGGGAGGAGCCGCTGGCGTTGTCCAGGAATACGGAGGTGTACTGGCCCGTCTACAGGGAGGGGCGCCCACCAGGAGTCAGCCTGGGGACTGCCAGCCTGCAGGGGCACCCCCACTCCACCTGCCCAAGGACGTGGAGCCAGGGCTTGGCTGGCCTTGCCCTCAAACCCAGTGCCTCTGACCCCTACTCTAGTGCTTTCTCTGCAGCTCCGTGGGCCCCCCCTGTGCCCAGGGGCTCACTGTGGTTCATGTGCATGGGAGCGAGCCCATGCTCAGGGCCAGAGAGTTCAAGAGCTGCATGCTGAGCTGGTGAGGGCCCCACAGTGGGGTGTGAGGGTGGCCCTGCCCCATAGACCTGGCCAGCGACCCATTTAGCAGAGCCTCGTGGGACTGGTACTCTGGGCTGGCTGCTCCAAATGTCCGTGCACCAGCAGGATCACAGCCCCAGGGAACTCCCAGAAATGCAGAATCTGGGGACCCACACAACCTTCTGTATCTTTGGGGGAAGGTGACCTGGACATGGCCTGGCTCTGCCTGGATGCGACCCCAAACCTCTCCCAGGCCTGGAGTCTGAGGGCACTGCTGCCAGAGCTCCTGAGCATCCACCAGCACCCCTCCCTGCCCTGTCACCCAAAGGCCACGCCCAGGCGGTGCTCCCCATGCCTGAGCCTGCCCCACGCACCTGCAGATAGAGCACGCCATTTACCGAGATGGTGAAGAGCTCGCTGCTGCTCTCCAGGCCCACCACAGCCTCCAGGGAGCTGTAGCCAAAACAGAAAGAGGGTCAGCCCCCGCCCCCCGCCCCAGATCCCTCCACCTTTACACACAATGTGCTCACATTCACCCAGCAACCAACACCGGGCCAGCGAAAGTGCCGGTGGAACAGCTGTCTCGGCTGGGTCTTCTGGGGGAGGTGGTATCTGAACCGGCTCCCCAAGGGGAGTCAGGACAGTCTCCACAGGGCCAAGGTGAGCTGTGAGGGCCGGCCCGGCAGGCTGGCCGCGCCCAGGGGCAGCAGGTCCTAGCTTTGCTGGAAACGACGCGAGCGGAGGTGGTGGGATGGCGGCAGTGACGCTAGTAAGCAGTTCCGCCAATCGGTGGAGGACTTGCAAATCAGAACACGAGGTTTTGAATTTCATTCATTCATGCCTTATAGGACTATCGGGGAGCGTCTGCTCTGTGCCTGGGCTCTGTTCTGGGGGCTGGGGCTACCGAGGGAGCCGCCCCTGCCCGCGCGGACCAACTTGCAACGGGGAAGATGAACAGGGTCATGTGCGGGAAGGAGGTCCACAGGGAGGGGCCAGAGTGACTGGGGAGGGCCCTGCAGAGTGGTCACGAAAGGCCTCTCTGAGGAGGTGACGAGATGGAGTCAGTCCCCTGGGGCGGGAGGTCGGGGGGCGAGGCGGGCGAGGGCCAGGCTCCCAGGTCCTAGGAAGGGTTGTCGGGGAGTGTGCACAGGGGGCCGGGACGCGGGGGAGGCTGGAGGGAGGAGGCGGGTCTGGTGCCTGTTTCGGAAGCCCGGAGCTGCCTGCCTCCGCGGCGGCGCGGCCTCGGGCTGTCTCCTCTATCCACGCTCCCCTGCGCCCACTCACGCGTTCCGCTGGCACCGGGACTGGATGCAGATGAGCAGGCGCAGGCGGTCCCGGGGGCGCGGCGGCCCCCGCCTCGGCTGCTCCCCGAGCGCTGCGGGGAGGGGGGTGGTCATGGGGCGGCGGAGGCCGGGGCGGCGCGGGCGATCCCCCCTCCCGGGCGCCGGGCCTCACCCACGTGCAGCGTGGCGGCGAGCGCGTAGAAGCCGGCGACGGGCGCCGTATACTGGCCGCTGGTCAGGTTCAGGCCGGGGCCGCGGCGGAAGGCGCCCTCGGCGTCGGGCTGCGGGGCGCACGGACGGTCACGGGCCCGCCGCATCCTTGCTCCCCCCCGCCCCGCCCCGGCCGGCCGGGCCTCACCAGGTAGTAGACGTTGAGCTCGTGCAGCGCGCGCCGCTCCACCGACGCGTCCCGGCGCAGGCGGCAGTGGAAGGCGGCCTCGACGCGCGGCACCCGCGGGCCCGGGGCTAGGGGCGCGGCCAGCAGCGCCAGCACGTCCGCGGCCCCCGCCGCCGCCGCCTCCTCGTTCCCGCTGGTGGCGGCCGGGACCGCGGTGGGGCCGCGCGTGCAGGGTTCGGCCTCCGCGCGCTCGCGCTGCCGCACCGCGCCTGGCACAGAGTGAGCGGTGGCCGCGCGCCGGGACCACCCGCCCGCGCGTAGGTGTCCCGGACCCATTCCCCACACCCTGGCACTTCCAGAACGCTGGGGGGGGGGGGGGGGGGGCCTCACCGATGGCCCCTGAACGCACTCCGGAATCCACGGGAGACCCCGTCTTGACCTGCGGGGCCTGCAGAAACTGCTTCCTGGCCCTGTGGCCGCTCCTGTTTCTTTTCACGCTTTGGCTACCGGGAAGCTCGGGGCAGACACACTCAGCGCTCTCTATCCTACGCACACTTCCCCCTTCACGCTGCTGCTTTTTCTCTGGTTACATTTTTTATTGTATCAGCGAATGCCAGCGTATAAGCCAGGCTTGATCATTTTTGGAAAGAGCTGGGTGTAAATAAATTATTGCAGCTACACGGGAAATAACATGGAGGTTCTCCCTCTGCTGAAGCTGGTGTATTTCAATGAACAGTAAGTTGTCGGGAAGGGGGACAAGCTCTCTCAATAGCTCTTCCTAATAAAATCAACTCTAGTAAAGAACGTGAGCCACCTCTTAGCAGCTGGCCACAGTGCAGGCTGCCCCCTGAGTGTGACAGCTTAGCTCCACTCCACTCTCTCCCTGTGCGCCCTCCAGCTCTGCTGCCCCAGCCGGGGCCGGACAGTGACTTGGGGGTGCCAGGCTGGGCTCCACCCTGTGCTGCCCCCATACACTATCGTCCGTGCCCCACTGGGGACAGGTGCCCTCCCATGGGGCTCTCTGCCCAGCAGCTGAGATCTGTCAGGGGAGGAGGTGGGGGCAGGGGTGATGGAGGGGAGGAAGTTGGCGTCTGCAGTCAGGGGGCCTGTGTACCTAGGGGAGCCTCAGATCTCCCCCGTGTCACCATGAGGGTCAGAGAAGCACTTTGCAAGCTTAAGGCCCTGACTTCCCCCTGACACTCTCCACTTTCGGGGTGTAGGTTCCGGGCTGCTGGCCTTCGCTGGGCTCACCTGATGTCCAGGTGGGGCATGGGTGCTGGTCCCCGAGCAGCTACTGAACATGGAGTGGCCAAGCCCACCTTCCTCTGTGGAGCCCCCTCCTGGCCACACTCCAACCCCCAGCTGCTGACCCTCAGCCCACCCAGGCCAGCTGGGCGGCCCCTGAGCCCGGCACAGAACAGGGGCCCCCCTGGGTGCTGGCCCACGTGCTGAGGTCTAGCTATCTCGGCTCCTCCAGGATGCCTCCCCTGGCCCCACTCGCACCAGGTAGGGGCTGTGCCCGCGTGGGTGTCCCCCTACCTTTCAGCAGCCGCTGGAACTCCTTCAGCAGTACTTCTGGTGGGATGACGGGGCCTGGGGGGCCCTGGGGGCCGGGGGGACCAGGGGGCCCTGGCAGGCCGAGCTGAAAGGGAACCTCAGCAGTGAGGACATCTGAACTGGCAGGCTGGGAGCTGCCACAAAGAGGCAGGCAGGAGGGGCCCCCGCAGTGACCTCCAAGGTGGAGGTCAGCCTCAGACTCCCCGAGAAGGCAGTGAGGGTCCACGTTTTGAAAGCTGCCAGGCCTTGAGTGTGAGGACTGGATTGTGCTGGAGGCAGGGGCTGGTGGCTGGCCAGGGGTGGGGTGGGGTGGGGTGGCCCCCAGGGCTGGGCTGAGGGAGGGCAGGGTAGCCAGTGGGGAGGCAGAGGGGGAAAGGAGGGAAAGGAGGTGGGAAGGACACTCCAGGCCACTTTCTCGTCTCAGGGTCTGTTACTGCACCAGTCGGCCAAACATCAGTGAGTCCCCACTGTGCCTGGCCCAGCAGCAGGGCCTGGGACTTCAAGGAGCCCACCCTGGGCAGGGCTGGGACCCAACACGGGAGCAAGGAAGTCCCTGCAGGGAGGAGCATGGCGAACCCCCCAGTTCAGTTTGGGGCGGGGCCAGGTGGCTCAGAGGGGCAAGGGTGATGGGCCAGGCCAGGCCATGGGGACAGCCCAGCCGCCCACCTGCCTCAGGCTCAGAACCTGGCACTGCATCGTTGGGGCAGATCTGGGGCAGCGTGAGGTTGGTCCTCTGGGTGGATGGAGAAACCTAAACCCAGTATGGGCAGTACACCTCTGCCCCAGAGCTCCCCACCCCAGGGGACATGGCCCTCTTTGGGGCTCAAGGCAAGAGTCAGACGTCGGAACCAGGCGCCAGGTCCGAGGCTGAATGAGAAGGGGAACCAGCACTGCCAGGATCCCCATGCCCCCCACCCACTGGGAACCAGACTGTGTGTCACTCCCACCCGCCTGCAGGCCCCTCCAGCTTGGTCCCTGACTGCCCTCCCAGGCTAGCCCAGGCCTCCCTCACCAGGTGCAGAGGGAAGAGGAAGGGGGTAGCCCATCAGGCTGCCTGGCATTCAAGGGGTGCAGGGTAAGTGGTCAGATCAGGCCCCAAACTCAGGGTCACCTGGGCCCCAGCTTGGCACGTTCTGTGCTCTCTGGCCCCAGGCCGAGGGGGAGGGGCTGTGTTTGTTGGAAACGCTCAGGGTGTGCAGTGGGGGCTCGCGAGAGGTGCAGGGGGTGATGGCGGTGGGCTAGGGGTTCACGGAAGACTCGCAGGTGGAGGCCCCCCTCGCACCCCTCCCCTGGGACACACACACACACACACACACACTGGCTGCCGCTTTCCTGCTCACCTTCAGCTTCTTGGCCTTGCCTCTGCTCACACTCTTGCTGTTGACACCCTTGTCACTCTGCCTGACGAAGAGCATCCAGGCATCATGGGGGTCGATGCTGCGCGCTCGCTCGGTGCTGGGCTCCTGGAATACAGGTGGCCCTCAGGCTGGTTCGCCTCCCTTAGTTGACACCCACCAAACACACAGCATGTGACCATGTAGAACTGGCCTTCAGCACCCTCCGGCCCCGTCCTTGTCAACAGTGGTGCCCTCAAAGACAGCACAGCCCCTGGCCCCCGACCCCTTCCTCTTAGCACATGGAGGATGATCCCTGGGGAACAGGAGAAGAGGACCCCAGACGTGGGTGGAGGAAGATGGGTTGCAGAGCTCCATAGCGGGCGGGAAGCCTGGCACTGCTGGGCCACCAGGCCTCTCCCAGCCTCCTCCGTAGGAGCTGCAGTGATCACAGCTTCCTGGGAGAGTCACCAGGGGGATGGGACCACTGGCACCCCCAGGTGCTCAGGAGGTAACTGTGAATATGGGGACCCCAGCTACCAGCGGGCCCCCTTGTCCAACCCCTACGGTCTGAAGTTCCAGGGAGGCCAACATCAGCCCTCAGGGCTGCCTGGCTTAAAGTCCAGGGTGGTTAGGGGGACTGAGTGGGCCAGCACTGAGATGTCAAGGCCCCTGCATGGAGCGTGAGCCACTCATCTTCCTCAGGCCTTCCAAGATGCTCGACCCTTGCAAGGACAGTGACTCTTCCAGAAGTATCCATTCCCCGGCATGCTGCATTCTGACCAGTCCTGACAATGAGGAAAGTTCCAGGAGGGTCCTTCCAGGGAGAGGCCTTCAGCCCTTTGGGCAGAGGGCCTGGGACAGTCTGGGCTCCAGGCAAGGATGCCAGCTGGCAAGGAAACTGGCTCAAGAGTCCTTAGATGAGGTCATGGGCGCCAAGTCTGGTGGCTGATGGGGGGACCCTGGGGTTCTGGTGCTGGCTAGGCTGTCATCAGAGACAGACCCAGTGGTCTCTGGGCCACTCTGCAGACACCCGGGGCCTTCCTTTGGGAGTCAGTGTGCTGTGGGGGGCAGATGGGGACTTCTTGGTCAGAGGAACCTGAGGTGGACAGAGAAGGGCCTCAGAGTGCCCGGGGCTTCCCCATGCCTAGCTGGGTGGTGGACCCCACGAGGTGCTGCCCCGCCAGCTGCTCTCCACGGACACCTGTGACCCCACCTCACAGGCTCATGCCGCCCTCGGTGGAAACCCACGGCAGGACTCCACACGGGCCGGGTGGGCGTGCCGAGCTGGCTGCCCCCTCAGCTGGACCAGCAGCCTCTGGATGCACTCAGACCCCAGTTTGGTCTGGGGGAGCAGAAACAAGAGGAACCACATGGTCTGGAGCCCATGGAAACGAGCCTGTGGCAGTGTGGGTGGGTGGCAGGCAGCCACCCTGGCTCACGGAGGTCTCCAGCCTCGAGGGAGTCTCAGAAAGGAGCCAGAGCCTCTGGTGCCACCTTGAACCCCAAAGAGGGTCCACAGCCAGAACCCCGCCTGGAGGCTCCTGCTTCCTGGAGACTGTACTGGACATCTGACAGCCGTACCTGCCCCCCAGGGATGGTGGCCCACTGTCTGGGGGGAGTTTGCCTTCAGTCCATGGGAAGTGGCTGAGGGTGGTGGGGACAGAGGGCTTTGGGGAGGCTCCTCCCAGGGAGCCCGCAGGGCTGGCTGCCACCTCCGCCCACCTTATGAAGGCGTCCTTGGCCATCCTGGTTCCAAGTGAGATGCTGAGAGCAGAGGCCGGGTCCTGAGGCCCCAGCGACTCTCTGCCCTTGGGCATCTTCAGAGTAAAAGAAACCCAACCACCCACCCAGTCTGAAAGGCCCCGCCCACACTGAGGACTCCGGAGCCCCGCAGTCCCCAGCCCCCCCAACCTTACCACCCTCTGCACCATCCTGGAAAGGAAGGAAGGAGCCGGGCAGAGCTAAAGATCGCCCCTCCACACCTGAAGTCACACGGCCTTGAGGGGTCCTGCATCGCCCCTCCACTTCCTTCCCCTAGACGGGCAAGGAGGCATTTTTTTGTTTTTCAGAGGGATTTGCCCCAAGTAGATTGGGGGGGAGAGGTCAGTAATTTGCTCACACTTTTACAAATACCTCCTTCCCAATTTCACGAGAATCAAGTTATTTTCATTTTACATATTCCCCAACTTCCTTCTGTCCCCAAAGAAAAGACATTTTCCCCTGGCCCGGTAGAATTTTGCTTCGATGCCAAAGAAAACCACCAAAAGTCAAGGTCAAGGCTGGCCTTTACAGCGCCCGGCGGTGCAGGCGGCGGCGTGCAGACCTCCCGGGTGTCCCTGGAGCCCCGCGAGCAAAGCGGTTTTAGCCCCACTTTAGAAAGGACGCCAAGTCAGCGTAGGTCCCTGTCCGCGGCGCCGCGCTTGCCCCGCGCCCGGTGCGCCCTGGGCCTCGGGGACGGGCGGGCTCCGGCGGGAGCAGAGCCCGGGGGTCCCCGGGGCGCGGTCAGGCGGGAGCGGCGTCTTACCGGCGGGCGGGCGGCCGGCCCCGCGCGGCTCTCCCCGGGGCCCGCGGGCAGCTCGTTCCCGGGCGGCGGCTCCTCGCGGGCGCGGCTCCCCGCGGGCGCGCCGGGCTCCGGGGAGCCGAGGCCAGCGGCGGTGGCGGCCAGTAGGCCCGCGTAGACGAGCAGCAGGCGGGCTCCGGCGGGGCGGCGGGCGGGGGCCATGCGGGCGGCGGGTCCCTCTGGGCTGCGAGCGCGGCGTCTCGGAACCGCGCTGGGGCTCCGCGCTTATAACGCGCTCGAATCCCCCGCCGCGCCCGGCGCCCCCTCCCGGCTCCGGCGCGCGCTGCAGCGCGGGGCGCGGGGAAGGGCAGGGGCGCTGCGGCGGGGGGGGCGGAGAAGGGCAGGGGGCGCTGCGGCAGTGGCGGGGGTGGTGCCAGGGAGGGCGGGGGGCGCTGCAGCGAGGAGTTGAGGTGCGGGGCACAGGGTAGGGAAGGGGGTGCGAGGAGGGGACTACCGGGGAGGCAGGGGGCGCGGGGAGCACTCGCTCGCGGTGGCGGGAGCGCCCCCTCATGTCGAGCACTTTTCCGCTCCATCTCCCGGCTCCTGGTCCCTCCCTGCGCGGTGTCCAGTGCTTCTGCTTCGCGGGGAGCCGGGACACCCCTTCTCCTGGGCCCGGGGGCATCTCTTCTTCCTTCTCTGTCCCTCGCCTTCTCTGCGGGGACCTTGAGACGCCTCCTGCCTCCCCATTGTCCTGGCCTTGCCGACGTATGTTGAGTACTGCGGACCAGGAAGACCCTCTGAGTCCCTCCTTGTCTCCCCCTTCCCAGGCGAGGGCCCCTCCCCTCTAGGGCACCCTTGTCCTCATGGCTGGGGCGCCCTGAGCTCAAGGATGAGCCGCTCTTCCCCACCCCGGCACACCTGCGGGCGCCTGGGGCGGGAAGGGTGCACGGGTGAATCTACAACCCGGGGCAGCACCCTGCACTGATGCCGGCACACCGAGGAGGGGACTGGGAGGACTCAGCTCCATCTGGACCTAGCCGACCCAACCAGGGACGAGGCTGCCTGCTGCCCACCCGCGTCAGCGCAGGGCACCCCACTGGGACAGGTGGACCAGACCCTGCAGGCCTGAGCTCCAGGCTCCTCCCTGGGAAGAGCCAGCCTCCTCACCCCTTCCCTGGGCCACCTTGTTCTATTCCGTGCCCATTGCTTGTCTGTCTCAGCCACTGCAAGGTGATGGCCTGCGACAGCCCTCCGGCTCTGTACCCCGCCCTTGGGGGCCTGCACCTGGTGGGTGCACAGTGCATTTTATTCAACAGTGGGAGAAGGCGCTGCTGAGGAATGCGCCTTCCAAAGGGCCTACACCCACACCAAGGGATGATTTTGACCTCTTCTGAGAAGAGAGGAGGCCTTACCCGGTCCTATTTCAGGATGTGGCGCCGGGAACTGGAAGCCAGGAGGAGTCTGGCCTGGGGGAGGGGACGAGGGTAGTCCTCAGAGGGGAGCTCACATGGACCACCTATAGTCCCCACCGCTCAGGCACGGTTTCCAGGGGACAGGAAATACTCCATATTTTAGAAAAAGCCTGGTATTAATTGTTCCCCGTGACTTGGCCTCTTTTCCTGTAGGATGTGGGGATGGTGGTAGAGTTTTTTGGGGGTGGGGGAGGATGTTTAAAGAAAAAATACCCCACCCACCATAGAATGTGTTCCCCCCACGGGTCAGTGTGTCCCAAAGACTTACTCTATGAGGCTGTCTTTCAGAGGCAAATTAGGATTGCAAAAGAGAAGTTCTGTCCTCATCTTTTTAACGATTTTTTAAAAAGATTTATCCATGGAATGAAAAAAGAGAAATCCCTACAGAAATTGCAGATCTCCAAGAAGACGTTTGTGAAATACCGGCTTATGTAAGATGTACTCAACTAAATATATGAACTTATTTCCTCTGCAAACGTTCAGCAGTTTTGTTACGAGTAAGGAGATTTGCTTCCAGATGCATGGAGGGCGTTATTGGGAAGCCGGAAAAGAGTTAAGGATTTCTCGGGTGGCTTCTTATTTCTGGGCCCATGAGGAAGGGCTGTTAGGAAGCCTCACGTTGGAACGTTTTCATGACCTGTTTGTATGTGCTGGGCATGTGCTTCAGGGTTAAGTGTTGTAAGTTTGTTCTGTTTCATTTACTCAAGGAGACTGCATCCGCGATCATAGGACACCAAGCGTAGGGTATTCTCTGCTGAAACCTAAGATCCCCTGGCAGAGAGGGCCTCCTGTCCCCAGGAGTCGCAGCTCTGTGAACGGTCCCTTGGTGTTTCTGCAAAAGCACGTCCACATCCAGCCCTTCATTCACTTCTCGCAGGCCCCACTGATTAGCCCAGAGAGGTGGGTGGCTCGCCCAGGGACACACAGCCTGGGCTTGGGGCTGAAGTCAGACCCTCTTGCCCACTGGGCAGGATGACATCTTCACAGCCGCACGTTTCATCCATTAAGGTCCTTCCTATTCTAGATGGTGTGAAATATGAGCTGCAGGATGAGCTTGAAGGTTATTGAAGAGGATGTGGCCCTGTTTCTCTCTCAGACCAGTGGGCATCCCGTGGGTGTGGGATTTCCTCCGGGGGTCTGGCTGGCAGGGAATCCCAGGGGAACACCTGTAGCTGGCCACTCTTGAATCAGGGGGCTTGTCCACAGAACCTCCCCCGCTTAAGGAGGTGGAATGCCCTGGGGGCAGCCCAACGAAGTGGGAAGAAAGGAGCTTGGCTTGGGGACCTCATGGTGGCCAGCCTGTTCCAGAGCATCTTGGAGTGTCAGTTTCCTTGCCTGAGAGCTGGCAATAAGGCACAGGTGCCTGCTCCAGGATGAGCTGGATTTGTGGTGAGTGTGGCCTGCTTGCCTTCCAGGCCACCTGAGTGGTGAGGGTCCCTGCCCAGGCCATCGACACCACGTCACAGGGAGGTACCCCCGGACCAATGTGAAGACAGAGGCTCCAGGCTGTGGGGGCCACGGCAGAGCATGGTCAGAGCCCAGGACATCCCGGCAGTGGGTCTGCTCAGCAAACCTGGCCATTGCACGGCCCCCTGGAGCAAAGGTCACATGGGGCTTTGGAGGTGGCACATCTAGGGCCATTTGGCATGCAGCCTTCCTCTGTTAAGTGGGCATAATAGCAGCTGTTGTCCCTGAGCCCTCTTCTGGGATCCCACTCATAAGGGACGTGGGAACAGGCAAGGCCACGGCCAGGAGGAAGGCGGCCGGTGGTGCTCACCCCCAGCCCGGAGGCCAGGCTGCTTGGGGGCCCCGTGTCTGGGTTGCTGGCCCAGATTCTGTCCACAGGGGCCAGAGGGCTTGCTGCTCTCAGGTCAAGTGCCACTTGGGCCAACCTGCACCCTGGGAAGGTGACGCTCACGCTCTGTCACCTTTGGTAACACGGGTGACATGTGGGGATGGAAGGACCCGATCTGGGGAATGTGATCTTGTGTTCATGTGACATCATTTCCACCTCACAGTGGGGGGCCCCAGCCCGCAGGAGGCCAGCCTTGAGGACAGGAGCTGTTGCCATGTGAAAAACAGTTATTTTCCCAAACAGTGAACAATCCTAGTGATGTCATAGGCCCTGCCAGAGGGCCCAAATCAAATCGGTTCTGGTGCTGGTGCTGCGTCCTGTAACACGATCCCAAGGTCATGACTCAGCTGGACCTGGGGCAGGAGGGCACAAAGGGCTGGGGCCTTCAGGTGGGCTCCCTGCGTGCTTCTGGGGTCACATTTCAAAAACGGCCTCCACGCAGGGGAAGGCTGAGCTTAGCAAAGAAACGCATGGATCAGGGACCACCAGAAACGGTCTTCTGATGGCGCCGAGGCCCCTGCTGCCTGTAGCAGCAGCCCACGGGTTCAGAAGCAGAGGCAGCATCTGGAGGCAAGTTGATCCACCCCTGGATAGGGTACTGAGTGAGCATCCACAGAAGGGGACCCAGGCAGGGCTCGAGGTGGCCTCCCCCACACGCCTTCACGCCTGGCTGAAATCTAATCTTCATTCTTGGGCCCTCATGTCACAGCCTCCGCGCTGGCTTCCCAGCAGCCTGATGCAGTCAAGCTGTCCCCACTCTTCTCTCTTCCTCCAAAGGAAGGACCTTTGTGATGAAGTCATGGGAATAAAAGCTCCCTTTGCCCCCGAACACAATGGGAGCCTGAAGTCGACTTGCTGTGTGGCCTCCCGATGCACAAGGAAGGCGACCTCCGCTGTTTACCGGAGCCTCCCCAGCACATGACATCACCTAGTTCTCAGATCACGTGATTGTCCCCATAACACAGATGAGGAAACTGAGGCTCAGATTTTGGGACTGGCCCAAGGTCCTTGAGCCACCAAATGAAACCTTCTCTGGGGTCCAGCCCCCACAGCTGGAGGAGATCATGTCGGCTCCAGGGATATTCACGGCAAACAGGGAATTGCTTCCTCCGTGAAGGTTCTCGTCTCAGTCCACTTCGTTCTTCAGTTAATCAGCTGCATGCCTGGCTGGCCTCCTGTGTGCCTGGTGCTGGGGCCTCAGGAGAATCACAGACACATGGCAACGGCAGCCACACTTCAGGCTGAGTGACAGCACTGTGCTGGGGGTGCTGGGGAACAAAGGTGAGTGAGACGGCCCTGTAGGAGTCGACATCATTCCATTGCATGTGGCTGTGACCACCTCCTTCTTAAGTCACGGACAGGCTCCAGGTCAATACGCAGACTTTCCACTGGGCCAACTGGTCAACCAACCAACTGGAGCAGTGGTCTAAAGTGACAACGGTGAACTGTCATTTGAACAGTCCATTTAATGACACACATTTACATGAGAGTGTCAACTACTCTATTCCAGACATCACTGTCCCTGCCCGGTACAAGGAAGATACCTAATAATAAAAGGGTCTTGTCTGGGAGGTACTGGAAAACCCAAGTCTGATGGAAGTGGCTAGAAACATCCCTGGACCCTGGCTCACCTGGGAACGAAAAGGAGCTGAGCCCCAGCTGGTTGTGCTGGGCCTGGCTCCTGAGGACACTGTGTGGTCCCTGAGGGCTGAGGTCTGCTGGGGCAGGCGCGGTGTCTCAGTTTACCCAACATTGTGAGAAAGACAACACACACCCACCTGACAGATGTGAATACTCTGGGGCTGGGGAGGTGGTTGGCCCCCCCCGGGCCTGAGAGTGTGGTGGGCTTTTGCACATGTTCCAAGGTCTCCACTGCCCTTTCTAGAAGCCAGACTAGCCCCAAAGCTTCTAATGAGTCCTTGTTTTCCTGCGGACTTTGATGAGGCAAGACGCTGCCTTCGGCTGCTCCATCTGTTCCTTGTGTGAATTAGTCCATTAATGTCTGTCTTACATGAGAATCTCTTGAACGTTTGATGTGCGTGCTAGACATCTTCCGTTTGCCCATCCTGGTCCCTGTCTACCTTCTCCACCTGCTACCTGTCCCTGCGGGCTGGCCGCCATGAACTGTGTCAATGGCCTGTCTTCCCTCTGATTCTGGTTGGGTTTGGCCAGTGGGAGGCACTAGTGAGAGACTACGGGGTAGGAAAGAGAGGGAGGTGGGGGTATCTATTCTGCCACTTCTCCCCACTGGGCTGCAGGTGGCGGTGGCAGGGGCTGCGTTCCATCAGCAAAGACCCCGGCTCCTGGGCAGCCCTCTCCCTCCGGCTCTCCTCCTGGAGTCTGCGTCTGCTCCTTCCTTTGCCCCTGGAGGCAGAGGGATGGTGAAGGTTGCCAGCTGTTGCCAGCCCTGGGGGCCCCTTGAGTCCTTGCTGAGTTCCTGTCAGCAGGCCCACACCTTGGAAAGCACCCTTCATTTAATTGTCCCCTATGACCCAATTTGTGGGGCCATCTGTTTCCTCCTGGGGCCCTAAAGGATGCAATTGGCCTAATCCAGCGCCCTGAATAGGCGCAGTCCAGCTAATCAGACTGGGGGCAATTTGGTACCCCAAAGGGGAGGCCCAGGCCCTGGAGTGGGATGTGCTTCCCCACCCCAGGAACTGCCTCCCATTGCCATGATGGCGCACAGGAGCAGAAAGCAAGCCTTGTTCCAGGACACCACCTTGTCAACTGCCCAACTGTGAAAAAAATAAGTCCATTTTGACATATTGAGTCTTTATTTTGAAACAGCACTTAGCTGAGTAACTTCAAGAATTGTCTAGAAAACATTTCAGAAGATTTTCTTACGGAAAGATTCAAGGATCCCAGAAACCTTCATCCTCATTTTTACCCACTCCACCAGCTGGCTAGGTGTCCTCAGGTCCGGGACTCCTGCTGCCTTGGGAACAGACACTCAGGAGGCCCTGCTCTCTCTGGGCCCTGTGGGGCCAACTCCATTCCCCACCAAGAGATCCGGGCGTGAGGAGTCAGGTCTGGGAGCCCGGTGGATCTGCATCTTTGCAAGCTGGAGGGACCTGGGGATTCCTTCCTCAGAACCAGGGATGTCAGAGGCCTCTCTGGTCCCTGATGGATTCACGGAGGGCCTGTGGGCTGACCCTGGAGAGGAACCCCAGGTCCAGAGGGAGACTGGAGCTACCCAAGGCCTCTGCTGGTCAGTGCCAGGGCTGGGCCTGGAACTCCCGACTTGCAGCCCTGTGTCCCCCGATGGAGCCTGTGACAAAGGGGGAGGCCACCGAGCGCCCAGTGGGAGTCCTTTGTTGTCCCCTTGGTCACAAACTTGCGCCTCGTTCAGGAGGAGGGAGAAGGGGCAGGGAGGCTGAGCTAGCTCTGTGAGGGGCCCCCGGCTGCCCCGGGGGCTCTGGGAGAGCCCTGAGCCACCCTGAGTCACACCACGTGCTGCAGGAGGAGCCCATTGGATGCCAGCCTCGCTCAGGAAGTCATCTGGGAGTCAGCCACCAACGCACCCAAGAGGCATTCCTGGAAATCCCTGCAGGACCCCCAGCCCCACTGGGGACCTCCACTCTGAGGAAGAGCCTTGGTTTTGAAGGGAACCGCCCCTATAAACAGGGGGAATCCTGGCCAGGGAGCACCTCTTCCTGCTCACCTCCCTGGGAAGACTTTGCTGGCCCTCCCTCCCAAGTCGCACACCCCTGGCAGGCAGAAAAGCCCTCTCTCCTGGCCCCCACACCCCACATCCTTCCTTCCAGTGCCTCCCTCGGTGCTGTCCTCCTGGGAGATGTGGCACAGAAAGGGCTGGGCCTCCTGGGTCCCCAGGAGCAAGCTTTGGAAACAAGGTGCCAGCATGCAAGGCTGGGAGCAGGGAGAGATGACAGCCCACCGGAGCCGGCCCCATGTGCCTGAGGCCCAGAGAGGGGCAGCTGCTGACTATGGTCACACAGCTGTGGGCCAGGCAGAAGCAGGCCCATGAAGGCCTGGTGCTGACCCCACCCCAGGGCCCTTTGCTCTGTGCCCACCCTCTCCAACAGCTTCAGCTTCCCCGGCCAATCCGTGTCACCCTTCATTTGTGCAACTCCTGCAAAAACCACCAGTGGGACACAGCCCGGAAGGGCCAACATTCAGAGAGTCCGAGAGTTTTCACAATGCTTCCTCGGAGCCCTCAGTTCCTTCTTCTGAGGTCTCCCCTCTATACAGGCATCCTGAGGCCCAGCCCTTGCCATGGGTCAGCTAGGAGTTTGGGGTGGTGGCTGCGGAGAGCAAGGCTGTGTCCTCTGACGTCCCTGGTGGCCCGAGCCCAGCTCAAGCCCTGGAGGGGACAGTGGCACTTAGTGAACAAACAAGCAAAAATAAGAGGGGGGCCATCCCACAGGGGTGGGGGCTCTGCTGGCCCCCCCAGGTATGACGAGGAGCCGCTCAGTGCTCCTGGGCGGGGCTGAAGGGCTGCGTCCATTTGGAGATGTCCAGGAAGATGCTGGAGGCCCCGTGGTAGAGCCAGAGGCGGGGCAGGGCGCCGTGGCGGACCCAGGCGTCGCGCCCGCGGTCGTAAGCCTCCATCTCCACGTGGTAGTCGCCGTCCATGCCCTGCCAGCGGCCGCCGGTCACGTAGAGCGCGTCGCCCAGCGGCACCAGCGCACCGTTCTCATGCAGGCTGTGCAGGGACTGCACCTGTGGATGGTCAGCGGTCAGTGCCCAGTGGGCTGCTGGAGGGGGTGGCCAGGGGTGCCCTTGGGTGGCGGGGCGGGGGACAGGCAGAAAGGACAGCCAGTACTCACCCGCCATCCTGTCCAGGGCACCAGCACACCTGCTACCTGGGGACCTGTAACTCCCCCCACCTCCCCCTCCAGGACCCCACAGACTCTCCCTTTAGTGGGGAGACCCCACTGCTCCCCTCCAACCCACATGTCCCAGGGTGAAGTTGGGGACTCAGCGGGGGTGGGGGATGTGGAGGCTGGAGCTGCCTCCCAGGATGAGGACTGGGCTGGGCCTCTGACTCAGCTGCTCTCTTGGATGGGACAGATGTGGCCACAGCCCTGACAGATGCACATGTGACCCCTCGCCCCGTGGGACCCCTCGTTCTGCCCCTGCACCCCCTGCCTCGGCCCGTGGCCTCAGGAGTGCCCTGGAGAGGGACTGTGGGGTGAGGGCCAACAGCTTTCCAGAGGCCAGAGAGAGATGTGGGCACTTCTGGAAGCACCCAGGCCTGGAGAGGACAAAGGGGAGCCCCACACGGCTGGGACCCCAGCCCAGAACAGTGGCGTAGGCTGGGAGAGGCCAGGCCGAGGCCCAGCTGACAGGGCCCAGGAAGAAAGCGCCAGCCTGCCAGGGCCCGCCCTGCACCTGTTCCGACTCTGTGACGGGGGCCTCCGGTCAGCTGAGCACTGACGCCAGGGGACAGCTGCAGTCAGCCGGACCGCAGAGGCCCTCATGTTGCCTGGCTGCCCAGCGTGGCCTTCCTGGGGTGGCTCTGGAAGCAGTGCCACCTCCTGGGACCTCCGGGGACTGAGACCCTCAAGGCAGGCAAGGCGGGCCTAGGATGTCCAGCTAGTACAGAGGCCACCATGGGCTCCAGGCACTGTCCCTTCTCCTTCTCTGGAAGGAAGGTGGGGAAAGGACCTGTGGCCCCAAGGACAGGTCTTGAGATGCCCACCTCTTTTCCTGTCCCCCAGGTCTGATGGAGGAGGAGGAGGGGAGAAGCGGCTGCACTGGGGGAAATGGGACGCCAAGGAGCTGGCTGCTCCCACCTCACCCACAGCTCAGGAGTCCCCTCCCTGGCTTGATCACCCCCGGGGACAGGAGACTCACTCCCTCTCAGGCCTGGCCAGAACCAGGAAGGAAGTGCTCTTGCTTAGTCTAGCTGTCCCTGAAGCAGCCCCCGTGAGCCCAATTTTGCTCCCTGAGAAGGACAGGTGGCCTTATGCTGGGGACAGAGCACCAAGGTGACCAGCAGCCCGTGCTCGTTGGCTCTCATCTCTCCCTTCTCTGCCCGCCCCATGTAGTGACAGCCCCACATCCCCTGTCCGCAGCCTGCTCTCTGCAGAGTCAGGAGTCCTGGGGGGGTCGGGTGGCCCTGGGAGTGAGGCTGAGGCCCACCTTCTGCCACAGGTTGGCCCCTGGGTCGTACACATAGACCTTCTTGGTGTTGTCTCCGACCAAGTAGAGCGCCCCCTGCAGGGCAGCACAGCGCGGCGAGGACAGGTACTTGGGGAGGAAGGGGGAGGCGATGACGCTCCATGTGTCTGCGGGGACATAGCACAGGCCCACTGTCACCGGGGGGACCAGGTGGGGCCCCAGGGGAAGGCCCCTCTCTGAGGCTCAGGAGTGAGGCCTTGGCGGGACTGGGGGGGTTGTGGGGGCACCACAGGCCGCCCACTGCCCGAGCCTCACCAGCCTCACTCCCCCTGGGCTGGGTGGGCAGGCTGGTGCGGGCAGGGCGCCCTTGGAACCTCGTCCCCAGGTCCTCAGCAGGACTTTAGGGCACTCAGAGCCCTTGGCCTGGCTGCCACCCAGCCTGCCCCACCCTGACTCGTCGCCCCTGGGTTCTTGACCCTGGGTCCAGTCCATCTCCTGTGGAATCCTCACACCCACCCTGCAAAATGGGTCCTATTGTCATCTCCACCGTGCGGAGGATGGGATGGAGGGTCAGAGATGGGGTGGGAGGGCCATTGAGCCCAAGAGAGCCCAGCTGGGGCCAAACACTGCTACAGCACCCAGAGCCCCAGTAAGCACCCACCTGGCCTTGGGGGTCTGGGCCACGGCTCCTGGCTCATGAGGCCAGTTCCAGGTGGATGCCCCAGCCAGAGAACTTTTAGGACCCGGGCCTGGGCTTCGCCATCCCCTGGCCATGGGCACCCTGCCGCCATCCCCCAGCCCCGGCACCTCTAGGCTGGGATGGGGCTGTGGCCCTGTGCTGGCGACCCCCTTGCTTCCCTGCCTCCTCGGCCCTCTTCCCCCACTGTCCCATCCACGTCTGACCTTTGTAAGAGGCCCGGGGCCGCCTGCCCCTGCCCCCACCCCTGGCCCCAGCCCCCACCTGTGACGGGACTGTAGCACTGGAGGGCGAGCGCGTTGTACTTGCAGGCGCTGGAGCCCACCAGGTAGAGCCGGCCCTGGCAGCCGGCCGCCGAGAAATTGCTGACATACTTGAGGGCTGGGCTCACAGGCGTCCAGGTGTCCGTGTAGGGGTCGTAGCTCTCCACCTCCACCACGTCCAGAGTGGTACCTGCGGAGGTGGGAGGGTCAGGGATGCAGGGGGGTGGGGACAAGGATGGTTCCCAGACACGCAGGGTCGGAGGATCTGTAGAGGCCGCAGGGGCCACTCTGGGTGTCCCAGGAGGGAAGGGAGGTGAAAGAGGGCCCGGCCGTGCGAGATGGGTGAGTTACCACCATTTCACAGAGAGGGAAACTGAGACTCCGAGAGCGAGGGTCACACTGCCAAGGAGTGGGCACTCAGGAGTACCTGACTCCAGAATGCTCGAGGAGACCTCACAGTGAAGCCCTGCCACTCTCAACCCTCAGAGCCCAGGCCGGGTTGGAAAGGTGCTGTGGGGACCCCCAGAGGCCGCCACTTCCGGGCCTCTCACATGGTGGGTGTCCTTCCCTGGGGTGGGGGAGCTCAGTCCTGGATAGCTGTAAGAGGTAAGACCCCGGAGCTGTAGGCAACCCCCACCCCAGCCCCCGAGAGCCGGGATGTGATGTTGATGTGGACCTGCCCGTGGGAGGTTGGGCACTCCTGCTCTCCCTGGGGCCCCCCTCAGCCTCTGAGAGCCTGGGGCCCCAAGTTGTCCTGGGCTCAGGAGCTGTGCCTGCTCTTGGCGGGGGTCGGGGGGATGACATGCAGCCATTGAGAGAAAAGGGGCTGCCCAGGGCAGGTGGGGACATTTAGAAGTGGCCTCAGGGTCAGTCCATCACCTACACAGGTTGTGGGAATCTTGCTCAGCCACACGCATTTCGTTTTTCAGTATTCATCTAACCGTGAGCATCCCTGGGGTCACTTCTCGCCGTAGCCCTGGGTGTGAGGGGGATAGGGTGGGCCCTTGTGCTCAGGCTGGGTGCATGGTAGGGACAAACGTGACAGCAGAGGGACCCACTGTGGGTCCCCTTACCCCAGAGACTTCACTGAGGAGGTGACCTGGAGCTGAGGGCCAAGCCCAAGGGTCTGAGACGGGAGTGGTTCTCTCCTCGGTCAGCTTGAGGCCCCAGCTCCTCATGGGTCCCCCTTTGGCGACTGACTCATGGCCCTGTTTTATGGGTCCCCGGAGCACATCAGAGTCACCCTGGAGCTGGCTGCTGAGGCTGGTGGCTGAGCCTCAGCCCAGGACTCCCGGGTGGCAGGTGGCACAGCCTGACTGGGAGTCCTTGGGGGGGCTCATTTACCCCAGACAGCAAGCTCCTGAGGTCAGGAGTGGAGAGCTGTACCTCTGTCATTCCTGAGGCAAGCATGGGGGGTTCTCTGGTCCCTGGTGGGGGCGTTGGGGCAGGAGGCTTGTTTGCGGGATGCAGGGGCTCCCAGGCTGCAGAGAGGAGGGGAGGGGGCTCGGACGAGCAGGAGGCGCCCAGGGGGATGGGGGGGCGCCTTACCACCGATGGCATAGATCTCCCCATTGAGTGCCGCGCTGGCGTGGTTCGTACGGGCCTTCAGCATGGGGGCCACGGGCTTCCAGGCTGCCTCCGTCAGCGGGAAGCACCAGGCCTGCGTGGTTGACCAGGTGTCCGTCTTGGTGCCCCGAGAGCCACCTGCCAGGGGAGTGCTGTCATTCGGGCTCCCACCAGCCTGGGATCTCCTGACCAGTGGGGGCCGGACACCATGAGGCCTGCCCCCTCTCCCCCTGCCAGGCCTCCATGCTGCCAGACGCTGGCTGGGGTGGGACCGTGGTGGTACATACAACTTAGACATGTCCCTCTGTGCCCCATAAACAAAGGGGACAAGATCAGTGGTTTCAAACCTCCATCCGTGGAAGCTTTTTCCCCAACCAAATCTTACAAGGACCCCCAACTTCTAAGATATGAAAGAGCAGAGTGACACCACCCCCTCCCCCCCCCCCATTGCACAGTTCCTTCTGGGGAAGCCCGGGCTGCAAAAGCAGAGCAAGGCCATGCTGGGGGTCCCCGTCAGACAGAACAGGGAATGGCTCCCTGCACCCATGTGTGGACCCTGGGAGTTTAAATTTCCTCATTTTTCACATCATGGAAAGTTCTGGAAGAGCCTTGACTCAACTGTCGGGGGTTGGGTTGGGTGAAGGGGGAGAGCTGGTTCTCGCTGGAGTTATGTTCAGAGTTCAGATCGGCTGCCCTGACAAAGCCGCTGGGAGCTTGGCTCTGAGGCGGCTCTGCAGGGCCCCCGCCTGCCCACCTGTGACATAGACGGCGTTGTTCAGCGCTGCCAAGGAGAAGCCCCACTTGTGGTAGTCAGGGAAGTCCGGGAGCGCCATCCACCTCTCTGGCAGGAAGAGAGAGAGGCAGGGGGTTAGAGGGGCTGAGCTCGCTGCTGGGGCCTCCCCTCGCCCCTCAGCGCCCCTCCACCCAGTGGCTGCACAGATGTCCCTTCACCGGTGGAAGGACAAGAGGGAGCACTCAGCCAGGCGCAGTGGTTGGGGGAGACACCCAGGGGAGGTAGGGTCCGAGGCGGCCCTGGATGCTGTGTGTGCCACTGCCAGGCCTGGTCCCTGGTGGCCCCTACCTCCCCATGCTGCCCTTTGGAGCCCAGAACCCAGACTGGACACAGGACCACACCCAGGGTGAGCAGAGAGGCGGCCGAAGTCCAGAGGCCAGGTCTCACCCTGACCCTGCAGTTGACCGCACTGACCCCAGTCAGATGGGGTGATGGGTTAAGGGGCCTGATCTCTGGTCACTAGTGAGTCATAATACAAACATCATTCATTCATTCCTCATTCATTCATTCCTTCATCCCCGGCACCTTCTGTGCTCACGTGCAGCCAGGGACGTGTAGGGGATCAGATTCAGGCCTGGCAGCAGGCAGGGTGGGTCCGAATCCCAGCTCTTGCAGGCCAGCCGTGTGGCCTTGGGCAAACCCCAGCCTCTGTTTCCTCGTCTGTAGGACGGGGTAATTCCCAGCTCTCGGGGAGGGACTGCGTGAGATGACACCTGTCTGTCACACGACAACTGCTCAGCTGATGGTGGCTGTTAGGACCACTGTGGCTATTGTGAGGGACAGAGCAATGTGCCCATGTTGGATCTGCCTTCACGGAGCTACGTGAGGTAAACTGAGGCACGAGATGAAAAAATGCTTTGAAAAAATCAAAATGAGACAAACGTGGGAATGTAAGTCCTATAAATGGACACATTTTGGGTGTTTGTGGAAGGCTGTGAGAGACCCAGGCCTCGAGGATGTCCCCCCGGGAGACTCTGTTTATTGTTTGTGACAGTTTTCGGGACACAAGGAGCTCCTGGCCTTGTTGGGCGCCTGCCCTCTGGGCAGGGACTGCATGTCCCCCTGACTCATGTCTGTGTCACCCCAGGGTGGGGATTGCCCAGCGGTCACCAGGCCTTTGCCTGCCAGCGTCCCCCGCACCCCCCCAACTCCCCGCGGGGTCCGAGGGACAGCTGCTCCCAGGCGGAACCAGCAGAGCTCATCCCCTGACGTCAGCCCCAAATCCCGTCTCGTCAGCCCTGACCTGGGACAGCTGGCCTCTGACTTCCTGGAGCCACCAGCCGCTGACGCCATGGGGACGGTGGCGACCTGCCTGGGGGCCCCAGGATACCAGCCAGCCCGCATCCGTGCTTTCTGAAGAGCTGCCCGGGGCCAGCACGGCCCCTCCACGGCCCCTGCTGCCCGCCCTCTCTTCCTCCTTTCCCAAGAGGGAATGCCACCCCCCACCCCGAAGGAGAGGCCACATCCAAATGGAAGGCCTGGCCCCCCGAGCCTATTGGCATTGCATTACGACTGTGTGAGGAGCCCGTTTCACAGATGAAGGAACTGAGGCTCAGGGAGGTGAGGTGACCACTCAAGGGTGGGAATTAGAACCCCATTCGGGCCAACCCAGACCCCGAGCTCTCACCCCTCCAGGCTGCCTACATGCCCAGCTGCCTGTTCGCCTCTTGGGCCCATGGTTCCAGTGGGTGCAGAGGGGAGGGGGCACCAAGAAGAAGCAGCTGGCCAGGCTGCTCACCTCACTCGGGCCAGTGGCCCCCCGCCTGCCCACCCCAGTGCAGTCTGGGAAGCAGAGTCCTTTATCTGGGACCCCAGGACCTAAAAGACTACAGTCAGGGCTGTGGCTGGAGGGAGGTGGGCCACAGTGCCCCCCCCCCCAGCATCCCCTCCCTCTGCCATGGCCCCCAGGCTCCCCTGCAGCCCCCCGGGGAGGCCCAGGCACACCCAGGACTGTGGACTCAGGGGACCACTGCTCTCTGTGCACCTCACTCGCTCTGCCCGCTAGATGGACACAAGCCTTTCACATCGGGTGCAGGGCCTGAGCCCTGGGCGCTGGGAGGGGCTACTCACTGGCCTTGGTGTTGTAGAAGGCAAAGTTCCCTGGGTGGGGAGCCGGCTCCTCGGCGCCCTCCTCGTCCTCCTCCAGCGCCCGCCCACCCACCACCACCAGCACCTCCTCCAGCGTCTGTGTCTGCGGGAGGGCCAGCAGAGCCTGCGGGCCAAGAGGGCTAGAATCAGAGGGGCAGGGCTGCTGTCTCCCGGAGCGAGAGGCCCGGGCACTGGCAGCCCTCAAGGGCATTTTCTGGGGCAGGTGGTGGCCTGGATGCATGGGGGTGGCTGTGGGTCCACAAGTGTGCCCCTGTGTCCATGCACATGTGTGGAGTGGGGCAAGCTTCAGTGTGTGGATGCCCGTGTGTTTGTGCATGTGTGTGCATGTGCCCATGCACACATGCGCGTGGGCACATGCACATGCACACACATACACGTGGGGCTGGGGATGGCGGCAAGTGCTCAGAACTGGGAGCAGGTCCATGTGAGTCCAGAACATGAGAGCTGCTCCCCCACCAGCAGTCACTTCATGGCTTTTGGAGGCCGCTTCCCCATTTAAGCCTCCTGCCCCACCTTGTGGAGCCCAGCTCCCCCAGACCAGCACGTAGCAGGTCACACCAGGAAGGCCCTGGCCCAGCAGCAGGTGCTGGAATGGTTCCTCCCTGGTTGGTAAGGAGCCACCCCACAGAGCTCCCCGGAGCCGCATCCTACCGCCTCTCTGACCCCTCCTATGGAACCCTGGGCCGCCCGCCTCCAGCAATTACAAGGTCAACACCTAGCAAGGCGGGGCCTCCAGCCGGCTCCAGCATGAGGCTGGCCCCTTGTGCCCGGTGGAGCCCGGCGGAGCCCCATGGTGCCTGGCAGTGCCTGGCAGTGCAGGGGTTAGGATCCTGCCACCACACACCCCACTCCTGGCCTGAGCCACATCTTTGTCCCCAGACCCGGCTCCCGAGGAGTCTTCAGAGCAAGGTCCTGAGCAGGCTGCCCAGCAGCAGACAGACTCATCAACATCTTGTTTCAGGGACACCCTGGGCTGTCACTTCATCAGGACCTGCCCTGCCTGCCAGGCCCACAGCCAGCACAGATAGGAAATTGCACCCCATAAACTCTCGAGCAGCTTCCTGAGGGTCAGGTGGTGGCCGGCTGCCATGCTGTCCGTGCTCCTCGCCCTTGCACAACCGTGCCATCTTCCTGGATTGCTTGCCCTCCTGCCCAGCTCCTATTCCCCTCCTCTAAGGCCCAGATGAGGTGCTGCCGCCTCCAGAGAGCTCCCCCTGACCACCACTCCTCCGAGGATGCCCCCAGCACAGCGCTGCCCTTTCTCACACTGCTTTAGGTCTGTTTCCAGGTTTGTCCCCACCAGGCTGTGAGCTCCTTTCAGGACAAGGCTTGGCACACACAGGGGTACAGTCTGTACTTGGGGGTGAATGGTGATGCCCTCACAGTAACCGGCCCGAGGCAGGTAGACTTGTAAGCGTGGGGCCACAGTGGGGATGCCCACTCTGTACCCTCCATCCCCATGCAGGTGGGGTCTCCCTGCTCCCCACCTCACTCACCCCGTTGTGGCCCTGGGACAGGGCCGCCTGACATGCCTCTGACTCCCGGATCAGCGGCTCTGTGGCCAGTAGCTGCTGCACGCAGGGCCTGGGCACGGCGTCCAGGTGCACCAGGCTGAGCAGCTCCGGCAGGTGGGTGGCCCGGGCTTGCGGGTCATGGCGCACCCAGCGCAGCAGGGCCTCCAGCCGGCTTTGCTCTGGCTGCACCTGCAACAGGTCGCTTGCCAGACAGGTGGCCAGCCGGTCTTGGGACAGCTGCAGGAACTCGTCCTCCCGGGCTACAGCCTCAAAGTTCTCTCGCAGGAAGGCCCAGGCCTTGGCAGCCACGCCCAGCAACCCCTGCTGCTCCCCAAACTCACAGATGCCCAGGCAGTTGGTGGCGTCCAGCTGCTGCTGCAGGTAGCGGCCGCAGACCTTCTGCACAGCGGGGAAGTGGAGGCGCGCGGCTGTGCGGGTCAGGGCCTCCACGTTGCCCTGCGTGACGGTCAGCCGGCCCGTGTACACGAAGTCCACCAGCTGCCCCACCATGGCGGGCTCCACGTCCCGCAGCTCCACGCGCGCCGAGAAGCTCTCAGCAAAGTCGCCAGCAAACATGGCGTGGAAGTAGGGGCTGCTCAGTGCCAGGAGGCCGCGGTGGCAGGGCAGCTCCTGGTCCCCCACCAGCAGCGTGACATCGGCCAGCTTGGGCTGCGAGCGCAGCCGCTGCAGGCCGTCCAGCATGTCCTGGGCATGCGAGGGCAGGTGGAAGTCCAGGTCATCCACGTTCCGCACCATGGATACCAGTGCAGCCGCAGGGGCGCCCTGTAGCCCACTCACTCGCAAGGAAGAAAGGCCCTGGTGCCCACCTGGGATCCTAGGGAGAGAGGAGAGCAGGGTCAGCCGGGGTCAGGGGGATGGTCTCATCCCCCCAGTCACCCACCCATCCAACCATCTGTCCGTAGTCCTTTCCACCCCTCGACAAGCATTGGCTAAGCATCAACCTTGGGCAAAGCACATCTCCCCTGATGCAGCCCCACAGCCCGTGAGGACGGCACAGCGCTCCCTCCAAGTCACAGTGAGGAGGTCGAGGCTCAGAGGGTGGGAGACCTACACACAGCCAGGCCATTGGGGCAGGATGGGGCCAGCAAGAGAACCCCCGCCCTGGGCTCCGAGCCTGGCTCCCCCACTTCCTAGCTGTGTCATCTTGGACAAGTGACTTGAGCCTTTTGTGCCTCAGTTTCCCTACCTGTAAAAGGGACCCTCATGGCACCCACCTCATACCAACTCTGGGCTACGCAGCACAGACCCCCTGACACACGGGGCTCTCTGTGGCCCCCAATCTCCAAGTGGCTTCCTCTGCTCCCAGAGCCGACACTGGTGGGGAGGGCTTTGGGGGCATTTGAAAGGTTTGCTGCCCACCCATCCTCACTGTCTGCATCACATGGAGCCTCGGCCTGCCGAGACCTTGCTGGGCAACCTTGGGTGAGCCACGCCCCTCTCTGGTCCCAGTTTCCTCATCTGCAGATTGAGAGGCTGGCGGTGAAGGGACTGCATGAACACGCCAACACAGTGCTCCCCACGTCATGAGTGTGGCACACGAATTGGTCACTTAGCCCTCATGACAGTCCTGTGAGGTGAGTGCCATGAGGGTCCCTCTTACAGGTGAGGAAACTGAGGCACAAAAGGCTCAAGTCACTTGTCCAAGATGACACAGCCAGGAAGTGGGGGCGCCAGGCTCGGGGGCCTTGCCCTGAACCCCCAGGTTTCACGTCGCTGGGTGTAGGTTGGTAAAGAAACAACCCAACGGGGCTTTCCGGAGGATGATTTCGCATCCCAGTTTTTGCATCGTCTGATTCAGCAGATCCTCTTCTGGGCTTATTTAATTACGTGCATGTTTATTTACGCATTTTTGATGTTTTACTCCAAGAAAGAAACGTTCTGCCAGAGGCCTTCACGCCCGTGACCCACAGTTTCCGAAAGCTGCACAGTCAGGGAATGGCCCGTCCACCAGGGGGCGCCCTCCGGAGCCATCAGAGGGTAGGACAAGGGCCAGCGCGCCCATGGGGACAAGAAGCTGGGTGAAATAAGTGCCATCAAAGTGACAAAGCCCCACAAGGAGAACCGGGGAACTCCCGAGGCCAAGGGGCGGGAGGGTCTTGCTGGGTTACTGTGAGAGCACCGCTGGCGGGAGCTTGAGGCCCCCTTCCCCGTGGGTGCCCGTCTCCATCCTGTAGAGCAGTGAGGTACCCAGGGAGCCTCCGTTGGGGCCCAAGGACCTGCCTGGGCTCATGCCCGGACAGGACAGGACAGGGGCCCCGGCTGGCATCCGTCCTGCCTGACCCGCTCCCCAGGGAGGCCCTCTGGCCGGGCAAAGGCGGCTCTGCCCTCCCAGGGGAGGACCAGAGATTAGCCAGTCGGCCGCCTCCCCCAGGCCTTGCATTCCCATCATTGTTGTGTTCCCTTTGGCCAGCTGCTGCGGCGACAGGGGCCAGCGGGCCGGAGCGCCCAGCCACCTTCCTGAGGGGCCTTAGCCGTGTCTGCGGACACCTGCCTCCCTGTAGTCCCAGCACGAGGCGGGGCTTCTGCAGGGTCTTGGAGCCTCAAGCCAGCGTCTGCCCAGGCGGGGATTCAGGAGGGCTGAGGGGCAGGACAGCAAGGGAAGGGCTTGAGCAAGCTCCGGCCGGGGACTGGACGCTGTGGCCCGGGCTGCAGTCAGAGGGTGTGGTCCAGCCTCCCCCGCCTGCCTCTCCAGCTAGGACACAAAGGAAGGCGGGCCCACGAGCCCCCCCCCACCACCTCGAGGAGCCCAGCTCAACCAGGGTTGGGGGTCTTTCTCCAAACCACCCAGCGCTATCATCTCCATGCAGCTGGGCTGTCCCACTGCAGCCCACCCTGCCCTGCTGGTCCCTTCCCTGGTCTCCAGCTCCCCCTCCTGTCTGCTCCCCTCCAGAACCCCCAGACCCTACCTCTCTGTCGGCCCCTGGACCCCGGTGCTGAGCACGCAGGCCGGAGAACAGGACTGCCCAGCCGGCAAGGGGCATACAGGCCTGCTGGGCTGGGCTGGGCTGGGCTGGGCGACCACGTGGGGACAAAAGGGTATTTTTAGCCTCTGCCTGCATCAGGAGGGAGGGATGGGCCGGTGGGGGAAGGAGAGAGGCGATGACTCCTCCGGGCTGTCCGCTCAGAGAGCCCACACTTCCCATGTCACTCTGTGTCAGGAAGGCTGAGTCCTCCCGGGACCGGGGACCGGGATGGGCAGCAGGAAGCATTCCAGGGCGAGGGCGTCAGGCTGACTGGGGTGGGGGCTGACTGCGGCTCCCCACTTCTGCAAGAGGGGGACAGTGGTGCCTGTGCGGGGGACTCAGGAGGGGACCTGTGAGGGCCCCACAGGTACTAGCTTCCCTGCGGTTGTGGACAGATACCCATGTGGCCTCTCTTTCATCTGTCAAGTGGGGAAAAGTGGCTATTATGAAGAAAGGCAGATTGGTCAGCAAAGGCTTTCAAAACTTGGGGTCTGTGGTGGCGGGGAAGTCTCTCGTGGTCAAGGGAGTGCCCAGAGAGGTGAGGAGGCACCCTGAGTGCCCACTAGTCTGGTGACAGGGCCACAGGATCCTGAGGACCCATCCCCGTCATATCGTGGCCTTGGTCTCGGGGCTGCCCTGTGTGCCTTCACCAGTCACGGGAGCCAAGGACAGCGGAGAAACGGGGTCATCTAAAAATACAGCGGTGGTGGCTGGCGGCCTCCCCTGCGTGCTGGGGTCACACGGTCACAGGGGAATCCCTCACGCCTGGGTCTGCTGGGCTCTGGACCCACAGGTCCTGACTGAGACGGGGAGTTGAGGCCCGGGGGGCCGACAGGGGGTCTCTGGACATGTCTTATGCCGTGGGTCAGAGCAGGGCTGCCCAGCCCAGGGCCTGTGGGTACAGAGGAGAGAGGCCTGCAGCCGGGAGTGGCCAGGTGGGGCCTCTACCTGTCGGCTCCTCCCCACTCTACCCATGTGGGCCTTACTGACACAACCGTTTTCTGGGTGTGCTGGGACGTGGGAGAGTCAGGGAGGGCCAGGTCCCATAGAGGCCCCGATGCCCACGAGAGACTGGCTTGATGCTCTCACGGTGCAGAGCGGCCCAGGAGGCCCCTGGGTGACAGCCCTCACTCCTGGCAAAGTAAGGTACTTTCTCAACCATATCGGGGTATCCTGACAGCTTGGGCACCTGCCTCGCCAGCACAGCCGCTGGCCCTGCTGCCTGCTGAGGAGATGGTTTGAGCTGGGAACCAGACTCTGCTCTCATGAGGGGTGCAGTCTTGTCGAGGACACCGTCGTTACTCAAGTAACTGCCATGATTGACCAGCTGATCACGAGGTCACAGGGTGCTTCCCTACTCTGCTCACCCACAGGCTCCCTGATTCCAGGCTTCCCTCCCCAGCCCAGGCCAGCCTAGTCTGGCCCAGTCATTTTCCAGCCCAGCCCAGCCCAGTCACATCCCAGTTCAGCCCAGCCCAGTCCAGTCCAGGCCAGTCCAGGCCGGTCCAGCCCAGTCATAACCCAGTTCAGCCCAGTCTAGCCCAGTCCAGTCCAGCCCAGTCATATCTTAGTCCAACCCAGCCCAGCCCAGTCACATCCCAGTTCAGCCCAGTCTAGTCCAGTCCAGTCAAGCCCAGTCATATCCCAGTTCAGCCCAGTCCACCCAGCCCAGTCATATCCCAGTTCAGCCCAGTCTAGTCCAGTCCAGGCCAGTCCAGTCAGATGCCAGCTCAGTCCAGTCATGTCCCAGCTCAGCCCAGCTCAGCCCAGCCCAGCCCATCCCAAGGCCCTGCCCCTGCCCCAGACAGTCCCAAGACTTTTCCCCTAGCCTTGGGCATCAGCCTTATGTTGGAGGGCCCTCATGGATGTCCCCAGCTCTCTCTGTGGCCAGGACCACCCTGGGGGAGGACGCTGGAGGGGGCACAGAGGCGTTGGTCTTGCCTCCCGTCCTCCACTCCGTTTGCAGGCGGGACAGGGAGGGTTAATGCACTCCGACTCAGGCTGGAGGAAATGAGGACAGGGGATTCTGATGACAGGCCGCCGTCACAGGGACCTGGGCACAACACTGCGTGCCCAGAACGGAGGCCTTTCGGGGACGATGATGGGAGACCCAGCACCTCACATGACACGTCAGTTTGGGAAACTCAATACCAGGGGCTCAAAACAGAGCCTCATCATCAGATTGCTAATGAGTGGTGCAGTTTTTAAAAATACGCCGCCTGTTTCTTTCTATGATGATAAAAATAGCACACGCTCATTGTGGAAAATTTGGAAAACACAGAAAAATAGAAAGCAGGAAATTCCACAGGTAAAAGACAATCCCCATTAACACAGCGGTATCTCCCCTGCCAGGCTATTACTACTCTAGGCATGAGAATGACGGCAGGTGTGTGTTCGTGTCCCGTTTTACCAGTATTATACCGCGAGCATTTCTGACATGATCAGTCTTCGAAAATATGATTTAAAATGTCAGCATAAGAGGATCTATCACACTTCAAGAAGTTGGAAGTGACACCCAGTCACTTCTATTAATGGACGTTTGAGTCGGCGGCCCTTTTGGACTATGACAGCTAATATGGTGCCACCTCTGGGATTATTTCCCTGGAATAGATTTGGAGCGTGAACTCACCAAGGTGAAGAGTGTGAGCATTTTTACAGCTCAGTGCACGTACCAGAGGGCCGTCCAGCTTGGGCGAGTGATGCACTCCCTCCGCTTGGCCTGGGGCTTTCACACGGTGGGGCTGACCCGGCACAACTCTTAGGGTTTTATGGGTTGACTTGCTCACAGTATCTCTTATTCCGTCTGGGATTTATTTTGGGCCTTGGGGTGCCATAAGGTCAGACTTTTTTTTTTTTTTTCCCAAATAGTTTACCCACACTCTGAGCAGTATTGTTGACAATTCCTTCTTCCCCCAGGGATTGGCTGGCACCTGGACCTCGGGGCAGTGTTTTCTGTGTCTCAGCTTTCTCTCTTCTGGTCTGTTGATCTGAGGGACCGCATTCTGGGGTCAGCACCCCCCTGTTTGGTAGACTATTGCTCTACAGTTATGCTGTCCTCATATCATCTTCGTTCCTTTTCTTTTTTCTTTTTGCTGAGGAAGATTAGCCCTGAGCTAACATCCGTGCCCACCTTCCTCTACTTTATACGTGGGATGCCTACCACAGCATGGTTTGCCAAGCGGTGCCATGTCCTCACCCGGGATCCGAACCGGCGAACCCCGGGCCGCCGAAGCGGAACGTGTTGAATTTAACCGCTGCGCCACTGGGCCGGCCCCTCTTCATTCCTTTTCTATTGAAATTTTCTTGTCTGTCATATTAGTTGTCTGTTGCTGCATAACAAATCACCTCAAAATCTAGCGTTTTAAAACAACAAACATTTATTAGTTTCACACAGTTTCACGGCTCTGGGAGCACTTTAGTGGGTGGTTCTGCCTCAGCCCCTGTCCTTAGCTGGCACCAAGGGGTCAGCTGGGCTGCAGTCATCTGAAGGCTGGACTGGGGCCGGGGGCCTCTCCATAGGCTGCTCCCAACACGGCGGCTGGCTTCCCCCAGAGACAGGTGAGAATCAACGCTGGGAGCCTTTTTTTTTTTTAAAGATTTTATTTTTTCCTTTTTCTCCCCAACGCCCCCCGGTACATAGTTGTGTATTCTTCATTGTGGGTTCTTCTAGTTGTGGCATGTGGGACGCTGCCTCAGCCTGGTCTGATGAGCAGTGCCATGTCCGCGCCCAGGATTCGAACCAACGAAACACTGGGCCGCCTGCAGCGGAGCGCGCGAACTTAACCACTCGGCCACGGGGCCAGCCCCTGGGAGCCTTTTATAAGCCACTCCAAGGGCTACCCAGTGCCCAGTTCTGTGGTACCAACGTGGGAGGGGCTACACAGGAGGCGGGGTGGGGGGCGTGTCCCTGGGGGCCTTCTTGGCTTATTTGTTTTTTCTTTCAAATAAATTTTAGAGCCGTTAGAAAAAAAGGTGCTCAACTTTGCATTAAACCTGTGCACGGATATGTGAAGCGCTTACATGGTTACCATCTTTGTTCTAGTCATGAGGGAGAAGGTGCTGGTCCTGCACCCACTTTGATCCGGCTTCGTTCTTCTCCCTCTCTGTCCTGCACACATGTGTATGCCAGGGAGAGAGATGGGTTCCCTTTCTCCAGTCTTTTTCCAGTTCATCTGGAAGCTGCCGGGGTCAGCACCTCGCTTTGTGTCTGGTCACCTCACCAAAGCCTGCAGCCTATGTAGGGACTCTGGGGTCCTCGGTGAGTGTTTGCCAACTGGACAACAGGGTTATAGGCACCGAACAGGCTTATGGCTGAGACTGCGGCCATGCTAGGGCCAGCCCCTGTCTCCTGCAGGGCCACCTACTCCCCACAGGTGAGCTGCTAGTGGGTTGGGGGTTCCAGGCTGCTCAGCATCAGAATCACCTGGAACGTCTTGGGAAAAAAAACAGCTTTCCCAGCACAGCCCATGCCGGGGGACTCAGAATCCCTGGGGCCACTCCCAGGACACAGTGCTTTTATAGACCCCCAGGAAGCAGGGTGTCTGCAGAAGGCATTTGGGGAGTCAGCCCTGAGTGCCCAGCAGAGGTGCCCTCTCCCTGCTTCCACACTTCAAACTTCGGTCTGAGCCTCTCTCACCCCTCTCCTGGCAGCCCACCCAAGCCCAGGTCCTCTTGGGACCCAAGATGCTTGTGGGTGCTCCCTGCTGGCCTTGGTCTGGTCCCTCGGCTGGGAAACTGAGGCCTGGAGGCTGTGGAGGACTTGCCCAAGGCCACAGCAAGTGGGCAGGGACGCCCTGAGTCGGGCATGCTGGTCCCCTGTCCAGGGCTCCCCTGAGCACCCCCCAGCCATCAGGCGACCTCTGAGGCTGGGCTCTGTGTCCATGCCCCCCACCCCCTCCCTTGCCAGGCCCGTGGAAAAACAGTGTCCCACAGGCGGCATCCGAGGAGGGAAACATTGGAGTGTCCAGTACCTTCTGACACCCCTACCCCAGGGCTCCCGCAGCCCCACCCTCAGACCTGTACCCCCGCCAGCCCAGGCAGTGGTGGTGCCCTGTGGACCAGCCCTCGTCCGGCTCCCTTGGTCGCATTTTGGGGCCAAGAGCCAGGACCTCACTGATGCAACAGCGCTGAGATGCTCGCGGCTGCCCAGAGTTGGTGTCCTGCTCACTACAACCTGCTCCTTGAAATACCGATGCATGCGGGCGAGTGTCACTGTTGTCCACAGAGACTCCCCTGTCCGGGACCGCAGTCCACCCTCAACGTGACCCTGGGAGTGGCAGGTCAGCATGCACCCCATTTTACAGATGAGGAAGAGAGGGCTCTTTGGGGATAAGCATGTGGCCTCTGCAGTTTTGATGGACCTGAGACGAGGACACATGACTCGGTGCCCACCCAGTGCCAGGACCCTCTCTGGGCACAGGTGGGTCTTTCAGGGGAAAACAAGCACAGCATGCAGGCTGGCCAGGAATGGGAGTCTTTATTCAGCAAATTCAAGACCAGGGTTGGCTCTACAGGAGGCTCTGGAGCTGGGGCCAGCACCCCTTCCCTTCCCGACACTGGCAGCCTCAACCGCCTGTGGGGTTCGTATCTTCCTGAGTGTCCCTCCCTGTGGGACCCTGAGTCAGCTGGCTGGGAGGGCACTCTGTTCCATCCAACACCTCGCCTGCCGCCCTTCAAGCTCTGCCAGCGGGTGGGGACACTGCAGAGACCCCTGTCCCAAAGGAGCCTGGTGGCAGGGAGGCGGTGGCCGGTGGAAGATTCCTGAAACCTCCTCCCCACACACTACCTGTTGGGGCCATCACACAGCTGCAGGACAGCCCTTCCCCAAAGCCCCATGGGCTGGGGCCAGCCCTCCTTGGGTCCCAGTGGTGGGGGCCCATCTCCTGGACGCCATGGGGTCTGTCATCCCACGGCCAGCCATTTGGGGGTCTGTCGCCAGCGTCCTGTTCCACGATACTCTGCAGAACTGGAGGCCCTCAGCGGCAGCACCCCTCTCCTTTCCTTGGCCCCTCGTGGAGAAGGTGTGGGTGACATCGGGTGACCCCAGGAAGTGGCTGCCCCTCATCGGGGCCCGGCTTGTGTGCCTACCCCCCAACATTCATTCTCCTCTGGATCCAGGTTCACCTTTGAGGGTGGGATGCCAGCCCCCTCTGCTGAGAGCCCCCTTCAGCCACCGCCTCTCTCACAGACGCTCCTTCAGACCCTGCTCTCCTGAGGCTGCAGGTGGGGCCCCGCGCTGCCTCGGGCCGTGTGGCCTGGTGGGGTGCGGTGGTCAGCTGAAGGACAGGAGCCCCACAGGGAGCCTTCGTTTTTGGAGCACCCTGGGGTGGGGCACTAGAGTGGGAGGGCAGTGGAACACGTGTCTGTCAGCAGGTGGCTGTGTATGACCAGCACGCACGTCAGCGTGGGCCATCTCCCTGACCTGGAAAATTCCAGAGACCAGTCCGGTCTGACAGGAGGCATCTTGCCCATCGAATCCCGTTCTCTCCAACCCCCAGTACCTCCCCTACTTCACAGATGGAGAAAGAGGCCTGGGGAAGTGAAGTGGCATGGCCCAAGGTCACCAGAAGGAACCGAGGCAGGACCAGTGGAGGGCAGACACAGGCTCTGGACGCAGCCGGGACCACCAGCACCAGAGGAACATAGGGGCGGGACACCCAGGTGACCTGGGACACTGCAAAGAGGCTCTGGGGAAATAGGCCAGCATCCCAGGTGCCTGGGGGATGACCAGGCAGAGGGACCCGGGGCCGGGACGCCAAGTCATCTAACTTCAGGGCCGACCAGGAGCCCGAGAGGGCTTCTTGGGTCCAGTGGTGAGAAGGATTCTGAAGCTGAGTCCCACCAGTGAGGAGGCACCTGTTAAGGGGCAGAACCGGAGGGAAGCAACCAGCATGCTCAGTATCTGCCGGCCTGGCCTCGGGGTTGCCCGGCCACCAGGTGGGCGAAAAAGGAAAAGAGAAGAGAAAACCAAAACCACCCCCAAAACCCCATTCCAGAGGAAGGCAGGCTGCCAGCCCGTCTCACTCTCCAAAGCTGAACATCTCGGCTTCTTTTTCCTTCCAGAAGGCGAAGCTCCGGTCGATGTAGCCGCAGATGTCCTCGTTGCTGAAGCTGCCCCGCTGGGAGCCGGACCCCAGGCGCTGTGCCGCGGGCTTGAGGCCGCTGCCGGGGACAGCAGCGTGGGGCAGGGGCCCGAGCGGGGTCAGGCCTGACTTGCGGCCAGGCTCTACGTCCCAGGCTGGACCGCGGCTGGAGCCAAAGAAGCGGGCTTTGATGTCCTCGAAGCCGTCGGTCCAGGCCCGGCGGCCGGCGGCCACCTCGTCGGTAACGGCCTTGTGGAAGGCACGCACGGCCTCCCAGCCATGGGCGCCCAGGTGCTCGAAGACCTCGAAGCAGAGCAGGTGGCGCATCTTGCGCTCCGCGGCCGGCAGGTCGCACTCCAGGAGCTGGAAGTAGCCCAGCATGAAGAGGTCCAGCGTGAGGCTGCCGTAGGGCACAGGCGCCCCGTCCACGTGGGGCAGGAACTGCTCGGGGGACAGGGGGCCGCGGGGCCGCCGGCTTAGCCGCCGCAGCTGCCGGGCCGGCACGTGTGCCAGGATGGCCTTCCAGTTGCCCAGCAGGTGGGTGATGATGCTCCGTTGCTGCCACAGGTGGCCGAGCCGGGGCCCCTCGCTGGGCAGCAGAGAGGGCAGCCGGGGGCCCCTGGCCGCCTCCTGCCCCCTCGGCCCGGTGCGGTGGGCCTCCAGGGTCCTGCAGGCAGCCGTCTTGAGGGCCGGTGTGTAGGCCGACTTCTTCCAGTGGCTCAGGAACAGCATGACGATGCGCTCCTTGCGCAGGTTGGCCAGATCGGGGCTGGGCACGGCGCCCGCCTCCGACGGCGCCTCCTCGCAGCTGATGCCCGAGTCGCTGGCCTCCTCTGCGTCGCCCGGCCTGGCCTCGCCTCGGGGCTGCAGAGGGGCGGACCAGCAGCCCCTCAGGCACTGCCCGGGCCGGGCCCCTGGTTCACTGGTGCCCGGGTTTGGGGTGCAGGGTGGGTTGGGGGCTGACTCGAAGTTGCCACGCAGCGTCCTCACGGACACCCCACACTCCTGGATCTCGCGCTGGGCCGCGCTGCGTGGGGGGCTGGCCGGGGCCTCCCTGGGGGCCTCCTGCCGGGGCTGGGCGGCTGGCTTCTCCTCACCCTGCACCAGCCCGTTCATGCCCTTCAGCAGCAGGGACATGCTGCGCACCAGCCTGGAGATGTGCCTGCACCAGAAGGGCAGGGGCTGCCCGTCGGGCGCGGCCTCCAAGGCCCCCAAGGACTCCTTGGGCTCGGCCACCAGGGCAGGGCCCTCCTCGCCCTCCAGCCCGGGCGCCCGGGGCAGGAAGTGGCTGTTGACCGTGATGCTGACCAGGGGCGTGGGCAGCAGGGCCTGGAGCTCGGCCGCCAGCCGGCCCAGCTCGCTCTCGTATTCCTGGCAGCGGCGCCGCAGCTGCAGGTCAGCGATCTGCTTCTCCAGGTACACCAGGTCGTCCTCAGTCAGCAGCTCCCCGAAGGGGCCCAGGATGGCCTGGTGGGTCTGTGAGTACCGCCAGGCCGCCTGCTCCGCAGGGCCCGCGCTCCCGCTGTCGTCCTGGGCACAGGGAAGGCAGGTCAGCCGGGCCGTGGCCCACGCTCATCGTGGTGGGGAGAGGGCGTGTTCCCGCTGGACACAGGCTCCTCGTGGGTGTCCTGGCCCCACGTGCCCCTGGGGGCTCCAGCCCAGCCCCTGGACACCAGCTGGCCCTTGCCTGGACTTAGAGAGTAAACAAGGTGGTTGGCCAGCCCCAGTCCCAAGTCTGAGGCTCAGGGCAGCCACCTTGCCCCATGGGGGCCCAGTCTTCCCCCTCAGAAGAGGCCAGGGTGCCTCTGCTCTGCTACCCCACGTCTTCCTAATCTCCCCCTCATCGCCTCAATGTTTAATCCAAAGGATCTCCCTCCTCAGAGCCCTCCCAGACCCTCCTACCAAACTCCAGTGGTTGGGCGGCAGCCTCAACCCCTCTGCTCTGGGTTCTCTCAGTAGTTCACCCCAAAACACCCGCCCTGGGCTTGCCCAGGCACCAGGATACAGCCCTGCCCCCAAGTGCTCTCAGTCTGTGGGACCAGAGACATGGAGGGACCCTGAGCCCACCATCCCTCATTCACTCCACTCCAGTGGTCCTGCCTCCTCCTGGTCCTCCTTTGGGCCAGCCCATTCATGCCGCAGGGTGTTTGAACTCGCTGTTCTCTCTGCTTGGAATACTTGTCCCAAATTCCCACAAAGCTCCTCTCTCACTTCCCTCTGGCCCTTGCTCAAGGTCACCTCCCCAGAGAGGCCGCCCGGAGCACCATACAGAACAGCCCCCTCCCTTTTCACTGCTTTGCCTCTCTCCATAGCACCTGAGATCACCCTCCCCGCCCCACACACCCAGTGCAGTTGCCCTTGCCCGGTCACCCCGTCGTCCCCGCTGGAATAGAGGCTCCAGGGAGTCAGGGCTGGTCCCCTTCACCGCCGAGAACAGGGCTTGGCACAAGGTAGGTGAGGACATAAGTCGTTAGATAAAAGAGACTGTGGGCGTCATGCCTGTAACGCAGTAACCGGGCACTGCTCACACCCTCCAATCGGGTTCAACCTCATCGTCTGGCAGAGGAGGAAGCTGAGGGGCACGCAGTGGGGTCTCAGGACTCAAGGCATGGGCAGGGACCCCACCTTCCACGTCCACCTGCCAGAACGAAGCCTGCGGTCCCGCTCCTGTCCCGTCCGGACCCCGCCCTGGCCCTCTCCCGCAGGGCCCCGCCCATTCATGCCTGGCCGCTCCTGGCCCCGCCCCTCTGCAGCCCTGTCCCGCCCACCCTCGCCCCGCCCCTGGCCCCGCCCTCTACGCCCCGCCCACCCCGGCTGGGCCCCGCCCCTCCTGGCCCCGCCTCGCCGGGCCCCACCTGGGCCTCCGGCTCCTTCGGATCCGCGCCCAAGCGTGCCTGCAGCTTGCGCACCATCACCTGCCGCTTCCACTCGGGGATGGGCTGGCCGCGCTCGTCCCGCGTGGGCACCAGGCCGTCGAGGTCGCCCGAGGGCAGCCCGTCCAGCTGCAGCGCAGCCAGGCCGTCTGGGACATCCCCCGCCGGCGTTTCCGCACCCTGTGGGGACACGGGCTGATCAGTCCGGGCCCAGAGGGGACCCCGGTCCCGGAGCAGACGGAGGGGCTGCGCGGCGCGAGCATGGCCCAAGGAGGAGGGCGGTGGGGGCCGGCCAGGGAGGGCGGGTAGACCACGACAGCACCCTGCAGTCTGGTAGGTGTGAGCCTCTGAGGGCAGGGACCCGAGGTGTCCCCTGTGGGTATCCCCAGGTGTGTGTGGTGGGGGATCGCTGGTGAGAGGCAACCAGATTCCTCCCCTCTCCTGTATATGGCCGAGAGGACACTGCCTAGAGTACACCAAATGGATGAATTTGGAGAATAGTTGCAAAGTCAAAGTCTGGTGGCCAATTCTGGACTGCAGGACTTGTCAGAGCCTTTAGTGTGCTGTGTGCACTGTAACTCTCCAAGAGGGGGGGCATTGAGCTGCATTTTCCAGATGGCACAGAACATCTCAGGGGCGGAGAGTTCCCAGGACCCATTCGAGGAAAGGGTGGGTTGGATTTATAAGGGCCTGGTGCCCAGAAAGAGGAGGAGAAAGAGGAGCAGGCCTCCTGCAGTGGGTCCTGGGCTGACTGGGAACCCCCAAGGAGGAGGGCAGCAGGTTCCAGGCCCACCCTCCCCATGGACGACTGCTGCTCTGTACCGGGACAGCAGCGTCTGAAGGGGGCACGAAGCACCCCTGGGTTCAGAGGTCAGGGTGAGGAGCTGAGACTCTTGGGATCAGAGAGGGGTCCCAGGTCTTCTATGATGGAGTGGCAAGCTGCTTGTGGCCCTGAAATTCCCACCTCCTTAGAACCCGGGGTGCCCTCCAGAGCCAGCCAGTCACCCCGGGTGCCGGCCTGACGTCCAGAAGTGACCTGCCTGGGCTCACATGGGAGAACACGGCGAGAGGCCAACTGGGCTTTGAGGGCTGGCTGGGGGCCTCGGGAGACAGAGATGTGAGGTGGGGGCTCACCATGAGGACAGCCGTGGTGCTGGTGGTGACCCTCGGGGGGGCTGTGCAGGTCGTCCGCTCCCTCGGAAGAGGCTGGTCAGGCTGGCTGGGCCAGGCCGGGCTGAGAGCTGCTGCAGGAGGAGGGGGAGCTGGAGTCAGAGGGGCTTCCAGAGAGGGCAAGGCATGGGGAGTGGAAGACCCCAGATCTGGGGCAGAACCGGCCCCTGAAGGACACTGGACGTGGAGCCCAAGACCCAACCAGCCCCCCACAAAGTGCCCTGGGGCTGGGCAAACTCATTCATGGCTGGGGCATCCATGGGCATCCAGGGAGCTACCCCAACCTGGCCACTTGGACAGTCTGCATTTTAGCCCCCTCATGCCATCCCAGGGGACCTCCCCCGCCCCTCCCCACCCCCTCCTACGGCCTAGAGGGAGCCAGGAAGGGCATGGGGTGGTCTGGGGACCTAATGCAGCCTAGGCAGACCGCAAAGCCTGTCCTCGTACTGCCTCTCCCCCACCCCTACAAACACCCTCCCTAGTAAGAAACACATTCTGCATCTCACACACACACACACACACACACACACCCCTACGTGTGACTAGATCACTACAACCCATTCCATTCTCACTACCTATGGGACTAGCTGATGATTTTCATGCTGTCTCATTTCATTTTGATAAATGCTGGCCACAAGCCCTTAACGGGTGGTGACCTGCAGTTTGAGGACCATTCACCTGCCTTCTGCGAGCCCCTGGACACTCGGCCTGCTGGAGATGGACAATGGCAGCAGATCCCGAAGGGGCCTAGGTCCCAGTGACCTGACATTGGATTTACTTCTGCACAAGCAGAGACCCAGAGAGGGCTTGAGGCTGCCCAAGATCACAGGCAGGAGAGCCTGGCCCTGAGGGGCTCAGAGCTCACAGAGGGACTCCCGCAGGGTGGGCAGGAGGCCATAGAATTGTGATTATAATAAGGGCCCATTATGGAAAATGGTGATTCTCCCTTTAAAGAAGCAACGAAGACAACAGAGGAGACCTGGAAGAAGTCGGGTGTTGGGCGATGGGAGGGGTGACCCCAACCCCGTCCTGAGTGTGCCCAGTTGCCTGGAGTCAGCTACTCCCCCACCAACCCCCTCGAAGGATCTCAGAGGGGAGGCCAGAGGCATCCACTCCCGGCACCCATGGCCCCTGCCAGCCCTCCCGGAGACGCGTACTCACAGGTGGGGCTCCCAAGACCTGAGCCCCCTCTTCTTCCATCCTCTGGGGAGAGCCTCGCCGCCGACAGCGGAGGAGGGGGGAAGGGTGGGGGCGGGGGCGTCATCAGGAGTGGCACCTGCGGGTGGACAGGTCTGGTCAGCAGGAGGCCCAGGTGGGCCTCGACCTGGGCTGCCAGTGCTACCAGGTGGGGCTGGGGGCTTCCAGTGGGCTAGCCCTGGCCCCGGCCCGGGGGCGCTGCACAGCTTGTGGCAGGGCTAGAGAGCAGGAGGGAGGGGCAGTGCCCCTTGAGCTTCTGTCCCCCACCCTGTGTCTCTCCACCCCCTCCACACTGGGTGACAGGGTTCCCCAAACGCCCCATGCACTCGTCTGAGTGTCATCTCCCACTGTGAGCCCCCATGCCATTCCCACGGGTGAACCCCCATCTTAAGGCCCCTCAAGGCTCAGGGGCTCCCTCTGGAGGCAGCTTAACTGGGCAGCTGCGGGCACTGGGTTAGGGCCTGGTGACCAGCTTTTTCTCACCAAATGGCCTTACGAGGGATGCGTGCACACGCACACATGCACACATATGCATGTGCACACACAGACTCCCTGACTGTCCCTGACTTCTGTGCTGAGACGAACCGCCTGGAACCACCACACTCTCTGAGGGGAGAGCAGGTGGCCGGCCCCTGGGCACAGGGGAAAACCACAACGAACTTGGAACTTCTCAGCCCCATAAGCGGGGACCATGGCCACACATCAGAGCAGTGGCGCTGTGCCCACCGTGGACCCATCATGCAGTGTCCAGGCTGCCTGGAAACAGACCACCAAGATCAACCCCGGGAACCTGGTGTCGGGGAAATCATGCCCGGGGCTGCAGGGGCACCCACGCCTCACCTCTACCCCCTGCCACACGTCTGGGGCAAGGCACAGACCTGGCCGTGGCCACGTTCCCTGCCTCCAAGCACTGACCAGTGGATGGCCAGAAAGAGCCGTTGACCTGGAAGTCTCCCCGATCTCAGCCCCACGAGGCCTCAGCCTTTGCATCGGACCACAGGACCAAGAGTCCCAGGGCTGCGGAGCAGGAGGAGCAAGGCCCATGGGCTGCCCTAACACCGCAGGTGCCATCAGCAGTGGGACTGTGCTTGCCTCCCCGCCCCGGCGTGTCCCTCTTTAGGCAGCAGGGAAATTCCCCAGGAGGACACCTGAGCTGCCCTCCCAGCCAGGCTTGCCACCTTCTGGTTTAGAGCTGAAAGTTGAAGGCTGGCTGACCCTGTCTCTTGGAGAGCAGGTGCCTGGGCTCCCGGCTGCACCCATGTCGCCTTCATGCCCGACTACCACACAGCTGCCCCCACTTGCCTCTCCAGCTAGTAGGGCCACAAGCTGCGTTCCCTCTGAGAAGCCCACCCTGGCTGTCAGACTCAAGCTCCTCGCTTCCCCCCAGCAGTGGGCAGTGGAGACGGGACACAGCCTCAGGGCCCCCAGGTTGGCACTGGAGAGAGCCCTGAGTGGGACAGAGGACTTGGTTCAAACCAGCCGCATGCAGGACGTGTGGCCTGGGGCTGGAGCCGTGCGTGGCCTGTGCTGCAGCTCGGTTTAACGCTCTGCTGTCTCTTGAAATTCTCAGGCATTTGTGAACAAGAGGCCAGCATTGTCATTTTGCACAGGGCCCTGCACGTGAAGTAGCTGGTCCTGCTGCTGCAGACCCCTTGGCCGCTCTCAGCATCCCTGTGCTCATCCGTAGGGGGGGCCCAGTCCCACCTCCCAGCAAGGAGATGCAAGCCTTAGGTGCCACCCCAGCCTGGGGGTGCCCTCAGGAGAACCCTGGCTCTGCACCCACTGCTCCAGTCCCTCAGTCGCTCTCCTGTCCAGGACCCTCAGTCCACTGTGGCCGCTGGGAAGGAACAGGCTGAAACCCCATCTGCCCAGCCATCACGCACCTCACGCCTCACTCCTTCCAGGAATCCGTGCGGAGAGCCCAGGATCCCAGGCGCAGGGTGGGGAGCGTCTGCCGGCCCGCCTGCCTGGGAGGACCCTCGGGAGCAGGGTCTGGGCTGTGAGCACCAGGAGCTGCGGCCGTCCTGGGCTGTCGGGGGCTGTCGCAGCTGCCGCCCATGGGAGCGGGAGGCATCGCATTAATATTTGAAGGCCAAGGTGTCAGGTGGCCAGGCGGGCTTGGGCTGGGTGTGGGATCCCTTACCTTGGCACCTTAACCATCCACAGTGCGGGGGCCCGGGGAGCAGACCCTCAGGGAAGGTTGGGGAGATCTGAGGTCCCTGGGTCATATGAGAGGAAGAGACCACCCAGAGGAATCCCCCAGTATAGTACCTCCACCCCCAGTACAGCCCCCAGGGTACAGATGGGGAAACTGAGGCTCAGAGAGGGCAAGGGGCTTTCTTAAGGCCCCACAGCTGGGACGTGGCAGAGCTGGGTTCAGAATCTTACTTGAGATCCCAGTCCCTGCTCCTGCCAGGACTGGGAGCCCTCAAATCGCTGCTCCTTTGGTCCAGGGGCACTGGCAGTGGAGGAAGAAGCAGGTGGGTGGGGCTCGGGGGCAGAGGAGGCCTTGGCGCTGGTTGAGTCTCTCACATTCCTACCAAGGATGCGAAGCCCTGGCTGCTCTTTACCCAGCCGTTTCTCAGGGCTGCGTCTACAGAGAGGGACCCAGAGGGCCAAGCAGGCTGCTTTCTACCCGCTATAAAACAGGGGTTCCCCAGGCTCAGTGGTCCTCGGCTGTGACACAACCCCACTGTGTGCACAGCAGCTGTCTGGGCCCATATCACGTCACCCTGAGACTTGGCGGGCAAGGGAACCCAACAAAACATGAGGCTTGCTTCCTGCTGTGTGTCTCGGACCCGAGAGTCTCGTGTCTTCTCCCAGCGTCCACAATGCAGGCACAGGGTGGCTTAAGAGCTTTAAGTAGGGTCAAGTCAGTCCCTAGACCCTGCGGCACAGAGAGAAGCTGGCTCTGACAGTCTGATGGACACAGGAGGGCTGAACCCCAGGTGGGCCCTCGCCACAGGGCCACCACAATGCCCTGGTCCCTGCCCAGCCAGGACAGAGCTGTGAACCTGACAGTGCTTCCCCCTGCTCTCTTCCCCAACCTGGAGCCCTCAGCCCCTCCCCCCATTGAATCTGCTCCCAGGGGTGAGGGCAAGGACCTCCCCTCCCCGGGCAGAGTGCAGGGCTTGGCTGGGGTGGCAGCAGCCTCCTCATGCGGGAGAAGACAGATGGAAGAGGTGGGAAGCTGGTCTGAGGCTCAGGGGAATGGACTTTTGGCCCAGAGCAGCACCTGTAGCCTGGGGGACCTCATGCCACCCTCCCGGTCCCTGGGGCCAAATCCTGCTCCACCTGTGGCCCGGGAGAAGCCCTGGGGAGTCACTCCCTGAGCCTCAGTTTCCTCGCTGGGAAGTCAGGAAGAACTCTGTAGTTGTCGGGAAGATGGGAATTATGGAGAGCGCCTGGCACATGGTGGGACCCAGACCTCATGGCTGTTGTTACCACGGTGTCACCATGATCTCTGAATTTTAACTGGGACAGAGTTCTGCTGTGGTGTTTCCCAGGTGACGGGAGTGTCTACGTCCCTGTGTCCCACATACGGTGCTGGACGCTAAGTGAATCTACAAGCACCTGAAGGAGTGGTGGATGTTGGGGCCCGACCTTTGTGGTCCTGACAGTTGGGCATACGCTGCAGTGGCCCGAGGTTGGCGCCCTTCCTGCGGCCTGCTGTCTCTTCTGCGTTTTTGGTGAGATTTGAGCAGCGCTGTGCCTGCCATGCATTATACATCGAGGACAGCTGTGCGAGCCGGGTTACAGGCCTGTAATGCCACCCAGGCCGAGAAAATCATGACCCGCAGATGGGCGCAGGACACCGGTCACCACAGCTGAGATTCGGTTTCTGGCCGCATGGTCAAGGCCCCTTCCCTCCCCGGGGGAAGAGGGTGCCCAGGGGTGTCTCCCTTGCCCTCTCTGGGCCTCAGTTTCCCCCTCTGTAAAATGAAGGGGTCCTGGAGCCCTTCTGGACCTGGGGGTGGGGAGTTAGCACCTGCTGGGTGCTCCATGTGCGTTTCTACCCTCCGAGAAGGCTCCTCAGTCCCATTTCACAGATTCGAGAAAATGGAGGCTCGGAGACGCTCAGAAGTTGCCCAGCCAGGAAGGCCTGCTCCAACCGTGGTGGGAGTGAGCACAAGGGTAGGGGCAAGCAGGACAGCCCCAGATGCCATGGGAGACACTGAGGGGCTTGGGTCCCCGAGCACAGAGGCCACCCTTGCCATCCTGGGCTGCTGTTCCTAACTGCTGCCGCCCGGCCAGGATCTCACTCAAACCTGGCCCTACAGCCAGGAGCCCAGCTGTCCAGCCCACTGCCTGGGGGTTGGGGTACAGGTGGCCCCTCTGGCCACTGCCCCACCCGAGTCAGAGAGGCCCAGCCCCTCACTGGGCAGGGGGTGAACCCAGGCCCTGCAGACCCGCCTATGCAGTGGATACCTCCCACAGGGCAGGTCTCACCACTCCCCGTCCAGCGTCGTGGTGCCCCAGGCTGCCTCTCTCGGGACCTATGACTCCTGGGAGCAGACACAGGCTGCCCTGTCACGGGGAAAATGATGGCTTTCACCACCTCCTTGGAGCCCGACATGGGAAGAGGCCAGCCCCGGCGACCTCCAAGGATCGCGTTGCCATCAATATTTCATCAGGCACACAGCCCTCCCTGGCCCCGCAGCCCAGCTGACAGCCTGCCCTCCCACGGAGCCGAGACTGAGGTGAGGTGGGGACCTGGGGGATGACTCCAGCCAGGGCTGAGAGACTGGCACCCCGCTGCCCCGGGCGCTCACTGAGGGAGGACAGAGACCGAGGCTCCAGTCGGAACCCTCAGTCCTGAAGCTCGCTGTGGACCCAGCAATGAGCCGCGAGGGCCAGGGGTTTGGATCCGCGTGTGCTGGCCGGAAGCAGGCTGGTGGGCACTGTGGGTCCGAAGGAGCTGGATGGGCCCACCTACGCGCCACCACCTCAGGCCGGGGCAAGAGGACAGGCGGGGCGCCGCTGGCCTGCAGGTTGGGGTGGGGAGGATACACAAGCAGCTCAGACCGGCTTGGGGAATCCTGAATGAAGGGGACCCTGTCTTGAGTTTGTGATGACACCAGGGGACATCCAAGACCACAAGAAGCCCCAGGAGGCCTGAGATGGGCTGTCCCCCACAGCTCTGGGGAGAGCACGCAGAGCCACCATCCCCTTAAGAGAGCTGGGGAGAGTGGCCAGGAGGGGCTGGCAGATGTGCCAGGGTCTGGGGATGGAGGCCCAGGGCCAGAGACCCTGCTTGGACAGAAGACCAGGCCAAGGGCAGCACAGCATGGCTGGGCCGGGGACGGGTCAGCGACCCCAGCCAGAGGCCCTGGCAGCAGAGCAGCTGCCGGCCCCACCTCCTAATCTCAGTGGCCAGGCCGACCCCAGTGACCACACAGGGGCCTGGAGGGACCCAGGTGGCCGGGGCGTTCCTAGCCTCTGGACTCCGAAGCCGGTCCACTACACCAGGAATCCGCTGAGCTCCACCAGCTTCTCAAACCCACGCCAGAAAGACAACCTCTGATCGCACAACACCCAGTCGAACATTTGGTAAATGGATGATGAGTAAATAAGCTACTTTGAGCAGCAGCTGTAGTTCCCGCTTCTCAAACTATGACACCAGGATGAACGAGGGCACCGACATGTGCCCTGGAGCACCCACGCTGTCCTGGGGGTGGGTTTCAGGCTATGGGGACAAGAGGCTCTTGGCGGTGGCCGGGTGAGGACCGTCCTGTAGGCCCCAGTGACAAGGAGGACTGCGGCTCTGCCTCAGTTGGTCCTGGATCCTCTCAGGATGCCCCCAAGGGAAAAGGAGGTGACAACTGGTGTGGGGGGCATGTCACCTCTCTGGGTCTCACTGCTCGCACCTGAAATGGGCATGTGATCCCAGGGAACCTTCTGAAGGGGTGGCCACCAGAGAAAATTGTGGCAAGAGCTGTGGCAGGTGGGGACTAATTTGTCACAGTAACCGCCGTGGGCCTGGAATGAGGGAGCCTGGCTCCACGCGGACCAACTGCTGACTTCACCCACCTGCCCGGCTGTCTATCCACCCACTCGTCTGTCTGTCTGTCCACCCTCATCCATCCATTTGCTCTCCTGTTCATTCACTTGTTGCAGTCTGTCACATGCTGGGAGCTGGGGCCAGCAGGACAGATGAGGTCCCTGTCCTTATGGCTGGGGACATAGCTCAGAGAGATGTGAGGTCATGAAAGGTCACTCGCCAAGATGGGAGAGCAGGACTGGAACCTGCACAGGGCTGGCCTGGCCTCATCAGGGTCACCTCACCGAGGGCCCAGGGCCCTGATCCCACCCCCAGGTCATCCTCAGACTGACATAAAGTCACCCAACAGGAGCCTTGGCCAAGGTCCAGCCACAAGCCCAGGCCTGGTCCCAGCTATAGCCCCAGCGCTGTCATGGCCCCTGTCACGGCCCCACTCACAGCCCCAGTCACGGCCCCTGTCATGGCCCCTGTCACGGCCCCTGTCACAGCCCTGTCACAGCCTCTGTCATGGCCCCTGTCACAGCCCCAGTCACGGCCCCTGTCATGGCCCCTGTCATGGCCTCACTCACAGCCCCAGTCACGGCCCCTGTCATGGCCCCTGTCACAGCCCCTGTCACAGCCTCTGTCATGGCCCCTGTCATGGCCCCTGTCACATCCCTTGTCATGACCCCATCAGATCCCCAGTCACACCCCATCACGTCCGATGTCACATCCCCTATTACAGCCTCTGTCACATCCCTAGTCACACCCCATCATATCCCCTGTCACATCTGCTGTCACAGCCCCGTCACAGCCTCTGTCATGACCCCTGTCACAGCCTCTGTCATGGCCCCTGTCACGGCCCCTGTCACAGCCCTGTCACAGCCTCTGTCATGGCCCCTGTCATGGCCCCTGTCAGAGCCTGGCCTCAGTGCCTGGCCAGCTGGCTTGTGGCACTGCCCCAGTCCTGGCCCCTTTTCCTGCAAACGACAGGGTGTGTGCAGTGAGCTTTCTAGCTAATTGGGCTGTCAGGGCAGTGGGGGGGCCCTGTCACCCCAGCCCCCCAGGATGGACACGGACCTCAAGGCTTACCGGCCGGGCTGTCTCCCGCAGGTACTGGGCGCAGTCCTGGTGTCCGTGGTATTCTGCCAGGTCTGCAGCCGTGTAACCATCTTCATCCCGCAGGGAGGGGTCCACGTGGTGAGAGACCAGGGTCTGGCAGCACTGCAGGGAGGGGGCGCCCGTGTGACCCACTGCAGCACATGCCCGAGCCTGTGGCATTCACCCGGTGCTGACGGAGGGTGGGCGTGGTGCAAGCAGCTCACCAGCCCCATCTCCCGGGTGGGAAACTGAGGCTGCCAACAGCTGAGGAACCTGCCCAAGGCCCCGCTGGCATTCGCTGCAGGGGAGGACTTGAATCCCTGAGCCTCTCCCACAGCCGCCCAGTCCTGGCCGCAGTGGCGCTATGCCGTGCAGGCAACAGCAGCCCCTCATCCTGGCTGGGAGCTAAGGCGCCTGCGTCCAGGAAACGCCAAGGGCCCAGCTGGCAAATAGGTGGCACAGCCATGATCCTGGCCAGGCAGCCTGACCCTGACCTTGTCCTTGTAGCCCATGCCCCCAGCTTTAAATATGGAACCGGTTTTTACAGCAACCCTCGGAGGTGCGTGTCATTTTCATATGAAGAAACGGGCGCAGAACGATGGCCAATTACCGATGGGATTTGTGAGCAGTGGGTGGGTGGTCACAGATGATCAAGATGTAAGTCTGGAAATCTGTGAGGTGGCCATGCCGCCAGCAAAAACAGGTGGGCAGGGATCCACGTCAGGAAGTAGAGACCCAGGTGGGTCAGACCAATCCACTCCCAAAGGACAAGGTAAAAAATAGACCAAATGTAAAAGTCACCTTCCTAGAGCATCAGAGAGGCAACAGGAAGTGAGGAATCTCCCAGCCAAGCTCAGGAGACAAGGAAAATCCAGGGGGATAAGCCCATCACCCAGAACGGCTTTTGCCCTAAGAACACGCTTATGCAAGAGACAGTGTTCTAACCTGAGTGGTTCTTCTGTAGCCTCACAGGACGAAGGAGACCAGGAAAAGCTCAGGGTCCTCAGAGGTGGGAGCTCTGATTCACCACCTCCCACTATGGGCTGAGGGCTCCACCCTCAGAGAAAAGGCAAGCCAGAAGCCAGCCAGCTCTCTGCTTCCTGCCAGGCAGGTGGTCCAGGGAACCTCGAGCCTGGAACGTGGACTAAGACACTCCTGGACTGGCAGTTCCCACGTGTGCCTGCCAGGCAGAGGGAATCTGATGTCATCCCAGACCTCAAGTGAGGCCTACGAGTCATTCTTCAAATGTAACGTCCAGCATACAGTCAACAAAACCAGGAGCACAAGCCAATAAGAGACCAGAAGTGAGAATTGGAGGACCCAACACACAAGGAAATAGACCCGCAAAGACCTGAGAACTCATAGACCAACACAACTGTGCTTCCTACTTTCAAAGAAACAAAAACCAAGCTTGAAAACTTAGGATGGAATTATGAACCATAAAAAGCAACACAGTAGCCTTGAAAAATGACTAATTAGAAGGTCAAGAACATAAAAATAATAACCAAGTTAGAAATGGAAGCTGAAGGATTAGTAAACAAAATTGGTCAGAAGAAGCAACACAGAATATAGCACAGACAGACACAAGGATGAAAACAGAAGAAGCAGTGGATACAGTACGGTCTAAAACACATGTAATATTATTCCCAGGAAGAGGGTAGAATAGAATGGACACAGAGGTCACATCTGAAGGCATAATGGCGGAGAATTTTATAGAATTGATGGAAACACCAAAGCACAAATTTGAGACACCCAGCCAATCTGAGGTAAGATAAGTAAAAAGCAAGCCACCTCTACTCCTATTGTAGTGGAATTGCGGAAGACCAAAGACAAAGTGAAAATCTTAAAAGCAACAAGAGAAAAAAAAGATTATCTTGAAAAGAATCACCCTGGACAGCTGACTTCTTGATAGAAGCCAGAAGGCAATGGTATTTTAAGAGCATGAAAAGGAAATAAGTGGAAATTGCCAAACTACAATTCTATACCCAGCAAAAATATTCTTCAATGTTGATAATAAAACAATGATGTTTCTAGGCAAACACAATGAAATTAAGAATTTGCCAGCAGCAAACCCACACTGAGGGAACATTTAGGCATTTACTTCAGCCTGAGGGAAGTGATTCCATATGGAAGGGCTGAGATGCCAGAAGGAACGAAGACAAAAAAAGTGATAAATGTGTGGATAAGTTTAAATAAGTCCATATTCAACGACTGAATAAAAAATAATAATATCATGTATGTTTTTAATTGCCATCAGTGATGTCATTTTCCCAAAGAGTGAGCAATTCTGGGTAGAGTACTGACTAAAACAAAATGCTATCTTCCCTCCATGTATACAGTAGGACCAGCCTTGGAAAAGGCTTATGTATATTAAAACTATGAAGAAATATTGGTGTGCGGGTATACATATATTTGAGTTTCGGTTCTAAGCTTAGATAATTATATACACTTGAGCTGGATTCAGAGCTTAGATCATTATAAGCAGGTTTTCTACCTACATGCATGTCGGATCCATTGGGAAGCTGTGTGGGGCATGAGACCTTCTGTCACGGTGCAGGACTGTTCAGGAATAGCAGGTCACCTAATGTCCCCATATTGTAACACAAGTGCACCCCAATCATTGTAACAACCAGAAACAGCCCTGGAACACCCAAAAGCCAGCACAGAGGGTACTGCCCTGTTGAGAACCACTCATCTCATCTAAATAGTCTTCTGGTTCTCGAATCCTTGGGCACGAACTAAGCTAGTGCCCAATAACTACTTGTCGGAAGAGTGAGCATCTGAATGCAGGAGAGTGTGGACATGAATGGTTGGAGATTAAAGCCTCTGATGGATTAACTGGCAGTACACCGCTACCTTTTACAGGCACGGGAGGTGGACTGAGGCCATCATGTGCTCAGAATGCCTTTTTAGAGACTCTTACAATATGGTACTCGGTGAACATCCTTTCTTGAATTAGCAGCAACTTCAAGTTAGGCAGAACTTCCACCGAGTTATAACCACGTGTCTAAACCTTGAGGGAACCTCGTGTGCCCCTGTCTTCTGCTGTTCCCTTTTAAGTCTCATTTGCGAAGCCCCAGACCACGTCTCATCTTACAGCAACTCCCTGCAGCGTTGCCCTCCTCCAAACAACAATGACATCATATGCCCTCTTCTCGGGATCCCACAGCAGCTCCCAAATGCCTCTTTACACCATAGTGAAACTAGTCACGGGCTCCAAGTCTCCTCACCGGTGACTTCTTCCTGTCAGCCCCAGCTTCCGCTCTGCTCTGTTCCAGCAATCTGACCACTTCTAACCCTCTCTCGCTCGCTGGAAATCCTGCTCCTTCCCATGTTCAAGTCACTGGTTTAAGAATCACCACCTCAACAACAACAAAAAATAACAACCTCATCAAAGACTGGGCAGAGGGTATGAACAGACATAATTCCAAAGAAGATACACAGACAGTGAACAGGCACACGAAAAGGTGCTCAACATCACTAATTACTAGAGAAATGCAAATCAAAACTACAGTGAGATATTACCTCACACCCATCAGAATGGCTATTATAAAAAAGATGAGGGCCGGCCCCGTGGCCGAGTGATTCAGTTTGCATGCTCCGCTTCGGCAGCCCAGGGTTTCGGTGGTTCGGATCCTGGGCACAGACATGGCACCGCTCATCAGGCCATGCTGAGGTGGCGTCCCACATGCCACAACTAGAAGGACCCACAACTGAAAATACACAACTAGGTACTGAGGGGCTTTGGGGAGAAAAAGCAGAAAAAAAAAAAGAAGATTGGCAACAGTTGTTAGCTCAGGTGCCAATCTTTAAAAAAAAATAAAAATAAAAAAGATGAGAAATAACAAGTGTTGGAGAGGATGTGGAAAAAAGGAACCCTTATACACTGGCAGAGGGAATGTAAATTGGTGCAGCCACTATGGAAAACAGTATGGAGATTTCTCAAAAAAGTAAAAATAGAACTATCATATGATCCAGCTATTCCACTGCTGGGTATTTATCCAAAGAAGAGAAAAAACTAATTTGAAAAAAATACATGCACCCCTATGTTCATTACAGCATTAGTCACAATAGCCAAGACTTGGAAACAAGCTAAGTGCCCACCAATGGATGAATGAATAAAGAAGATGTGGTACATATTTACAATGGAATACTACTTTGCCATAAAAAAGATGAAATTGTGCCATTCGGGATAACTTGGATGGACCTTGAGGGTATTCTGCTAAGTGAAACGAGTCAGACAGAGAAAGACAATTACAGTATGACTTCACTCATATGTTGGAGATAAACAAACATACAGATATGGAGAACAGATTGGTGGCTACCAAGGGGAAGGGGGTGGGGGGAGGGTGAAAGGGGTAAAGGGGCACAAATGTTTGGTGATGGATGGAAACTAGACTTTTGATGTTGAACACAATGCAGTCTGTCAAAATATAATGATGTACACCTGAAATTTATATAATGCTATAAAGCAATGTGACCTCAATAAAATTGAAAAAAAAGAATCACCCATCTCTATGAATTATTTCTAGATTAGCTCAGTTAATGCAATTCACACAGACAGTTCTCAAGATTGACTGTACATCAGAATCACCTAGGTTTTAAAAAGTCCTGGTACTCGGGCTCCACCCAGGACCGATTAAATCGGAATCTCTGGGGAGGGAGGAAGGGAGAGAGGGGTGGAGCCCGGGCATTAGAACATTGTAAACCCGTCCTGGAGAGTCCCAGAGTGTGTCCCAATTTGAGAACCACCGCACTAGCCCTATACACGGCACCTAAAATCCTAAACAAAATGCTAGCAAATTAAATTCGGCTATATACAGACGAGATAATATATTGTGACCAAGTTGAGTTACTCCAGGAATGCAAGGTTGGCTTAACATCTTAGCAAGTAATCAGAGACGAAAGCAAGGTCTAGAAGAGATATGTGCACACCCACGTTCACTGCAGCGCTATTCACAACAGCCCAGACGTGGAAGCCACTCAAATGCCCATCAACGAATGAATGGATAAAGACGATGTGGTAGAATATTAATAACGGAATATTATTCGGCTTTAAAAAGGAAGGAAATCCTGTCACATGCTACAACGTGAGTGAACCTTGAGGACATTCTGCTAAATGAAATGAGCCAGTCACACAAAGACAAACACTGTATGATTGCACTTACAGGAGGTCCCTAGAGTGTCAAACTCATAGAGACAGAAAGCAGAGAGGTGGTTGCCAGGGGCTGGGGCGGGAGTGGGGAGTTCTTGTTTAAGGGGTACAGAGTTTCAGATTTACAAGATGAGAAACTTCTGTAGATCTGTTGCACAACAACGTGCAGACAGCTAACACGACTACACTGCACACTCAGAAATGGTTAGGAGGGTAAATTGCATGTTATATGTTTTTTTACCTCAACTGAAAAATCAAGTAATCAGTGTAATTTGTGCCATTCAAAGAAAAAGACTATGATCTAGTGAGACAAAAAACTTACTAAACTACCGTCACTCCCTCTGGAGGTTGCTGAGGTCCAGCTCATTATTCGGAAGTTTTGTTTTCAAAAACGGGGAACTACCGCCGTCACAGCCAAGAGGAGCCTTAAGGAGACGCAAGGAGTAAATGTCATGTGGGACCCTGGAGGGGATGCTGGAATGGGAGCAGGACATTAGGTGAAGACCAAGGAAATCTGAATGAAATGTGGGCTTTGGTTAACAAGGTCGTACCGATTTGGGTTCATTAATTGTGACAAATGTACCATACTAACGTAAATTGCTGATAACAGGGGGAAATGGATGTTAGTCTATGGGAACTCTCTTGACTAGTGTCTCAACTTTTCTACAAATCTAAAATGATTCTAAACTATTCTAAAATAAGAATTTATTTTAAAATGCGGGAGGATCAAGCATTAGCCTATATTCCCTGGATGAAGTATAATTCTGGAACTGTTAAAGGATTAAGAGACTCAACAGACAAATCAGTACCATGTGGACCTTGTCTGGGTCAAGCAGACAAGCAGAGTCAGGGAAATGGATGTGAGATGGGAATTAGCCAGACTGGATAGATATTAAGAAATTATTGCGAATTATTTTTAGGTGTGATAATTTGAGGTTGTGATAAAAAACAACGGGAGTCCTCATCTCTTGGAGATGTCCGCTAAAGTGTTTATGGATAAACTAATGTGCCATCCCTGATGCGTTCCTGAGTAACACAGTGGGACGGGCGGGAGGGAGTGGCCGAGGAGCGAGGAAGCCAGCTGAGCCAGGAGCTGAGGACCACACACACTTTTCTGAGTTGAGAATTTCTGTAATAAAAAGATTGGAAAGAAGAGCAGTTCTCAGCTCTGAGGCCTGAGTTATTTTGTTTTCATGTTAAGGGTAGGCGAGGAGCTGGTGGATTCTTGGCTTAGCTGTTCCACTTCTCAGGCTCCTGGAGAGTATTTCAGGAAAAAAGATAATGCTCCTTAAAGAAAAGTTTGTAAACCCCCGCTCCAGGCCCCCTTCCCGACTTTGGAAAAGCCACAGGCACTGGCTTGGCTCCGGGCCACCACCTGCCTGTCGGGGACACGCTCTCCCTCACCCCCCGCCCACAGGCACCTCTGAACTCCTGATCCTGGCACCTCCTCCCCGGGCTCTCCTTCTTCAATGGAGCAGGACAGAAAGGAGGACTGCAGGGTATCTGCAGGCCTTCCCTCCCCTCTCAGGTCTGCTGAGGTCTGTCGCTGCCGGCCAGCCCGAGGTGTGCCCCACCCCCACCCTGTGTCCCCTCCCGTCTACGTAGGGGATGGGAACTGGGGAAACGTGCTGGGGGAGTGAGTCCTATAGGGCTGAGAGGCAGGGGAAGCCAGGGTAGGGAGGAGAGGGGGCGCTCGGAACTCCAGAGGGCAGAGAGCCAGAGAAAGACCAAGCTGTGAGCTGGGACTGGTCTCCTCCGCGTTGTCCAGCGGGACCGAGGGCCTTCTGGGGACTCTTGTTGCTGCCCTGGGCTTCTTTCACTCGACACTGCTGAGACCGGGCCCCCTGGGCCCCAGGGGACACTTTGAGCTCCAGCTGGGAACAGGCTCCACAATTGTAGACCCAAAATAGGGGACTCAGTTGCACCTCCTTAAAATCGTCCTCCTTGCCCAGCCTCGCCTGGGTCCCCAGCGCGGTTCTCACGGCTCCAGACGGCAGCAGGCTGAGCCCTGGGCTGCGAGCGTGACATAAGAAGGCCAGGAGGCAGCATGGGGATGAGCGGGCCCCTCTGGAGATGTGCTGTGGAGGACCGCGTGGGGCAGGTAGGGGAGGAAACCAAGCATCACCCTCAGGTGTGGCCTGTCTTTATGTGAGGTCCACGTGCAGGGTGCCAGTGCAGGTGCTGCCGCTGCGGGCTGGGCCCATTCTCAATGTCGGGCCTTAAGTAGTTGAACACCAGCCTGGGCTTCTCTGGGTTCCTGGCCGTTGTTTCCTTGACACTAGGCCACGTGAGCCCCCAAGTTTTATTTGGATAATAGCAAAGGGGCCAACTTCAAGCCCCTGGCTGCGGTGGGGCTCACAGCAGGGGCCAGCAGATATCCCGGGGGATTGTCAGGAAGGCCAAGCCCTGAGAAGGCACACGGGGAGTCTCTGTGCAAAGGGAGGGGGCACATATGGAGGGGAGAGCATGGATTTTGTTCCAAGATAGATCAGAGTCTGGATTCTGGGCAAGTGACTGACCCTCTGAGCCTCAGTTTACCCATCTGTAAAAGAGGAATAATAACATCTACCCTACAGGGTTGTTATGAGGGTTGAGTTACATAGGAAGTGCCTGGGCATAGTAAGAATTCCAGGACTGCTGGTTCTCGCCCCACCCCGACCCCCGCGCAGGCCCCCCCACACCAGAGCTTCCTGCCACACCTGCCTCACCTCCATCTGCCCATTCTCTGCTGCGTCATGCAGTGGGGTGCCCCCCCAGGAGTCTCTCATGATGGGTGCACCCATCAGCAGGAGCCGGTCCAGAATGGGCGTGTGGCCGCCACGAGCAGCAAAGTGGAGGGCTGTGGCCCCCTCGTTATCCCGCGCTGTCAGACCAATGTCTGTGAAGCTGACCTGTAAAGGAGGTGGGGGAGAAGCAGCTGAAGCTGGACAGAGGTGACCACTCCCAGGGAGAAGGATGGCTGCCATGATGAGGACATGGGGAGAGGGAGCCCGGCGCAGAACTGGGGGGTGACCTTCGGGGGCAGGAGCACCCCTCTCCAGGAAGCCCTGGAGACAGAGCTGGCTCCTCACACGCACCGGGTCACCCTGGGCATCGCAGGGGAAGTGAGCTCAGTGGTTTTATTGGGAGGTTCCACAGTCCCCAAATCGGCCCCAGCCCCAAATCTTAACCCGAACATCCCCAGGGACGTGGCTTCACACCTCAAATGAACAAATGCTTCGGCTGGCACCAGGGGACAGTAAGGGATGTTTGCTGATGGAGGAAGGGAGGGAGTGGGGAGGGCAAGGGCATCCTCTGGTACCAGGTCCATGTGTGCCCTGAACACGGCTGCAGGGCAAGGACACAGGGATGCTGGGCAGCAGGTCCTGCACGGCCTCTCCTCAGAGCGCCGGACCCTGAGCCTGGTCATCCTCTGGTTTGGCCTTGTCCTACTGGCAGCCACATGAGTGACTTCTGGCTGGCCCCTCCTCTCGGGCCCTCAGCTGTGCCTCCGGGAGGGCACCAGTGGGCTGCAGTCCACAGCATCCAGCCAGGCCTTGGGGGGATGTTGGGTCCAATGCTGTGGTTGCCCACCCACTTCTCCTACGGGCACACAGTGGACTCTGTGCACCTGGGACAGCCATGAGGCCCAGGCTGCCAATGAGACATCAGGGACTCTTGTAGGAAAATTCTGCTTTCCTGATAGGAGCAGCTGGTGGATGTCTGTCACCCCCTTTCCCCCTCTTCCTGCCTTGAATAGGCCAACGTCCACCATGAGGGAAAGGCCAGGAGAACAGCAGAGATGTGGCCCCATGGGAATGGGGTTGGGCGGCTGACCCAAGGTCAACGGCCCCCTGCTGCTTTCTATGTGGAAGGGACAACCTTCAGGCTCTTCAGTCCTCTGGTCACCTGCAGCCAAAAGCATTGCTGGCTGATCCAATGTTCAAACGTGTTTGTTAGGAAAAGGACAGTGAGGCTGGAACAGAGGCCCCCACAGCCGCCAGCTACCCCCAGGAGAGGGTGCCCTGCCCTGGAGTGAGTGAGCCTGGCTGGAGGCCGCCCCCTCCCCACTCAGCCCATCCCGCAGGGAGGAGGGGGCAGGGATTCACATCTAGAAAGGCCCTTCTGGCCCTGGGTGGCGGGGCCCCGGATGCTCCTCCCCCAGGATGAACTGGTGGGGCTCCCTGGGGCTCAGCGGATACTCGGTCACGCCCCCACTCCTCCCGCCCTGTCCTGGGCACCCCCCCCCCCCCCCCCTCTGAGCTGCTGCTCCCCAACCTGCACAGCCCCCTGGCTCCCTTCCATTTGCCGAGAACCTGCTTGTGCATGGCCCTGTGGCCAGAGATGGCCAGGACTCAAGCTCACCCCAGGGACTTGGAATCCAGGGGTGGGGAAGGCCACACCTGAAGCGGCTGGGGTCAGAACTACAGGAGAGGGGACATGGGGACAACTCTTCCCGATGGCCAGGGTGGGGCCGACATCTGGAGAGTCGGTGCAGGGGGTGCCCAGAGCTCCTCCTGGGAGAGGAGCCAGCTCTGGCAGGGGGAGCTGCGGAAAGGCAGCCCAGGAGGGGATGCAGCCCGTGCAGAGGTGTGGCACCGGTGGGTGCCTCAGGGCCAGCTGAGGGAGGCTGGAGGCAAAGGCTGATGGCCTCTGAGGCCAAGGTGAGCAGCTGGACTTCATCCTGAGGCCAGGGGAAATCATTTGTCCTTCATTCATTCATTCACTCACTAAGCACCTCTGGAGCCCTTATGATGTGCCAGCCCCTAGAAAGGCAGCAGATGACAGAGTCCCTGCCCCCCGGGGCTCCTGGAACTTATACCCAGGGGTGCAAATAGACAACTACCAAGATAAAGAAGTCAAATTCCGTTTGTCAGGTGTTGCTGCCGTGGAGGAAAGACTGCAGGGGAGCAAGATGGAGGGCTGGGCGGGGTGGCTGCCATCCTAAAGGGGGGCAGGCCACGCACACCTGGGAGCTGCCACCTGGCAGAGGGTGCAGTGCATGCAAAGGCCCCTGCTGGGGCAGGAGTGAGGCTGGCCTGGTGGAGGAAGGGCTGGAGGAGGTCCCATGGGCAGTGGGGGGTTCTGAGCAAGGAAGGGCTCTCCCTTCTCCACCAGCGGCCAGTGTGACCTTCAAGATGCCCGTCAGACCTGCTGTTCCTGGCTCACAGCCTTCAGTGGCTCCCCAGGGCCCTCAGGAAAGAGCCCTGGTCCTCCCCGGGCCTCTGCCTTTCTCACCTGGCCCCGCCCCACGGGCCAGGCTCTCCTCAATTTTGAACCAGCTCTGCTCTCCTCTAGGAATTTAATTTAATTTGGAATCCGTCCCTTGCCCAGCCACCTTGGGTCCATCCTTGGTTCAGCCCTGAAACGTCTGTCACCTCCTCAGGGAGGCCCTTCTCCTCTGAGACCTGATCAGTTCTCTGGAACAGACTCAGAGCTCCTGGAAGCCCCACCTGGTCTGCTTTTCCATGGTGCAGGCAGGAAGTCCCCAGTCCGTCCTGAAAGAAGGCCTCCCCCAAACCCGGGCCACTCTGTGTCCCAGGGTCTCAGGGCTTCCTTCCGGAAAGAGGCCTGAATGACCCCTCCACAGGCCCAGAGGGAAGAGGGCTGGGGACCTGCCCAGGGCTCTGAGGCAGCAGGGCGTGAACAGGTGGCCAGATGGGCCAGGCACTGCTGGTGCCCAGCACAAGTGACAGAGCACTGGGATGCCACTAACCCTGAGAGCCCCCAGGAGACCCACCAGGACTCCTGGGGGAGGGAAAGGAGAGCCCCAGGGGGAGGGCTGCACGTCCCCATGGTCCTGCATGGGCTCTGAAGTCCGGTTTACCCCAGGGCCGGTTCCAGCTGTGGGACCCTGGCTGTGCTCCCAGGCCTAGGCTGGGTCTGGCAAACACGGGTGCTGGAAGCTGTGGGGGGCACATCTGATCCCCCAGCAATCCTGTGGGTCTCCAGCGCTCAGGTGGGCAAAATGAGACCTGGGAGGTGGAGCCCCCACCCTAGCCAGGCCCTGCTTGCTCAGAGGCGGCTCTAGAGCCAAGGCACGAGCAGGTGCCAGCCTGCCAGCACCTCCACCACCCCCACCTCTGGCGCCCCCTTACCAGCCAGACGACGAGGGAGTAGTGGCCGCGGTCGGCAGCGGCGTGCAGGGCGCTCATGCCGTCGAGGGCGCGCAGGTGCACGTCGGCACCACAGTCCTTCACCAGGAACTGGGCCAGGTGCAGGTGGCCCTCCTGGCAGGCCAGGTAGAGTGGGGAGGCGCCGCTGCGGGTTCGCCGGTTCACGCCACTGTGAGGGAGGGTGGGGTTCAGAAGGGGCTTGGCGGGGGTTGTGGGGGCAGGGGGCTGCTCCAGTCAAGGGCCCAGATGGAGGGGAGGGGTGGCCCTGCACCTGCCCGCCTGTTTGCATCCACTCCCCTTACTGGCTGAGGGGCTCCAGCCAGTCACCTGTAGGGTTGCACAGGCTGTGCATCCCCCAAGCGCACCAGTGGAGGACACTGGCCGTTAGAATCCGGTTCTGTCCAGGCCCTACCAAGCTGTGCGCACAGCTGGGTCTCGCCGGCAGGGGGCGCTTTAGGGATGAGTGGTCCAGTGGGGCCTGCTCTGTAAAGGGGCCGTGGTGAGCAGGACACTAGCCTGCCCGTGGGCGCCCAGGCCTGGCATCCAGATTCCGGGCCCCAGTGTGGATGGACTGGAGCAGGGTCACGGGATCTCTGCTTCCTGCTCTGCCCCACATTGCAGCAGGGTCAGGCGAGTTCTTGGTCCCTGGTCACCCGCTGCAGGGAGGGAGGGTCTCCGACCCAAGGCCCACCCCATCCCTCGGTGGCAAAGACGTCACCTCTGGCTCCTGTGGTTGGTGCCAGGTGGGAGTGTGGGCACCGGGGCATGGGACCTTCCCGTGTGTGTGCGTGCTTGCATGCGTGTGTGTGTGTGTCTGTGTTTTAACGTGAAGTCTCCCGGTTCTCAAATGGCAGAAACTACTTTAACAACTGTGGGTCTAAGAGACACTCTGCGGCCGGCCAGGCCTGGGGCGGCTGGTGTGGACACTCTGGGGAAGATGCACAGAAGTGAGTCCCGAAGGGCCAGGATGGGAAGAGCCGGGAATAAGAACCCTGTTCCACAGTGGAGCTGTCAGGCCTTGTCAGGAGCAAACATGGGATGGCCGGGACAGCCACCCAAACAAGAGGCCCCTCAGAGAAGAGGCTGGCGGGGTCGGGGAGAAAGGCAGCAGGTCAAGTGTGGGGTGGACCCCAGGCCCCACTGCCGGCCAGGACGGCAGCCCGGGGCACAGCCGGTGGGGAGGCCATGGGCGAGGCGCCCTAGACAGCCTGTTACTGTGCCCGCGGTCTCCTTCATGCAGGACAAGGACCAGGAGTGCCCACCGTGGGGAGTCCTGCTGCCCCTGCCTCAGTGGGGCCTGTCCCGTCCCTACCCCTCCCTCCTTGCCCATCCACCAGGGCCACCGAGGTGAGGAGGCTGGCCATCCTGGAGGGGCTCCCAGTGCAGGGAACGGGACAGTGCAGAGGGAGAATTCGGGCTGACTTGATGGGGCCTCAGTGCCTCCGAGTCCACTATGCAGCCTCCGCTCTCTTCAGGTGACTTGAGTGTGCCCACCTTCCCCAGCTGGGGAAGTTAGGCCCTGAGACATCCCCAGGTGGCGCCTGGAACTGCCTGGGCATCACAGGGCGCTTTCTGCCCAGGCTGTTCTAGCAGCTTCCTGGCTGTTCTCACTGCCCCCTCCCCACAGCTGGATGGCTGTGCCTCATCTGCTGTGGTACCTGGCCCGGCACCTGCACTGCGGCTGCCTGCAGGATCAAGGCCCTTCCCAGACCCCAGCTCAGAGCCTCACACCCCACTCTGCCTCCCACTCCCACTCTGGCTCCAGTCTGGCCTCCCCTTGCCCCCGGCACCTCGAAAGCCACCAACCTGTCCTCCTCTGTCCCCCCTGGTGCAGCCTCTGCAGTAGCCGGCACCCCCAGATTGCTGTCAGGAGGCGCCCCAGCCCCTCACCTGCCGTGGGCGGCCGTCAGGAGCTTCAGGCAGGTCAGGTCCCCGCTGACGGCAGCGTGGTGCAGCGGCAAGGCCCCCTCCAGCGTCTCCAGTGTGGCCGCATGGCCCTCTCGGAGCAGCCACTCCACCAGCACTGGGTGTCCAAAGCGGGCGGCCAGGTGCAGTGGGGAGACGCCTGAGGCATCTTGGTCCTACCAAGGCACAGATGGGGTGGCAATCAGATGGCAGGCCCAGACCACCCCTGCTGGCTGCACCAGTGAGGCCAGCGCCAGCTGCCAAGGCCACACTACCAGGAAGCATCCGCCCCCGGTTCGCTCCATCACACAGCACGAAGCGAGGCCCCTCTGCTGGACGGAGTGAGGCCACCTGCTCCAGGTAAGAGGCAGGGCTCGCTCTCAGGTTTAGGCCTCCCTGCTTGGTCACCCGGCCTCCTCCAGGCCCCTGCCCTGAGTGTGGCCATGGCTCCTTCCCGCTCTCTGCTCAGTCAGAAGGGCTTCCACTTGCCCAACGGTGCCCATGTTGGGTTTGGTGGTCTGCTCCATGTCTGGGGACACTGCCTCCTGGCCTCTGCCCCCACCCCCACTGAGTGCCAAGAGTCCTTGCAGCTGGGGAACATTTCCACTATGGGCTCCGGGAGACCTGGGTGTTCTGCTGGCCACAGAAACGGCATCACCCCCATCTGCTAACTCTTGGGGTCCTGGCAAGAGCCAATGAGCACAGGGGTGTGAGGCCGCTGCACACTCAGGCTGTGACCATCAGTCCTCCCTCTCCTGGGACCCAGCGGGTCACGCTGATGCCCATCCAGCCCTGTCACAGCTTCCTCACCATCCTCCCAGGGTCCTTCACCCGCACAAAGGGGCACCGGCCAGCCAGGAAAAGGGCGGGGACAGGCCCTGGTAGAAATGCGCCTGACGAGACCACCACTGAGCCCTGGAGACCCTTCTCTTTACCATCAAGGCTCTCGTCCCACTGCCCCCACAGCCAGGCCTGTGCTGTCACCACCTGGGAGCCCCAGTTATCCAAGCCAGTGCCCACAGCCCTGAGCCCAAGCACCCACCGCACTTCTTTGTGGACCCTTTTCCAGACCCTTTGGGAAACAGGCCCATGGATCAGGCTGAGGAAAACACCAGCAAGAGCCCCTGACCAGGCCAAGCGCCCTGTGGGGGAGGGCAGGGGAGAGCACCGTCTGGCTGCTCTGTGCCGGGCGTGGCGCGCACAGGTGGCCTTGGCTCTCTAGGGCCTTGGGGCTGGGCGTGGGGCTGAGACAGCCAGCACTGACTGTGCCCTGGGGTTTGCATGCTGAGTCCCCGAGAGAAACAGAGCCCAGGGCCATGGTGCATGACCAGGGGAGGCCGAGGGCTCTGGACTCTCTGGCTCAAGGCTTCCTCCTCCCTCAACCCACACGGACACAGGCCGCCGGGCTGTCCCTGGCCCCTGCTCGGCTGCTGTTCCTGCTGTTCCCGCTTACCTGCAGACCGCAGCCGCCCTCTCGCACCAACCAGCACAGCTCGGCCAGGCTGCCCGTGGCGGCGGCGTCGTGCACCGGCGTGGCCCCGTTGTGGGCCCGCTGGTTGCCCGGCAGCTTGGCCTGCTGCACTAGGAACTTGACACAGGCCAGGTGGCCGGCCCGGGTGGCGTGGTGCACCAGGCCGGCCCCCAGGGCATCGGTGATGCCCGGGCCCAGGGCGCCGGCCTCCAGCAGCTGCTCCAGGGTGGCCAGGTCCCCGTTCTTGGCGGCCGTGAGCGCCCGCTGCTCCTCCATCCTCTGGCCCTGGCCACCCGGCGGGTCCTGGTTGCTTACGCACGGCCCGGGCTTCCTGTTTCAGGCGTGGACGTGGCTCCCGGCTCCAGTTACCCGATAAGCCGTGCACAGGGCAGATGGGAGGCGGCGGTGGGGGGACCGGGGGTGGGGGGGGGCGGCGGGCAGGCCTCAGGGAGCGGGCCTCGCAGCCCTGCCCGAGCCACTTGTGCGGCACCCAGAGCTGCGGTGGGCAAGGGTGCAAGGGAAGGGTCCACACCCGGCTCAGGTTGGGATGGGCGCCGGCCAGCAGACACTGCCTGGTGGCTGGACCATGGCTCTTCCTCCCCTGGAGTGAGGGCTGAGGAGATGCTCTGTGAGCATCGGCCTGAGACGGACTTCCCGCATTTGGTGGGCGTCACAGTTACTGATGTCCTTTCAAGGAGGCAGGAGGCCCCCCGACCCCATGACTGCTTCCCCCGGTCTGGGCAGCATCCCGAGTAGCTGTGCTGGCCCGTGGGAGGCCCTTCTCTCGGGAGGACAGACCCATCCCCAGGGGGCCCTCTCTGGGGACTTATGTCTCGATGTTCTGGCTCTGTCGTCAGCACGGGGAGCCCAGGGCCCACCTGCCCCGGGGACGTGTAGGCTGGCCCGAGCCCTCGGAGGCTGCATGAACCTTGGGAGCAGCGGCTTTGCAGGGCCAGCGAGAGGCACAGGGCCCGGAGAGGACAGGAAGGCCTGCGAGGTGAGAGTGGGGGTCTGGAGGCCCCTGCCCCAGGGCCCCCTCCAACCACGGGGACCCGTCTCTGGAACAGCAGCTACAAGTCCAGGTGCATTTGTCAGAGCCGCCAAGCTCCTTTTCCAGGCTGTTCTCTTCAGCAGGGCTGGACACCGCAGTCCTGTGCGCGGGAAGCGGCCTCACCACAGGCTCTGTCCGGAGAAAGCACGATGCCGGGCGTCAGGGACCATCTTCTAGGGGCTCCTGAGTCCCAAGCCGAATTTCTTGGGCTAAAGCGTAATGATTCAGTGACAAGCTGAGGTTCCTGCTCGGCCCTCTAATGCCACCCCACGGCTGGCTCGGACACCCTGGGCCCCGAGAGATGAACCCCCAGATAAACCACAAACGTCCATACGAGCATTGACATCGTTTATTAGTTCATTTAATTTCTGATGCTTGTTTCCTCAATGTCACTGTGTAGTTCTTTGCACCTTAAAACCCACATTAAAAGTGTTGTGCGAATAAAAATCATTCCTATGTGAACATCGCCTGAGACATCACGTGACGTCACGAAGCCTCTGTGGCGATGAAAGATTCCTTCTGCGGGTGAACTGGCGATGAAGGCTGAGGTAGGATGGGCTGATTTCCACCTCAGGAATGACCCGGAATCGCAGGGGCACCGGCTGCCCCGGGACTCAGCGCTGTGTGAGCTGAAACCCTGAGTAAAGGATGAGAGGGCAGGAGGTGGGAGGGGCCTGCTGGGGGGGTCACGGTGCCTCATGGGGGGCGGGGTAGGGCTGGGAAGTGGGGGCCCTGAGCAGAAACCAGCCCACCAAGGCGGCCCCACCCGTGCGGAGGGGCTTGAGCAGGACCCTGAGGGTGGGGGAGAGTGAAGGGCCCACCCACCCCTCTGCAAGGGCGGGACCACAGCAAAATATCAGGCTTCCTATTTTCATGATAGCAGCTGAAAGCAGGGCATAAATACCAGGATTTTATCTTCTGGATAAAAATGCCACCTTCCAGGAAGGGGGCACTCACGGCAGGCTCGCCCCACTTCCCAGAGGGGAGCGTGGACACGGCTGAAGCGCTTCCACTTCAACCCACGTCCTTGGGCAGTAGGGGCAGTGATAGTCCCCTGCGGGTGTTGGGTCCCGGGCCTAGAAGTCCCTATGGGGTCTGTGTGCCCAGCACCCACACTGCCATCACTCGCTTGGACACTCAGGACAAACGAAGACGTGGATGAATTAGGAAAAGAGCCCTCCTGGCACGGCCCTTGGCAGGGCTTCCTACGGTGGCCCAGGCCCTAGGCCTGGCCCTCCAGCTGGGCCACGGCCTGCTTCAGGTCCTGCACGACGAGCTCCACGTCGGCCCTGGTGGTGCTGCGGCCCACGCTGAGCCGGAGAGCATTCCTGGCCACGTCGAATGGGATGCCGCAGCTCAGCAGCACCGGGGACGGCCTGGGGGTGAGGGGACCGGGTTAGCTGTCTCTGGGAAAGGGCTCTCCTGTGCGCCTAGGGGCACTGCCCCTCTGCTCCCAGCCAGCTCCCTGAGTCAGGCCGCGTGGACGGAGTGCCCGGCCTGCTCCCCTCCTCCCTTCTCTGCCAAACACCCGTCTGCAGGGTCAAGCTCAAACCCCCCGTGCCTGCTCCACCCGGGGTCCTCTCGTGCTTGCAACTCCTGCACAGTGCTGCGGCCTCTCCCCCTGCCCTGGGAGCACGGACGCAGACTGCCAGCCGCTCAGCCCAGCCAGAGTGCACTGTCACACCCCAGCGCCAGGGAAACTGTCCAGACAAGTGCCCGCCACACAGGGCCAGGTGAGGAGGGCTTTTGTCACCTCCAGTCACAGAGTGTCAGAGCCAGAGGCCCCTGCAGCCATCCTGTCACAGGTCAGACAGCAGGACCAGGTGGACAGTGACACAGCCCCTGCCCCTTTACAGGTGGGTGACCTCACTTGCTATCCAGGAGGGCACCCCCACTTCCCACAAGGGCAGTGAGCATCAGTCCATCCCCTTTCTCCTCCCTCCCTTACAGGGGCCACATTGGACACTTGTCCCTCTTGAGCCCTGCTGCCAGTCCCTTCTCGTCCCCTCCCCCAGCTCTGTGGCTGTTAAGATTGCACACTCTGCACTCGTCAGCTTGCAGCTTGACCACTCTGCCTCAGTTTCCTCGTCCGAGACATGGGTTACTCAGAGCCTTTCTTGAGGGTCGTGGTGAGCATTCCGTGAGCAAGGGCACATCTGAGCACTTGGCCGGGGACGGCCCTCACAGACCCCGCTCTGCACTCCAGGCTGGCCCCGGCCTTCTGCTCTGGGTGGTGACTCTGGCTCCTGGCCTCGCCTGCCCTCCAAACTGCCCCTCCACTGCAGGGCGCTAAGGCCCTGAGGAGCCCCTGGCCTGTCCTCCACCTCCATGGGCACGGGGGCTGCTCCTCGAGGAGCCTTCTTGCCTCCCAGCCAGCCCTGGACTGTCGTGTTGCTGACCATGTCCACTTCTCTGCCCTCTCTGGAGCCCAGGCCACTTTATCCAGCTCCACTCCTACCTCTGCAGGCCCCCGACACTCACAGCAAGCCAGAAATGGAACCTCCTTCTCTTTCTCCAGCATGGCCGCGTGCCCTGGCCCCACCCCTGGGGCAGGGGGAGTGGCCTGAAACCCAAACCTGATCCTGTCACCACCTTCAGTAGCCCCCTTTTTTTGAGGATAAAGTGAGCACCCACAGCCTGGCCCTGCTCCTCCAGCCCTGCGCCTTCTCCTCCCTCCCCACCTCGGGCTGGAAGCTGCTGGCCTCTTCTCCTGGTCAATCCTAGCCCTCCTTTAGGCTGCAGCTTCCACTCCTCCGCTCCTGAGGCCCAGGTAGGGCCTTTACTTCACCAGCCGCAGCACCGGCCTCCTGGCCCGTCCTATGTCTGGTCACTTTCTGTGTCCCTGCCAGGCTGCACAGCTCTGTGAAGGCCCAGGCCCAATGCCTGGAGCACGGATGTGCCCTGGGTGATGGGGCCAGTACATGGAGAGCACTTACCGGTCCCCGAGGTCCGAGTGGCATGCAGCCCCCACGCTGGCCAGCAGCATCCTGCACTGTGCCAGCACCAAGTGGCCTGCGGAGACAGAGTACACGTGCCCTGAGTCCAGGCAGGGAGTCCGGGGGGCCCACCTGTCCTGCCCCATCTGCCTAGTCTCTCCCCTGCCACAGGTTTTGAGCCTCTCTCCCTCAGGCCACCTAACGGATCCAGGCACACAGGCCCCTCCATCAGCAGGTGAGAGAAATTGCAGCAGGATCCAGAGAAATAGCTTCTTCCCTCCTTTGGCTGCAGAAAAGCAGACTCTATTCTGCCTCCTAAAACTGGCCTTGGAAATGTTATTTCCCATCAACTGCCTAGTGACATACCCGGAGTTCTGGCTGGTAGCCCTGGTGATAATGCTCAAATTTACATCTGTGTCTTCTAAAGACAGAGACTTTTGGGGGCCACCTCTGTTAAGCGGGAAGCCACTTCCCTCTTCTTTCACAAGCACAGAGAGTAAAGAAATACACGGATGACTGCTGATTTAATTAAAGCGAGAATCTCCGCCTCATTCCAATGGACACAGTCGTCACTGAGTACAAAGTCTGACCCCAGAGGAAGGGGAGAGATGACAGAGGAAGCTTCCTTCCCAAACAGCAAGGAGATGTGGCAGGACGGCCAGCAGCCGCCGCCTCCTCTCCAGTGAGAGTGTGTTTCAACCCACGTCCTCACTCAGGAGCCGCTGTGCTGGTTGCCCCAGGGTTTCTTCGTGGTCCAAACGCTGCTGCCCCGTTTCTCTGTGTAACCCAGGATGACAAAGTAGGCAACGCACTCTTCTTCTGGGAAGTCAAAAACTGCTCTGCAGACATGGCTCACGTATGCTCTGGGGCCACCGTGATCACCTCTCAAACAGAACACGGCTGGTCAACGCCTGGACTCCAGCCTCAGGACTCAGGGCGAGCCAGGTGCTGCATGCATCTGGATGGGAGGAATCCCAACCGTTCCCAGCATGGGAGGTGGCTATCACGCGAACAAATGGGACCCTCAGATTTGCGCTCCATCCTTACCCTGAGCCAGTTTTTAAAGCTGATGGCCTCTGTTTTCCCTTACCCTCAGAAAATATTGTGTAAAACGTGCTGGCACAGATAGACCAACTGATCTAAAACATAGTCAGTTTCATCTCCTTCCCTGGCAGCTTTTGGGTGTGACCGGAGCAAGTACAGAGCACTGCCCACATCCAGGGCATCGGGGCAGTGAGCAAAGTCAGGCAGGGAGAGGAGCAGCTGTGAGGAGAGCCCCAGCCCAGCACGGGACCGCCACCCGATGGGGTCCCGCGCTCTCGGCAGCAGCCCAACCCATGGGGCCCCTCAGTGAGCACCCCCGACAGCACCTGAGCCAGCACCCACCCGACACACCGTGGAGAGACCAGGAGGAGCCCACCGTCACCTTGGAGCTGGGGTCCCCGGATGGAAAAGTTACACGTGTTGGGGAGTCGTTCACTTCCTGGAAACTGGCTGTTCAGATGGATTCTCTTCTTACCGAATTCAGCCTGAAAAATTAACAAAACACTCAGCGACAGCTTCAAAGGCCCCCTGCCCACCAACTGTTTGAACTTTAGACTTTTCCGGGAAACAAAACCTCAACCTCAACACACAAGATAATTATCTTATCGATAAGCATCTACCTAGAATAGTTAAGGGGACTGATTATGGAAAGCAAATTAATTAGAAAAAAATTCTGCATACACGTAGATCTTCTACAGACAATCGTTAAACATCCCACCTCTGGTAGACTTTTACCACGTGTCTGCGAAAAAAATCCACTTGGTCTGGAGTCTCTCTTTGGAGGTTTCTGACTCTGGCCTACAGTCATCATTTAATTTTTCCCTCTTTCCTCAGGACCTTGGCTGTTTGCAGGGTGCCTGGGGACTGAGTTTCAATCAACACGGTTCCTTTCGTCCAGTGCGACCAGCCCCACGTGCTGCCTGCCCCCGGGGCCACTGTCCCCCATCCCCGTCGCTCATTCGCGGAAGGGAGGACGGCCGACAGCGCCGCCCCGCGCTCACCAGCAGCCGCTCCTCCAGGTAGTCGCGGACGTCTCTCATGTGGGCCTCGTAAGCCTCGCAGTTCTCCGCCACCAGCTCCGCGGCCTGGGGACACAGGAATCATGCTCAGTTACTGTGAAGCAGAGGAGAGCAAAACAGCTTTAGGCTGCAGAGGTGACATTTCCTCAAACTGCTCATTTTCTGGAACATCGTGTATTGAGTGTTGGCCGTGTGACAGGGGCCATGAGTGCTTGAGAAGGGTCATCTTCACTGGTCCAACAGCAATCTATCAGGCACTCCCTGATGCCTCCAGGCACCAGAGAGGCCACACCCAGTAAGACCAAGAAGCCATCCCAGTCCTCAAGGCACGTGCATTCTGGAGAGACAGACAGACAGACGGACACAACAAGGGAAGAGCTGAACCCACATACCGATGGGGTGAGCGCTATGGAGGGGATGCAGCACGTGGCGGTGGGAAGGTGTGAAGGGGATGGCAGAGCCTGCGGAGGGCATCCCAGGCAAAGGCGGCCACCACAGAGGGAAAGGGGAGTGCACTCCTGGAACAGAGCGAGTGAGTGGGACAGGGTGACAGGAGGGACCTGAAGCTAAGCCCAACAGGGCAAATGCACTTGGATTTGGAGAAAGGGGTGAGCTGGTCTGATCTGCATGTTCAGTGATCATCCTGGATGCTGTGTGCAGAACGCAAGAGGCCGTGGCAGGTCCAGACAAAAGATGGGGAGGACCTGATCTGGAGTCGGTGGCCGTGGGAATGGACAAGAGGCAGATCCTGATAGACTGTGGAGACAGAACAGACAGGACTGGCTGCTGCCTCAGGTGCAGGGGACAAGGACAAGGGCATCTCCTAGATTTCTGAAGGGAGAACCTGCATGGTGGGAGGCACCATGGGCAGAGGGGGGACAATGGAGAGAGCAGGACGTTGTGGACCCAGAGGAAATGTCAAGTAGGCCGGTGAGGATGTGGGTCTCCCAGGAGAAAGGTCAGCACCTGCCCTGAGATGTCCAGTTCAAAGACCTGAGGCCAGGCTGGTGTTAGAGCCATGGGACAGGATGAGCGCCACAAGGGAGCTGTGCGGAGCAGAGAGGAGGCTGGGATGGTGCCCCGGAGCTGGCTGACAGGTGAAGAGGCAGAGGAGGAACGGCGGGGCGGAGGGGGAAGCTGGAGAGGAGAGCGGTCCAACGGCGGCCAGTGGTCAGCACAACGAAAGCTGCTGTGGGGCGGCTGAGGACGTGACAACACGGTGGTGGCTGGGGACCTCCTCAGCCAGGGTCAGGGGAGAAGAGGAACAAGTGGCGAGACTGGGCATCCAAGGAGGTATGGGGGCGAAAATGTGTAGGCCACTCCTTGGGGACCTTCTGCTGTCAGGCAGAAAAATACGGGGGAGGAGCATGGAGGGGTGAGACCAGGGGAGGGTAGTTCTAAAGCTGGGGGAACGTTCTAGTAGAGAGGACCGTGACAATGCACAAGGCGGGACAACAGCAGGAGGGGCTGTTCTTCAGCCGGCAGAGAAGAGGTGGGAAGCCAGGAAGAGACCCCGACTCAGCCTGGGTGGGGCAAGGACACATCTTCTGGGCGTATGTGGAGAGCTGTGCCAGGGCCACACCGCATGGAGGCAGTCCAGGCTGGGGCAGGAGGGAGGGAGGAGGACGACGGTCTGTCCTGGAACAACCTCAGGGTCAGAGGGTCTGGGTGCAGGGGTGTCCAGGGGCGAGGAACATGTGGCAGGCTGTGGGGACCCCCAAGCTGAGGTGCCAGTGTGCTGGTGGGCCAGCAGCTCATCTCGAGAGGAATCCTTTAGGAAGCTGCTCCAGTCATCCCCATCCTGCAGGCGGGACAGCGGGGCTCCAGGAGGGAGCTGGGGTGACTTGACCCAGGGGAGCGAGCCTGACCACCCCCTCAGCTGTACCGGCCTCACTGTACGTCTCACTAGAGCTTTTCCCTTCCAAACGCTAAGCCTGCGAGACCCACTCCACAGACCTCGGACAGGACACCTCCGGGTTGATAAATAAAACTCGAGGCTTTTTCTTGCATCAGTCCATTTATTGGGATCGAGAGCATGATCCAAAGCCCGGACACCTAGTAAAGCCAATGGCGAGACTGATGCCAGATGACAGGAAGTATCTGTCGGCCTCTGCCCCCGCTTCCCGGCACAGAGCTTCCAAAGCCTCGTCAGTCATTTCCTCCGTGATGGAGCACTAGGAGCATCCATTCTAACATTTGGTCTTTGACCCCCAGCTCCTCACCCCCTTGGAATTTCTGGGTGGTAGGACTGTCTTGTTCTAATGGGGTGACTCCGGGTGGGCTCCTGGATTGGGGCTGGTCACCGAACGACCAAGCCGTGATTAGAAATTTGGGACTTTCAGCCCCGCCCCCATTCTCCAGAGAGGGGAGAGGGGCTCCAAATGGAGTCACTGATTGATGGATGCCCCCACAGAAACCCCAATGGCATGGGTTCGGAGAGGTCCTGGGTTGAACACATCGTGGTGCTGGGAGGGTGGCACCCCAGAGAGGGCGTGGAAGCTGGGCGCCCCTTCCCACATTCCTTGCCCCAGGCGTCTCTCCTATCTGGATGTTCGTCTGTATCCTCTCTCATCTGCTTTTACAATAAAATGGTAATCTAGTTAGTAAAATGTTTCTCTGAGCACTGTGAGCTGCTCTAGCAGGTAGCTGGACACGAAGAGGGGTCATGGGAGCCTCTGATTTATAGCCCGTTGGTCACAAGCACAGGTGACAACCCGGACTTGCAATTCGCGTCTGCAGTGGTGGGCGCATCTTATGGGACTGAGCCCTTAACTTTGGGATCTGACGCTATCTCCAGGTAGTGTCAGAAGTGGGTTAAGCTGTAGGACATCAAGCTGGTGCTGCAGAATTGCTTGGTGTGGGAAAAATCCCCACACATCTGCTGTCAGAAGCGCTGAGTGTGACAGCAGTGCGAGAGTAGAGAAGAAACACGGAGGGAGACTGAGTTGTCCACACACTGATGGACAGAGCAACTGCTCCATCTGCCGAGGTCCCCAAGGCTTACCTTCCCGAGGCCGGCAATCATCGGGGTGTTCTCCGTCCTGTAAGAGACAAGGGATGCAATCCTATGTCTGTGAAAGGCATTTAACAAACGTCCCAGGAAGGAATCCTGTCTGTGTGAAAGTCATGTGTTCAAATGAAAACAAACCACACCCACATCTTCCCTAAACAGGGCCATGCAGTGGCCTCAATGGCAGCTGCAGGCCCCAAAACCCTCCACACAAGGTTCCCTCATCCTGGCCCAGTGATGGTCGACGCCGCCCGCCGTGGGCAACATATGCTGATGTCCGTGGTCACAACTGGGTCTGGACCCTTTTCCTACCCAGGAGAAACCCCTCCTCTGACTCAGATCCAGAGCCTGCCTCCTTGGTCCCACTGCCAGACCAGGCGAGCGTCCGAGAACTCATCGCCGACACTGTTCCTTTCAGCCGACGTCTCGTCTGAGGCCTCCCAGCTGTAACAGGGGACGAATCCTTGTCACTAGAGATTTGGGGCATGGGTGTGCGTGTGGGTGCTCAGGAGAGGGACAAGACCCCTGAAGACCAGTGGTTCTCATACATTCATCTAACCAACTCTTCGTTCTATTTCAGGAAAAACAGAACATTCACTTAATAATTTTCTTAATTTTAAATTTTGGCTAAATCAAGTTTTCTTCAGCCTTTGGAGCGGGCTCCCACCTGTCTGCTGCAGATAAGAAGGTAAGTGAACACGCAGCACAGGTATTACAGGAAATGGGATCCCACTGTCCTCCCCTGACGAGTTCATCGGTCAGGTCTGTCCCCGGGGATGGGCTCCAACACCTGCGGGGGCTCTGGGAGGGACAGGAGCTCCGGGCTTGGTCCTAGGCCGGACGCCTCTCCTGGCTGTGGGATCTCTGACGGCATCCCCTCTCACCCTCATCTGTACAACCACACCAGGAGCGTCTCTTAAAGGTCCACAACCTGTGACTGCCTGGAAAGGTGGCCAGGGTGGAGCAGCTGGGACCCTGTGTAGGACCTAGAGCCCGCCTTGCACGACCCAGTCCTGCTATTAGGGCTATCCGCACCCCCGCCCCCGCCCCGGGCAGTCAGCCACTCAGAGCCATGCAACCCCGCTGCCCACACCCTGAGCTACCTACTACGGCTTCCGGCACATCTGGTGTTCTTCTTCTCCTGTTTTTTAATTAAAGTTTTTATTTTAAGATAACATAGATTCACATGTGATTGTAAGAAATAATATAGAGACATCCTGTGTACCTTTTACCCAGTTTCCCCCAAGTAGCACAATATCACAACCAAGATACTGACAATACACAGAACATTTCCACCACACAAAGAGCCCTCCTGTTGGCCTTCCAAATCCACACCCACTGCCCTTCGGTCCCACCCCCTCCTTAACCCCTGGCAACAGCTAATCTGTTCTCATCTCTATAATTTTATCATTTCAAGAATGTCATACAAATGGAATCACACTGTTTATAACTTCTGAGGATTGGTTTTTCTCACTCACTGTAATTCTCTGGAGATCCCTCCAGGCTGTTGTGTGTATTGACAGTGCATCCCTTTTCACTGCTGGCTAGTATTCCACGGTACAGAGGGGCCACAGCTTGTTCACCCATTCACTCACTAAAGGACTTCTGGGTTGTGTGCTGTTTGTGGCTATTATGAATAATGCTGCTGTATACATTTGCGTACAGGTTATGTGAACATAAGTCTTCATTTCTCTGGGATAAATGGCCCAGGAGTGAAATTCCTAAGTCACATGATAGTTGTGTATTTAGTTTTTAAAGAAACTACCAAACTCTTTTCCAGAGCAGCTGTACCATTTTACATTCCTACCAGCAATATATGAAAGATGCAGTTTCTCTGTATCCTCACCAGCATTTGGTGTTGTCACTATTTTTTATGTTAGCCATTCTAGTATTTTGTATTCCTGCTAGCAATGAGTGAGAATCCCAATTACTCCATGTTCTTGCCAAAACTTGATATTGTCAATCTTTTCAATTTTAGCCGTTCCGGTAGGTACGTATCTCACTGTGGTTTTCATTTGCGTTTCCCTGATAGCTAAGGATGTTGAGCACGTGCTTATCTGCTGTCTGTGCATCCTCTTTGGTGAGATGTCTGTTCATGCCTTTTGCCCATTTTCTGACAGAATTGTTTTGGGGTTTGTTTTGCTGTTGAGTTTTGAGAGTTTCTTTATATATTCTAGATACTAGTTCTTTGTCAGATCTGTCATTTGAAAATATTTTCTCCTATCATGTAGGCTTGTCTTTTCATCCCCTTACAAAGTCTTTGCAGGGTAAAAGTTTTAAATCTTGATAAAGTTCAACTTGTTAGTTTCTCCTTTTATGGATGCCCTTGGTGTCAAGTCTAAGAACTCTTTGCCTAGTCCTAGATGCTGAAGATTTTTTCCCATGTTTTTCCTAAAAGTTTTATGTTTTATGTTTAAGGCCATGATCTACTTTGAGTTAATGTGTTTTAAGGCGTGAGATTTAGGTCGAGCTTCCTTTTTTTGCCTGCAGATGTCTAATTGCTCCAGCACTGTCTGTTGAGAGACCGTCTTTCCTCTGCTGAGCTGCTTTCGCATCAGTCAAACATCATTTGGGCTTATTTCTGCTTGTATCTATTCTGGTCCCTTGATCTACTTGCTAGCATTCTGATAGAAAGTGGGTTAAGTTTGTATATCAATTTGGGGAGAACTGACGTCTTTACTATACTGAGTCTTTCGATCCATGAACATGGTATGTCTCTCCACTTATTTAGATCTTTGATTTCTTTTGTCCACACATCATAGTTTTCAGCATACAAGTCCTGTAGATGTTTTGCTAGATTTATATCTTAGGATTTTTGAGTGACTGTAAATGGTATTGTATTTTTAATCTTTTTGTCCACATGTTCATTACCAATATATAGAAATACAACTGATTTTTGTTTATCTTGTATGCTGTAATCTTGCTGAACTCACTTATTCATTTGAGGAGTTTTCTTATCTATTCCTTGGGATTTTCTACAGAGACAATCACATGGTCTACAGACAAGGACAGTTTTGCCTCTTCCTTTCCAATCTGTTTACCTTCTATTTCCCTTTCTTCCCTCTGCACTGACTAGAGCTCCAGCTCTGCTGAACATGACTGTGAGCGTGGACATCCTGGCTTGTTCCTGGTCAAGGGGTAAAACATCCAGGCTTTCACCCTCGAGTGTGATGTTAGCTGTGGGTGTTCTGTAGATGCTCTTTTCAAGTCGAAGAAGTTCTCCTCTGGTCATATTATTGTGAGAGTTTTTAATGAATGAATGAATGCTGAGTTTTCTTAAACACTTTTTCTACATCAAATGATATGATAATGTTATTTTTCTTCTTTAATATGCTGGATGACATTGACTGATTTTTGAATATTGGAGACTGAACCAGCCTTGCATCCCTGGAACAAACTCTACCTCGTTATGGTGTATAAATTATTTCTATATTTTGCTGAATTCCATTTGCTAATATTTTGTTAAAGATTTCTGCATCTAAATCCATGAGGGATCTCTGGTGTGTAGTTTTATTTTTTCATACTGTCTTTGTCTGGTTTTGGTATCAGTTCATAAAACGAATTGGGAAGTCTTCCCTCCACCTCTATTTTCTGGAAGAGATTGTGTAGAAATGGTGCAATTCTTTAAGCGTTTGGTAGAATTCTCCTGTGAAACCACCTGGGCCTGGAGATTTCATTTTAGGGAGTTTTAAAATGACAGAATCAATTTCCTAATAGTTATAGAGAATGATCTCTCTCATATTAGGTGAGTTGTGGTAGTTTATGTTTTTGTTGAAGTGGCCCATTTTGTCTGAGTTGTCAAATCTATGTGTGTAGGGTTGTTTGTAGCACAGCCTCATCATCCTTTTGATGTTGGTAGGGTCTGTAGTGATATCCCATTTCGTTCTTCTTCTTTTTTTGTTTTTTTTTCCCTGAGGAAGATTTGCCCCAAGCCAACATCTGTCATCCGTTACCAATCTTTTTTTTTTTTTTAAGATTGGCCCTGAGCTAACATCTCTTGCCAATCTTTTTTTTTCTTCTTCTTCTCCCCAAAGCTCCCCAGTACATAGTTACATATTCTAGTTACAGGTCCTTCTAGTTGTGTTATGTGGGACGCTGCCTCAGCATGGCCTGATGAGTGGTGCTAGGTCCACACCCGGGATCCAAACCAGTGAATCCCTGGTCTGCCAAAGTGGAGCACACAAACTTAACCACTCGGCCACAGGGCCGGCCCTGCTGCCAATCTTCCTCTTTTTGCTTGAGGAAGACTCACCCTGAGCTACCATCTTTGCCAATCTTCCTCTCTTTTGTATGTCAGTCACTGCTACAGCCTGGCTGCCACTGAGTGGTGTAGGTCTGCACCCAGGAACCAAACCCAGGCCACCAAAGTGGGGGCTGCCGAACTTAACCACTAGGCCATGGGGTGGGCCCCCTGTTTCATTCTTGATACTGGCAATTTGTTTCTTCTCTCTTGTTTTCTTTGTCAGTCTTGCTAGAGGTTTGTCAAGTTTATCAATATTTTCAAAAAGCCAACTCTTTGTGTCATGGATTTTTTAAAAACCATTTTTGTTTTCATCGATTTCTCTTATCTTTACTATTTCCTTCCTTCTGTTGGCTTTGGGTTTATTTTGCTCTATTTTTCTAGGTTCTTCAAGAGGGAGCTTAGATTATCGACTTGAGATTCTTCCTCTTTAGTGCTATAAATTTCCCTCTCAGCAGTGCTTTAGCTGTGTCTCACAAATTTTTATAAGTTGTATTTTCATTTTCCTTCATTTCCGTGAATTTACTTCCTTTGAGACTTCCTCTTTGACCCAGGGATTATTTAGAAGTGTGTTGTCTGTTTCTAAGTGTCTGAAGATTTTCCCAATACCTTCCAGTTATTGATTTCTAGCTTGATTCCATTGTGGTTAAAGAACACATTCTATGATTTCAGTTCTTTAAAGGTATTGAGGTTTGCTTAATGGCATAGGATATGGTCCATCTTCGTATATATTCTGTGCCACTTGAAAGAATGTGTATTTTGCTGTTGTTGGGTGTAGTGTTCTAAACATGTCAATTAGATCCTGTTGGTGGACAGGTGTTACTGAGTTCTCCCGTTGCCTGGCCAAGTTTGGTCTAGTTGTTCCATCCACTGTTGAGGGAAGGGTATTGAAGTCTCTATCCATAATTGTGGATTTGTCTATTTCTCCTTTCAGTTCAATCAGGTTTTGCTCACATATTTTGCAGCCCTACTGTTTAGTGCGTCCACATTCAGGATCGCTGTCTTCTTGGTGCACTGACTCTTTTATCATTATATAATCCCACCCCATAAGTCACAATTCTTTGCTTTGCAGTCTCCTTTATCTAACATTACATAGCCATTCCTGCATTGCTTTGCTTAATGTTTGTGTGATACATCTTTTTCCATTCTTTACTTTCAACCTGCCTCTATTGCTACATTTGAAGTGAGTTTCTTGTAGACAGCATATAATTACGGTCAGTTTTTTTAAAATTCACTCTGTCAATCTCTGTCTTTTAATTGGTGTATTTAGACCATTTATATTTTATACACACACACACACACACACACACATATACATATATATTTTTTTTTCTTTTTGCTGGGCAAGATTTACCCTGAGCTAACATCTGTTGCCAATCTTCCTCTCTCTCTCTCTCTTTTTTTCCTCTCCAAAGCCACAGCACATAGTTGTATATTCTAGTTGTAGGTCCTTCTAGCTCTTCTCTGTGAGCCGCTGCCACTGCATGGCTACTGACAGATGAGGGGTGTGGTTCCGCACCCAGGAACTGAACCCAGGCTGCTGAAGCAGAGTGTGCCGAACTTTAACCACTAGGCTACCAGGGCTGGCTCAACATTTAATGTAATTTTGATGTTAGGGCTTAAGTCTGCCATTTTATTTTCTGTTTTCTGTTTTTTACTTCTGTTTTCTTTTTCCTACCTTTCTTTGGATTACTCAAACATTTTTCACAAGTTCAAGTGAAGAATAGAGACCTTACCTCCTTTTACATCTCTTTACCTTCCCCCATCTATAATTATCTTAAATATTTCTTCCACATGTACTTTGAACATGTCAGACAGTGATAAGACTTTTGCTTAAGCCATCAAATATAATTCAGAAAACTCAAGAGAAGAGGAAAAGCCTATTTTATTTTCCCACATTTTTGCTTACCACACCCTTTCTTTCTCATATTCCAAGGCTCCTTCTTTTACTGTTTCCTTTCTGTTTAAAGATCTTCCTTTAGTCATTTTAAGCAAAGATTTTCTGGGAACAAATTCCGTTAGTTTTCTTCATCTGAGAATGTCTTCATTTCTCCGTTATTCCTGAAGGACATTCTGCTGTGTATATAATTCTGGCTTCTCAGTTCTTTTCTTTGAGCTCTTGCACAATATTGCATCATTCCTTCTGGCCTCCATGGTTTCTGATGAGAAATCCACTGTCATTTGAATTATTTTTCCCCATAGGTAAGATGTCATTTTTTCCTCTGGCTGCTTTCAAGAATTTTTCCTTGTCTTTTATTTTCAGAAGTTTAATTATATGTCTTGGCATGAATTTCTCTTGGTCTATCCTGTTTGGGGTTCATTTAGTGTCTTGAATCTGTAGGTTTATGTCTCTTGCCAAATTTGGGAAGTTTTCAGATATAATTTCTTCAAGTGCTTTTTCATCACACCCTCTCTCTTCTTCTTCCAGGACTTCAATGAAATGAGCGTTAGATCTTTCATTACAGTCCCCCAGGCCCTGAGCCTCTGTTCAACTGTTTCCCAGCCTACCTCCTCTCTGTTGTTTACAGTGGGAAATCCTATTGTTCTCTCAGTTCACTGATTCTTTCCTCTGTTGCCTGTATTCTCCTGGTGAGTCCACCCGCTGAGCTTTTTGTTTGGGTTGTTGCAGTTTTCAGTTCTAAAATTTCCATTTAGTTCTTATTTACATCTTCTTTTTCTTTGCTGACACTTTCTATTTCATCTGTTTCAAGTGTGTTCATAATTGCTCACTGAAGAATTTTCATTGTGCCTGCCTTCAAATCTTTGTCAGATAATTTTAACACCCTCGCCGTCTCAGTGTTGGCATCTATTGCTGGTCTCTTTTCATTCACTTTGAGACCTTTCTGGTTCTTGGTGTGGTGAGTGGTTTTCGTGGTATGATGAGATGTTTCTGTACCACGTTAGAGGAGTCTGGACGCTACTTAACCCTTCTGTTTTAGCTGCTTTTTGGATACTGCTCTGGCAGGGGAAGGAGTGGGCCACCTCATCACTGCCAGCTGAGGTCCTAGCCCAGACTTCCCACTTGGCCTGTGTCAACACCCACTGTGGGGACACTCCTTGTTACTGACGGGTGTGGGTGGAAGCCCAGGGTCCCCATGTGGTCTCCACTGACACCGAGGTGGGGTGCCTCATCACTGGCTGGTGGGGGCGAACGTTCTGGCTCCTTACTAGGCCCTCTGACACACCCGGTGGGGGTGTGGGGGTGTCTTGTCACAGCCTGTGAGGGTGGAAGTCTGGGCTCTGTACTCGGCCTTCGATGGCATCGGTTGGGGTGGTGGCAGCTTACTCTGTGACGACTGGCTGGAATAAAGTGGTCATTGTCTAAAAGTTCTCTCTCTTGCTAGGCTGTCCCCTTCCTGGTCCACTGGCTAGAGATGGCAGGCTTTGGCTGAACGTTTTTCATCTGCCCTTGTTGGTGTCTGTGTTGCCGCTTCTTCAACTCTACGTCTGGGACAGAGGAGGCAAAAGACGACCCGGGCACTCACCTCCGTTCCTGCTTCTCCCTCTTGTTGTCGAGATTCTGACAAAACGTGTGGTGCTGGTCCCACCTCGTTCCCTGGTTAAAACCTCTCTGTGTGTCACGGGGACACAGGAGCTATTGGAAAGGAAACCAGGTCCTCCTGGGTGGCCCAGCTCACCCGCGGTACAGAGAAGAGCCGCACGTCTCAGCCAGGGGGCTCCAGCTCGCAGCCCCCAGAGACGGCGGTTCTGAGTCCCGGGGATGGAATCGACCAGCGGGGCCGATTCCGACTCAGGAGCGATGCAGACTGTGCCGTGACAGCGCTTCCCAGAGACGCGGAGCCCGCCACCCGGCAGGCCGTGCCCATGGCCAGCAGGTCGGACACCTCGTCAACCTTCTGCCTTACCCGGGCCGGAAATTCCGCTCTTGGCCACCTCCAAACAGCATGGGGTACAGAGGGGTGAGCTCGCTGAGCCCTCGGACGTACAGTGCTCCAATCCTGGGGCCGTAGAACTGAAAGGAAAAGTCCGCCATTCGTTCAACACAACCCTTCTCTGAACACGGCCAAGTGCTGAGAGGCACAGAGGAATGATAACGTCCGGGCCCCACAGCTGTGCCACCATCACCGCTCCGGATGGGTGGAGTTGCAAAGGCCTTGGGGACCTGGGCGGGGGGCTCGAGTTCCCAGCTCAGGGGCAGCAGGGCTCCTGCGCATCCCACACAGAGGAATTTGTAAAGGGACAGGGGGGGAACTAGAGAGCGCCCAGGGCCTCTCCTGGGTATGACTCCATGCTTGCAAGTCGACGCTAGGCAAAAATGTTAAGTGCCACAGCGTCAGGCCGGCATATACACTCCTTTGGAAACCAGCCGAGTCTTGTGCTTCAAAATAGAGAACTAAAAATATTTCAGCTCTAGTCAGCGGCCAGGAAGATGAGCAAAAGCTTCAGAAGGGTCTTCACTGTGAACTAGTTCCCTGTCCCACCTTAGAGATAAGAGTCGCTAAAACCAAGCCTTTCCATCCTGGAGCAGCGCTTTTGATCACGTCGGAGAAAACAGTCATTTCCTGAACCTCACACATACTGTCCTTGGGGTGGGGCCTGGGGGGCTGGCGAGCGTCCCTGCTGCAGAGCACACTCACCACCTGTACCCCACTGGCCTCATGTCTCACCTGAGACGTCAGTGCCCTCGCACAGCCCTGCCTGGCAGCCCCCTCCTGCCCCGTATGGGTTGGGGTGCCCCGTTACACCCGTTGTGGCATCCTACTACTGTGGGTCTCCCCTTCTTTAAGCTGCTAAGGGGAGGGGCTGCTCGTCACTGTGTCCCCAGGGCCTTGCTCTCAGCAGGCACTCGAGGCGTACCAGGTGACAAGTGAACGATAAACGGTGCTGCGGGCTCTGCTCCAAGGTGAGCCTCGAGGTCACCGAGGCATCTTCCCCTCTGTGGACGCACCTTGTGCCCCACAATGGTGAGGAAGTCCACGCCCAGGTCTTCCACGTCCACACGCCTTTTCCCCAAGGCCTGCGCGGCGTCCGTGTGCAGCAGGATGAGGGGCAGCCCGGCTGTGGCCCGCCTCTGGTTCAGGGCTCTGACCCGCTGGCTGATCTCGGGGACCGGCTGAAGGGGGAAAATAAAGAGCTGAGCACGTTGCTCTCATTTGATGGAAACTGAATGAGAGAAACAAGGAGTCACTAATGAGGACAGGCAAAAAAGTTACAAAACTGAAGAAGAGAGCAAACGAGCCGTCGGGGCTGGGAAGCACGGGAACACGGGCAGAGCCTGGCGCCTCTTTCCCACTGGATTTTCTTAAAAGGAAAAGGCGACTCACCATGATGACGCCCGTCTCATTGTTGGCCAGCATGATGGTCACCAGGCACGTGGTGGGGCGGACTGCCGCCAGGATGTCATCGACCTCTGCCTGCCCGTTCACCTTGGACACCGGGACAAAGGTGACTGCTGAGGTATGAGACACAGGAACCGAGGTTAGTCCCACAGAGTAACCTCTCCTGATGGTTCATTTAGAAATAGCCTAACAAAACTATTCTCCACAATTAAAAAGCTAATTTATTGTAAAAGTTCAGAAAACTGTAAAGAAGGAATATAAGCCACGCACTATGGCTCCAGCCAGAAATGATCAGCTTGAACGCTTCTTTAACGCAACTTCAGGCGGCGGGTTCAATGCGTGGGAGACGCTCTCCGTTCTGCCTCTAAGGGACCATGAGCAGGTAAGACACTCTCGGCTCACGAGAGCATCTCAGGGCACCAAGACTTGACCCTCACTCACTCAACACTGGACCGACTGTTAACCACCTGCTCGTGCCAGAGCTGTTCTAGCCACCTGTGGTCTCACTACTGCAGATGGGACATCAGTGGAGGTGACTAAATCAAGGTTTTTGGTTCAAAATGATGGAAGACAAATGTATCCACTTTCCCCCCAACGTGCCACTGAAACGAGAGAATAGAAAGATTTCCAAATAAGGGGAATCACCTGTGGACAAGGTATTTTTGAGGGATCCCCAGAGTATAGAAGGACAATGGTGTTAGAGTAATAGGAACAGGAAAAAAACACTCACAACACTGTCAGGTGAAAACTAACTCTGTAAGAAGCAGGAAGGGGGGCTGGCCCCTTGGCCGGGTGGTTAAGTTCAAGGGCTCCACTTCAGCGGCCCAGGATTTCGCCGGTTTGGATCCTGGGTGCAGACATGGCACTGCTCATCAAGGCCATGCTGAGGTGGCGTCCCACATGCCACAACTAGAAGGACCTACAACTAAAATAAACAACTATGTACTGGAGGGATTCGGGGAGAACAAGCAGGAAAAAAAAAAAGATTGGCAACAGTTGTTAGCTCAGGTGCCAATCTTTAAAAAAAAAATAAGACGTAGGAAGGGACCCAGTGACCATCCACGCTGGGGGTGCACAGTGCAGAGAGCAGGGTGGGGGCCAACTGCTGAGGCCACAGAGCACCCGCCTTACACCCAGCAAGGGGGTGGTACCACACGCCCAGAGAGGAACGACAGGCCCAGGCCGGCTCCCGGTACATGGGTTGAGGCCAGCAACAGAAGGGCAGAGCTTGTGCGCTCACTACACGACCCAAAGAGGAACAAAGGAAAGGCAGCTCTGGCCAGGGCTGCTTGTCTTTTTATTAAGTACATGGAAACTTGCTCAAGATCAGCCATCAGGGAATTGCAAATCAAAACTGCAGTGAGAACCATTTCACACCCACTAGGATGGCTATAATAAAACATACAGACAATAGCGAATGTTGGTGAGGATATGGAGAAGTTGGAACCCTCAAGCACTGCTGGTGGAAATGTAAAATGGTGCAGCTGCTTCGGAAGACAAAGGTCAAGGTTAAATGTAAAGTTGCCATGTAGCACAGCAATTCCACTCTCACGTATAAACCCAAGAGAGATGAAAACGTGTCCACACAAAAACTTATACACAAATGTTCACAGCAGCCTTATTCATAATAGCCCCAAACTGGAAAGAACCCAAATGCCCATCAACTGATGAATGGAATCAAGTGCAAAGTAGGGGTTCTTCCCCTACAGCCCCGAGTCCTGCTTCTCAGAGGCAACCGCCATTCATGATTTTCTTGTGGTTAGCGTTATCATTTTCCTTCCTTCCAGTTTATGCTTGATAACTTAGAAACACAATCTCCATTCCTTGGTTTATCAATTCAGGCATCTGAATTGATATAAAATGAGGACGTTGACTATCCCACACTCCCCCACCTCCACACCTCCCAATTGTTCAGCCCTGGTGCCTTTTTTCTGCGTCTTAGACAGGGAAGGGCAACTTAGTATACATCATTATTAGTTACTGTTGCCTTTAACCTCTCCCTTAAAATTACACAGAGTTTTACAAAGTATAGACATGCATGTGGTGAAAACCATTTAAACCTGATATAAAATGAGGACTTTGACTATCTCACACTTCCCCCACCTCCACACCTCCCAATTGTTCTCTTTATAAATCAGCTTTCCCATACCATACCATACGGTTCACCCGTTTAAAGTGTGCAATTCAGTAGTTTTTAGTGTATTCACAGAGTCGTGCAACCATCACCACAAATGAAACCTAGTATCCATTCACTATAACTCTCCATTTCCCTCAACCCTAGGCAGCCGCTAATCCACGTTCTGTGTCTAGAGACTTCCCTGTTCTGGACTTTCCTATGAATGGAATCATAGCACATGTGGTCTTTCACCACTGGCTTCTTTCAGTTAGCATAATGTTTTCAAAGTTCATCCGTGTTGTAGCATGTGTCAAAACTTAATTCCTTTTTATGGATGAATAATATTCTCTACCACCTGAAGTTGATGTCTATTTGATCCTTTTTCTTCAGATCAGAGGAACTGGAAGCCAAGATTTAATTATTAAATCAAATAATGAAAAGCAGTGTTTAGCGTTTTATAGACATAGTATCATCTATTTATTGAGTTAGTTAGTTAGGAAGATTAGCCCTGAACTAACTACTGCCAATCCTCCTCTTTTTGCTGAGGAAGACTGGCCCTGAGCTAACATCCGTGCCCATCTTCCTCTACTTTATATGTGGGATGCCTACCATAGCATGGCTTGCCAAGCGGTGCCATGTCCGCAGCCGGGATCCAAACTGGCGAACCCCAGGCTGCTGAAGCGGAACGTGCAAACTTTAACCGCTGCACCACCGGGCCGGCCCTGCATCTATTTATTACACACAAAAGTCTGAAATATCATTAGGTAATACAAACGACTGGTTCTACACATTGATTATCAATTTTTTCCTAAGGGAAAACCTGGCGGCATTTACCGCTCCGTGTGTGTGGGGCAGCCTGGAAGAACAGGCTGTGTGACCTTTGCACCTGAGAACAGCCAGGAAGCCCTGTGCAGGAGGGTGAACGATTCACTGTGTCCCACGGGTGGCTCCCTGTACTGACTCAGTCAGTTAACATAGAGGGAGAGGTCCTTCTGGGGGGTCAGCTGGGCTGGTCACTCACCGGCCACGTGCTCCTTCGCCAGGTGCTCCAGGGGCAGACGGATGGAGTCGTGTTCCACGGTGCAGGTGATGAAGTGGGGCATGGCCCCCTCCGCCGGGCTGTGGCTCTCAGCTGCGTCCCCCTTCGAGGTGTGGATTTCGTGGAAGTGTTTCACCACAGAATGGATGACTAAGTTATTTGACTGCAGAGACAGAGCAGAAAAGTCACTTACAATGATTGTCCTAAGGGGAGAGTCAGAGTGGCAAGCTCTCCCACTCGTGTTTTCCTTCGTGGCTAACACTTAGAAAGAGGAAAATCGTCTCAGAGAAGCTCAGCTTCCTGGGCTGTACCTTTTGAAACGCCTAACTATGAAGACTTGGGGTTTCAAACTTCAGAATTCACTTCTGGTCAATATGCCTGTTTTGTTAAATGACATTATGCATTTTTAAGTTTTATAAATTTGTCAAAAAAGCATATGCTGCCCAGGCACCCGTCGCTGGGGGAGTGTAAGCTGGTACAAGCTCCGTGAAGGGCCACTTGGCTTATTTATCCAGTGAGCCCTCATACCCAGCAAGTCTATTTCCCGGACTTGATCCTACGGCCACAGTTGCACAGAAGAAAATGATGTACATAAAGGTTATTTATTAAGCGTAGCTCTGCTGGCAACAGCAAAACCTTGGAAAGCCTTGCAGTGTCTCTCAATAAAGGGACTCGTAGAATGAATCACACGACATCCTTCAATGGAATCCAGAGCAGATGTAACTACACCGAGCAGACGCCCTGTGGCAGACACCAAAAGGCCTCAAATACACTCGGTAAACGGAAAAAGGTGGCAAACCTCATACGCAGTATCTTACGATCTACATAGAAAGGGTAAAATGCATACATACGTGCTTAAATGTGCAAAACAACCCTTGAAAAGGTAAACAGGGAAGGAGAAAACAATATATAAACCTACATACTTATTTGCTTTGAACGCAGACACTATCTCTAGAGCACACGAGAGAAACTGACAGCATTGGTCTCCTGTAGGGAGAGGAAGTGGGTACCTGAAGGGCTGGGGTGGGAGGAGCTTTTTTCAAAAAAGTGTATAAAATATAAATGTAAGTTTAATGAAAAGGTGTAACACAGAATGCCTGAGTAACTGTTGCCCGGGTCAGGCCGAAACCCTGCCCACACCGCGGAGTGCGTCCCTCGCCCCTCCCGTCAGCCCCAGCTAACTGCCCCCCGACTTTTACAGCAATCGTCTGCTTGTTTCCTTCATACTTGCACTTCCCGCATAGGCACCCTAAACAATACTGTCTATTTTGCCTCTTTCTGACCTTCATGTGAACGGAACTGAACTGAATAATTTTCTTCTCAACTGAGGATCCCGTCTATTCAAGGATCTGGAGGCTCCGCCCCACGGGGAGGCGGGAGACGCTGCTGCACTGCGCTGAGGCCTCCACCCGCGGGGCTCAGAGGACGTAAAATGCACTGAGGGTTGAACAGCGCACGCCTGGCGGAGAACCCAGGCCACCGACACGACGGTTCCCCCGATCCGAGACAGTGGGGAGGTGCTCGGGGCTGGACCACTCTGATGTGCTTCTCCAAAAGGCGGACGTTTCCTCGGAGCCCCAGGCCACACCCTCGCAGAAAACACGCTGCCCCATACAGCGATCCACGGTCCAGGAAAGAGGGTCTTCCGGGCTCCAAGGGGCTGCAGTGGCCCAGCAATCCCACTTAGAGGGTCCTGGGGGCTGCACACCATAGGTCACCGTGGATGGCAGTATAAAAGACGGTGACTGACTGTGAACAAGATGAAGATGCCCAGGCCCCTCCCACGCACACCCTCCCCCTGTAGGCAGCTGCTGAAGGGGGCACAGGACCCCACACTAATCAGCCCGAGAAACCTCATTATGGCTACGCTCCCCGGCAGCATTGGGAGCACAGCCGCCTCTGTCGGAACCCGTAGGTCACATCTAAAAATGCACCATGTGCCCCCGGCCACAACGTTCCTCAGCACCTGGCTCCAGAGAGACCATGACGGCCCCACGGCGGAGGGGCTGGGGCTGAGGCAGCTCCTGGTAAGCCAGCAGGAGTCTGGTCCTGGGGTGGTGGTCACGGTGCCCGGGGTCCTGGCGGCAGCTCCTGCTCCCCTTATTCAGCCAGGCCAGGGCAGCTGTGCTCTGCCAGGCTCAACTTCCTCTTTTTTACCATGTGGCAAGATCCATGCACGTTGCTGCAGGTAGTTGGCGGTATTCCGCTGTGGGACTGCACCGCAAGGTACTAACGTTGGTCCATGCCAATTCTGAGGGACCTCTGGGTTGTTCCCAGTTCCTGGCTGGCATGAACAGTCTTCGCCTGTCCCCTGGTGCGCGTGCACCTCATTCTAGGATGTGTACCTCGGAGCGGAACTGCTGGTGGATAGGGGAAGCGTGTCTCCCACTTCACCAGATGCCAACCCATCTTCCAAAGTGGTTCTGCGAGTGCTCAGCACTCTACATCCTCTCCCAAAACTTACTAGCATGGGAATTCTCCATTTTCACCCTTCTGATGGTGTGCGCAGAGGAGTTCCAATATTTTTTACGCTATGAGGCTGTAGAAACCATCCGGGCTTCTCCCCGGGGAAGCACAGATTCAGGTTTCTGGCCCCTATTTCTACTGGGTTGTCCGCCTTTATGTTCTGGACGCCGTTCTTTTGTTGCTTACGTGTTACAAATCTCTTCTCCTGCTGTCTGCTTGCCTTTTATTTCCTTCCTTGTGTTCTTTGATAACTGAAGTTTGTTTTGTGGTGGTGGTGGTAGAATCTACTGATCTTTTCCTTTATGGTGAATGCTTTCTGTATTATATTTAAGAAATCTATCGCTCTTAGACGTCACAAACATATTAACTTATCACCTAAAAGCTATATAGATTGTACTTTTCATGATTAGGTCTTTATGACACCTGGGGTTATTTTTTGTATGTTGTGATGCAGCAGTCCAATTTCCTCTTTCTCTGTGAACACACAGTTGCCCCAGCACCACCTGCTGAAGGGACCATTCTTTCTGCCTGCTCTATTGGCTACCCCAATCATATATGATGACCATATAATCTATCATCTGAACCAGAAACATTTAGGAATAAGAGGCATTATTATAATTATGTCAGGACAACAGGCGTATCCTGGGACTGTCCTGAGCAAACCAGGACAGACGGCCACCCAGTCCCTGACAAGGGCCCATCCCTGCGCAGCTCTGCTTCTGGCCTAGTGTCTGCCCCGCCCGAGGACCACCTGCCTTAATCAGCAGAGCCTTATCAAAGGCTTGATGTCTGGCAGAGCAAGTCATTTCACTGCGTTTTCCGTCTTCAAGGAGTCTTGACTATTCTTAGCCTTCCGTATTTCCATATAAATTAGGTTCTGAGATTCCACTGAAAAAGTGCCAGAATTTTGGTTGAGGTTGCATTGAATCCACAGATCAATTTGGAAAGGACTGACATATTTATAATATCGAGTCTTCCAATCTGTGAACAGGATAGCTTGCTCCATTTATTCTGAACTTCTTCGAAGGCTCTCAGTAATATTTCCATTACTTTCCCAGGGTGCATGTATGTGGGTCTTACAAACTATTTATTTTAATTTTATTTTTTTTGAGGAAGATTAGCCCTGAGCTAACTACCGCCAGTCCTCCTCTTTTTGCTGAGGAAGGCTGGCCCTGAGCTAACATCTGTGCCCATCTTCCTCTACTTTATATGTGGGATGCTTACCACAGCATGGCGTGCCAAGCAGTGGCATGTTCACACCCGGGATCCAAACTGGGGAACCCTGGGCCGCTGAGAAGCGGAGCGTGTGAACTTAACCACTGTGCCATCGGGCCGGCCCCACAAATTACTTTTTTATTTAAAAGATTGGCACCTGAGCTAACATCTGTTGCTAATCTTTTTTTTCTTATTTTTCTCCCCAAAGCCCCGCAGTACATAGTTGTATATTTTCAGTTGTGGGTCCTTCTAGTTGTGGCATGTGGGACGCCGCCTCAGCATGGCTTGATGAGTGGCACTAGGTCACGCCCAGGATCCAAACCAGTGAAACCCCAGGCCACCGAAGCAGAGTCCGCAAACTTAACCACTCGGCCATGGGGCCAGCCCCCCAATTTTTTTTTTTACTAGATTTATTTCCTAAGCATTCGATATTTTTTGGTGCTTTGGTAAACAGCTGTTTGCTGCTGGTATACAAAAATACAGTTCAGTTTTGTATCTAAATTTACTATTAACTGTAATAATCTAGCTGCAGATTCTTTTGGGTTTTCTATGTGGACAGTCACATCACCTGTGAATGACTATTGTGCCTCCTTCCCAGGAAGGGAACTGAGACAGTATTATTAATAGAGCAGGGGCCTCAACCGCATCCCACCGTCTTTGAGCATCTTCTATCAATTTAAAAAATAAATACCTTTGGAATGGGTCAAACCTCAAACTCTCATGAGACAAACAACTTAGTAGGGATTCACAGGAATGATTCCAGGGCAAAACAGAGGGGAAAATCTCTTTATTGAAATAAGAATGCAGAGCAAGTTAATTTACACGTCATATTACCAATATCCTATGAGCCGTCGAGAATTTACCTATAGGGTAAATACTGGTTCATTATATCAAGTCAATTTGCAAAATAGCAAAGCTAAGCATTATCTTTTCTTTAAAAAAAAAAATAATACCAAGAGGGAATCACTTTCTATTTTTAATTTAAAATAAAAAATAAAAGCTAAAAATAAAAAGCTAAAAAAAAAAAAAAAGAAATAAAAGCTAAAAGGACATGAGACTGTTTAGAAACTTTACCTCAGTGCCCCCGGAAGTGAAGATTATGTCTTGAGGTTTCCCGCCTATCATCTTCGCAAGGTTTTCCCGAGCTGCGTTGATGATATCCTTGGCCTTCCTACCTTGAGGGACCAAAATGGAAATTCAGTAACATTGCTTCACCAAGTGCAACCAACCCACATGTAAAGAATGACCGGACAGGAAGGAGCGAGACCGAGTGGACAATTCTAAGACGAAACCTGTCCCGTCAAGGAGAACACGACAAGATGGCACAACCTAGAGACCTCTTGGTGAAGGGGCAACAGTGAGATATTAGCAAATTAGCGAAAATGACTGAGATTTAAGTAACTTAGTGAGAGCCAGAAACGAGATACGGAAGGATGCCTGGGAACCCTAAAATTTCCTAAGACGTGCTTTCTTCTTACCGGATGCTACAGGAGAGGGAAGCTGCGGCCCTCTGCCTTGCTTCCCATTCATCAAGACAGGAGAAGGAAAGGATGGAGGAATTGGCTTAAGATCACGCTGCAAAACAACAAAAATAAGCAAAAATAGAGCTCATGACTCCTCAACACAACATCCAGTGCCGCATCTTGCATCACAGGTCCCCCTGGGGACACCAGAGACATTCCAGCCTCAGCGACAGATCTGCTTCCAAACAGGGCTACACAGCCCGGCCGCCACCCAGTTTCGCTGGCCGGTGGGAACCGAACTTCACATGGCAGAGGAACAAAGGCCCTGGGACGAGAATTCTGAAAAGTTCAGTGGCCATTCTTACTTATTCTATAGACTAGCAGTCTCCAAATGTTTTGACTCTTCAGTCCTATTTATAAAAAAAAAAATTTGACTGGGCACCACTCAAATAAATACATGTATATATTATAAAACATACATAAAAACAGGAATGTAAAAAGAAATATACAAAGTAATTTGCACACTCCTTCAGACTTGCACAGATTTTAATTTTAAGCAGCGAAGGTCTATGGTGTTCAGGAAAACCTGGTCCTTTCAATGAGGGATATACTCAAAGTCCGTGATAACTGTCAGTCAGCTCAGGCAGGACGCTGCCTGGCACACACTGTTAGTTTCTCTTGGAATGTCGCTCGAATCCCGACCATCAGCTACACTCCTGCTCCTCCTCTAAGATGCTGTGGAGATGCCCCTTGGAGACGCCCCGGGGCTGACCCCGAAGCGGCGCCTCCTTCCGCGCTCATTCCCCCTCCTCCCGGGGCAATCGCTGTTGCCAGTCTGGCGGTGTACGGCGCTCCTGACCTTCTCCAAGGCACTTACACACCTCCATATAAGCCTTTTGCAGGGTTTTCTTTCTTCTTTTCAAAAAGAGGTTTCATAATTTACATATTGCTTTGCAAAAACTTCCGTTTTTCCACTTATCAACAAGTCTTGGAGACGCTTCTAAATAAGGACTCGTGGGGCTACCTCAGCACCACCATATACCAATGAGAAGGGCTAAAATGAGAGGACTGACCATTCTGAGCGCTCGGCAGGACCTGGAGGAGCTGTGACTCTCATACACGGCCAGCGGGAAGAGAGCATGGGACAACCACTTTGGAGAGAGGATGGCAGTTCCTTAAGAAGACAAATGCACACCCACCATAGGATCCAGCCACTCTGCTCCTAGGTACTTAAGGTAAACGCTACTTACTGAGAGAAAAGCAAACAGATGTCCAGGACTCATACACGAATATTCACAGCACTGTTATCTGTAATAGCCAAAAACTGGAAACAGCCCAAATGTCCACAAACAGACGAACGCGTGAACACACGGCCGTCCAGCCAGACAATAGAAAACTACTCAGCAGTAAAAAGAAATAGACTGTCGGTACACCCAGCAACGTGGATGAGCTCTGTCGACTGAAAGAAGCTGGACAAAAACCCTGTAAGATTCCATTTTCAGAAAAATATAGAAAATGCACACTAATCCACAGTGACAGAAAACATCTCACTGGTTGCCTGGGGGCGGGATTACGAAGCGGCACCAGGGGACTTTTGGGGGCGATGGAAACATTGACCATCTTGATGGTGGGGATGGCTTCACGGGTATGAACATGTGTCAAAAGTTATCAAATTGCACACTTCGACTCTGCAGTTTAGTGTGTGTTACTTATACTGCAGGAGAGCTGTCAAAGGAGGAGGGGCTCGCAGTGCACCGTCCCTCGGCACACTGAGCAGACATGGGAGACCACGGTACACGTTGGTGAACAACTGGAACCACGCCCCCTTTGAACAGAGAGGGCAACTGCCCGAAACAACCTCCTGGTTGCTCTTTTCATCTACTTAGAATTTATATTTTCAAAAGGCATCTAACGCCCCTTGAAACAGAAATGCATAATCAAGGAAACTGGAATATGAATGGCAATTAGATACTGTTATTAGATTAAGCTTCGATTTCTTGGGTGGGAACTATGGTTACTGTGGTTACACAGGAGACACAAGCTTACGTATCCAGCAGTGAAGCCTCATGCTATTTACAACTGGCAAAGTGTTGATAATTGCTGAATCCAGGTAAAGGAAATGCAGGTGTTCATTATACTTTATTTCAACTTTTCTGCAGATGTTACAGTTCCCAAAATCAAACTTTGGCAAAAAGTGTAATTAAACATAAAGGGCAGAGTTACAACAGAGCGGCAGCCAGGGATCACGCAGGCAAGCCAGCACAAGACGGTGACCGTAACTGAGCCTCAGCGAGAGCTCTGCACTCCTGCCGCTCAGAGGGAACGAGGAGTCGTAGGGCTGTGTGGGGCGCCCATCACCCACTCATTAAAGCAGGTCACCTTCACTTTGCTACTCCTCACGTCAAAGACCCCTGACCCTCTACCTCCCTCCAGTTACAGCCCGTTTCTTCTTTTCCTTTACGATCTCTGTTCCCTCTTGAACACACTGCAATCAGGCATTCAGGCCACCTGGCCCCTTATCTACTCTTACCAAGGTCCCCGTGTGGCGAAATTCGGGTCCTCACCTCCTCCCCCTGCCAGCAGCCCTGCCCTGGGCCCCACCTCCTCCCCTGCTGGTGAGGCTCCAGTCCCAGGCTGAGATAGCCGAGGCCTGGCCGGCTCCTCAGGCTCCTCCCTCCGTCAGCAACTCAAGACTCTGAGCACCAGTTGGATGTTGATGACTGACTCCCAAACTTCCACCCCAGACCTTGCTGCGGGCTCCACTCCCTCCACCTGGATCCCCAACAGACATCTGAAACCACACGCGCTCAAAGCTGAATGCGCAACTTCTCCCCCAAACTTGTCTTTCCCATCTCAGCAAAGAAATGGCCACTCGACCCTTCGAGGGGCCCAGGCCGAAAGCCCTGGCTCTTGCCTTTCTCGTCCCCTGTTATCTAATCCATCAGCAAATCCTGTAGGCTCTGCTATCAAAAATACCCAGAGCCCACCCCACTTCTCCACCGCCCCACTGCCCCAGCAAGTCAAGGCCACTGCTGAAATATTCTCCTAGGAGGTCCCCCAACTCCACTGACCCCACTGGGTTCATCCTCCACGTAGCGGCCAAACAAATGCCTCCCGAACCCAGAATAGCGCTCGGTGCACAGTCGGCGCTCAGCCAGCTCTGGTTCCATCAGCTGTTCTCAAAGTGTGTCTGAGGAACTCTGGGGGTCCTCAAGGCACGTTCATGAGGCTCACAAAGTCAAAACTATTTTCCTAATGATACTAAGACGTCATCTGCCTTTTTTCCACTCACTTTCTCTCATGCATAGAGAGAAGCCTTGCAGAGGTTACACGATGGGAGCACGGCGACAGAATGGACACGGGAGCACGACGGGGCTGCACCGCGTTCTCCTCAGCCAGACGTTAAACAGACTTTCAGACACGTGCAACAATGCCATGCTGCTCATGAAACTTGCTCTGTTTTGGAAAAGAGAGTCTGTTTTCTGTAAAAAAGGTTAACGTGTAATGAATTCATTATTGCCATTTTTAATGAACTAATAAACACATATTTACTTAAAGTTTCTCAGTTTTCATTTCTAACATGGCAAGTGTCTGTGCGCACGGCACGCACACACCATAGCTCTTTGGAGTCCTTGTTAAGTCTTAAGGGTGTAAAGGGGTCGTGAGATGGAAAGGTTTGAGGACTGCTGTGTTAATCACGTCACTCCCCTGCTCGGAATCCTCCAGACATGCTCCAGCTCAGTTAGATGAAAGCTGGGCCCTCACAGTGGCCTCCACAGACCCAGACGGCACTGCCCCCAAACCTCCCGGACCCCAATGCCCAGCCCACCAGAACTCCCTCATCACCGGCACACTCCCTCTGCCTGCAGTGCTCCCCCGGATGCCCCTCTCTCATCTCTATGCAAACACCCCGTCATCAGAGATCTGGATCATTCTGTACAAAGGCAGCCGCCCCACAACCCCAAGCACTGCCCAGTCCTTCATCCTGCTGGATAGTTCCCCACAGGACCCTTTCCACTAACACGGTTGTGTTTGTTGATCTGTTCACTGTCTGCCCCCCTCCCTCCCCCTCCCAGAAGAACAGAAGCCCCCTAAAGGCAGGAGGTCGGTTTTGTTCGAGGTTCTCTCCACCAGGCTCAGAGTAAGCACCTTAGCATGGTGCATGAATGGCTAAGGTGGAACACTCACAGAAGTCTGGTTTTCCATGTCATTAAAAAGGACTCAAGTCCTTGGAGGTGAGTGCAAGTCTCATTACGTCACAGACCCTCCAACCTGAGGCAGGGCGGCCTTGAGCATCAGAAGATGCTATGGGCACAGGAGCTGGGGAAGCGCTGACTGCAGTCAGAGGGGCTACGGTGGGAAAGGCCAGAACCCAGAGCTAACAGAGCTGGTTCCACGGGAGGACCAGCGCATGACACTGAATGCTGCTGACCGCTCTGAGAGTGGGCACCCTCAGCTGCAAACCTGGAACCCTAATCCGTGCCACCTCACAGGCCACCACTAACAAAAGTGGGGTGCATGCGGAAACCCCATGCATCTAACTCACCATACAAACTTAACACCTGTCCGTCATCTCACAAGCGAAGGGCACTCAAAGTGACTGAGACGGGGCAGCTGGAGCACACCATACTGAAGCGTCTGCTTGCCATCACTTCAGTGTAAGAACAGACTTGAAGAGACGTCTCCCTAAACCTGGGCCTTAGTAAACTTTTACTTTTATTACACTACGCATGCCGACTGTAGAAAAATTTAAATCTAGAAAACAAAAAGAAAATACCCCAAATGTCCCACAAGCCCCCTACTCAAATACAACTGTGGTGGAAGTATTTGGTGTACCTCACATCCATGCTGGGCTCCGGTTGTCCTCTCTGCCACTCTCCCCTCCTACCACAGTGACACTGTCAGCTGGCTTATGGCTGAATTAAGGCCGCATTTAGATTACAAAACTCTTAGATTAATTAAGAATTAAGACTTCATCTCCCAACTTCCATTGCAATTGGCATGCCAACTTGTGGCCATAGGACCACCAACCTCTGGCAATGGTTCTAAGCCAGAGTGGTACCTACAACTTCCACAAGTGTCTCTGAAGGACTCAGGCACCTGTTTCTCCTCCTCTTTCTCCTTCCCACAGGCTGGACTGCTGACATGATGGCTTGAGCTGGAGCAGCCATCTTGACCACAGAGGGGAAGAAGAAAAAGACAGATGGAGCTGGGGTCCTTAGTCATCGCTGAGTGACCACGTGGGCCCTGGACTGCAAGAGAAATAAACTTCAAGCTGTTTAAGCTACTGCTATTGGGGTTTCTGTCTCTCACAGCAAAACTATACGATACATTTTCCACACTTGCTCAGACAAAACTTTTTCCTTGGGGGGTGGGTAGGGGAAAATAATGAAATCATACCGCGCGTCCTGTTTTATATCACGCCTTTTCCATTTGAACCAGATGCCACTACTCTCCTTCTAGGCCATTGACACACTCCACACTGTCACTTCAACAGGGTCCAGAACTCCATCCCAGGGCCTCAGCACATTTCATGCGATCAGTGCTCGACTCATGGACACTGAGGTTCTTTCCAGCTTTTTACTATTACAGGCAAGGCTATGATAACCTCTTCCCACCCAGCCCTAAGACCTCCTGTAAAATGAATTCTCCCCAAAGAAATGGTTATCATTCTTAAATCATAATATTGTGAAAATAATTACACCATTCTATTGTAAAGGTGATTTTCTTTCTTTTCTTTTTGCATTTCTACCTGAGAATCAACAGAAAGTGACTGCAATGCATTCTTTAGTTACGGTTCTTAATGTGTCAAAACAAAGGCTGTCAAGGCCACTGAAAAGACACTGACAGACTTTGTCTGGTCAAGAACATTAGTTTTCCCTGAGGGTTATTCCTAAACTTCTTTATGATAAATGCTTTTTATTCGCATTTCATTGTTCTCCATATTCTCAAGCTTAATGCCTCAGAAAGTTAAATTTTTCTAGAGGAAAGATTACACACAGGCAAGGTCCAGGTTAGCCAGAATACAGGTTCCAAGTAAACCGGCAGAGAAGTTAATGAGTGACTAGCACCTGACTTTGAAACAGTGTTTAGTTCTCAAGTTGTGAAGCTTTTAATAAGCAAACAGATATGAAAACCCAGGAAACTCATAAAGTTGTACATGGCTATTACTAAATGCCAGGGCCTGGCAGTAGATGAAAGTTACTTCAGTTCAGCATAATCCACAGTTAAGATAGTTTGTCTTAATTATCCCTGATAAACAAGAAAGGTATAATTTTAGCTCACTGTGGGAAAAACACAATGTAACTTTGCCACATAACTAGTGATTTGACACAAATTATTCTCCAAAATCTCCAATGTAATGCAATACATTAAAACAAGAAGAAATGAAAAACAAATGGGAATATTTATAATCATAATGAAAGTAAAGAACTTAAAAGTAATTTTTGCTAAAAAAAAAAAGGAAAGGCCAGGATTATATGTGATCCTGATGATTTAAAAGATCAATTTTGCAAATTTTGTAAGGATCGACCGAGACAGACACATGAAAGGATTTTAGTAGGTACTGTCATTACAAATAACTCCAAAGACGACATCTTTTTCACCTGGGAAAGGGCGACAGGAGAGTCTGTCAAAGAGGAAAGATCATGGTATCAACGGGGCTCAATGTACAAATTTGGACTTCTCAGAAAAAAACTACCAAAAGTTACGGCTAAAGATTTGCAGTTAACAGCAAATCTGTTCAAAACCAAGCGACCGCATGTGGTGTGCAGTTCCCTAAGAGGGCCTCTGCCCCCCACATCTCCCATCGTGCGCATCTTCTAGAATTACCTGCTGGGTAAGCACTGCTGGGATTTCCCCAGGCTTCCCGCATGGCCTCGGTCACAGCCTGGATGACTTCTGGTTCCAGGGGGGTGGTGGCATTATAGTCCATGTAAACTTGCCTGCTGGAAAGACAACAAAGGAGATGGAACATGGAACCACGGCTGCCCTACGTCTATCCCATCTATAGGAGCAAACACCGTCAAGGGCAGTACGCTCCTCCGCATAGACACTGCGCAGGCTCCACAAACTGCACTTGGAAATGTCCAAATCTTCATTACTGATGGAAAACGTATGCAGAGTTTCCAATAGTCTAGTATTTGCTAGTTTCCTTTACAACTGATAAGAGACGATCCACTTAGACTTTAGATTAGGCCTTGGTGTGATCTGGGCACGTCCCCCCACCCCTTCTCCCCTTGCACTTTCGGTTTGCTTTGCCTAGAATGACCACGCCCCTTGCCCCCACCTTCCTTTTTAGGTCTCTGCTCCAACTTGACATCTTCTGGGGCTCCCTGTGGCTCTAAAGAAAATTGCAGCCACACGTCCCTCCTTGCCTGAGCTCCGTGCCCCCTCTCCGTCCTCCATTTCTTGGGGGCACTCTTCATCATCTGACACTCTAGACTTGTTCCTCGTTCATTGTCTGCCTCAGTAGAAGGTGACGGGCTCAGTCAGTTTTCCTCTCTGTTCTGTGGCCAACACAGAACAACGGCTGGCACACAGCAGGGGCTCCACTTACCAGGTGACAAAGTGAACAGCGCAGAACACGCACATTCCCTGAAAGGGCCCGCATACGTATCTGCACCTCTTTTTACCCTCATCAGAAACCTTCAGAAACTTTCAGAAATGTATATAGTAGTAATCCTACCTGATACTATTATTTTATCTGACTTTAAAATCAACAACAGTGCTTAAACCAGTCCACAAGAAAATTCAAACACAATTAGCAACCATGGCCGTTAAAATAGAGGTTTTTTTTAAAACCATGGAGGGTTTTAATGCAGCACCTTGTCTATGAGCTGTCCAAGGTCACCTGACAGGTTCAAGGCTTTGGGGCTTTGGGAAGTTTGACCAGCCCTGCTTGGCCACTCCGTGGTAGGAATCTCCGGGTCCTGCTGTGACCTAAACCGGCATGTGCCCCTAACTCTGCTCTCACTTCCTATAAGTAAGTGTCGCAAAGTTCCTCAGGCTACCCGTGTCTGCTGAGTGACTACAGGTTTTCAATCTGCTGTGTGGCTAAGCTACTTTGCGGCTTGAATTTCAGGTTAGCGTTTTATAGATTACTCTGCTCCAGGATTTGCTGCTTCCTTGAAGTGCTAAGAACATGGGATGGGAAAGCTAAACTCTATTAGGTTCAGAACGAAAAAATAAGAAGCCACGGTGAATCTCCTCTCCACTCAGTCTCCCTAGGGGACATTTTCCCAGCTCCCTTCGCTTCATCGCAACCAAAGCAGAAAGTCTAATGAAAGGAACGGTCGGATTTAGGCCTGGACTGAAATTTTAAAGACACACACACATTCCTCATATTCACGTAGAGAGGATTATTCTTTCCCCACTCGCCAAAAGTTCTGAACACATTCCTGGACTGGAGGAACAAGACTCAAAACAAGAAAATGCACACCCCTCCCCTCCAGGGGAAGTCGTTCCAGGAGGCTGAAGAAGCAGTGTGGACCGGAAGGGCCTCCCTGTCGTTATCCCCACTCTCCCAGCTGCTCAGGCCAGTAGCCTGGGAGGCATCCTCCTCAATCCCACCTTTCCCCTACACCAGTGCCACCACTGCCACACTCGGGGCCACAACACCTCTCCCTCCTAGATTATTACACAAGATTCCAACTGGTTTCCCCGTTTCCTCCCCTGTCCCACACCCTACCCCGTCCCTACTCTCTACAAAGCAGCCAGGATTCCTTATAATTAAATTACATCACTGCCCTGCTCAAACTTCCAAGATCCCCAACCCCCTTAGAATACACCCCAAAGTCCTCCCTGGGCTGTGGCTCTGCTCGCTGACAGCTGCTCCGACAAGGCCCTCCTCCCAGCCACGCGCGCTCCGCAGGCTCCTTTCCGCCCTCCGGCCTTTGCAGCCGCTGTTCCCTCTTCCCGGCGTGCCCTTCCCCAGAACTTGTGCGGCTGACTCCTGGATGTCACTCCTGGATGCCTCGCATCCGCTCGTCCTCCCAGCTCGCACCCCTGATTTAGGCCTCCCTCGCGGCCAGCCGACCAGCGCTGCATCCCCGCGTGGGAGCCCATGCCCCCGAGCGACCACCGGCCGGCCGCGCCCTCTCCCAGAGAGTGACCACCCGCCAGCTACCCGCTCTGACCTCCCCGGGCAGGGCACCCCGACCTCGGCTCGCGGCGTCCGGAGGGCTTCCCGGAGAAGGGCGCCGGCGGCTGTCCCCGCCTTCCCCTCCAGGCGCGTACCTCTCTGGCGGGCTCTTCTCTCCGCGGCCGCCGGGCGGACTCGCCGCGCGCACCCGCACGTCCCTGTTCGGCGCAGCGACCGCCTCCATCCCGGCCCCACCGCGGCCCAGCTCCCACCCAACCGCCCCCGGCGCTGCCCCAACCAGCGGAGCGGGTCAAGCCCGGGAGCGCCACCGGGAGCGCGGCGGAAGGAGGCGGGGCCGAAGGGTCTGGAGCGTGTCCGGATTGGCTGAGCTGCGCAGTCCCGGCCAATCCCTGCGCTTCAGCGGGCCGCGGGCTCCCGGGGGAGGGGGGAAGAGGGGCTCCCAGCGCTGGGACACGGTGGAATGCTGATTGGCTGCGCGGGGTCAGGTGACGGACTAGGGGCGGGGCTCAGGGCGCGTCACAGGGGGCGTGGTCACGGCGGCGGAGCGCAGGCAGGAGGCGCCGGCCCAGAGGTAGACAGGTGGTGGCGGGGACTCGGGGGTGGCCGGGCCGGGCCGGGGCGTTTCCCGGGCTCCTCAGCTCCGCGGGCCCCTGGGCAGTCAGCGGGAAGGCGGCGCCCGTGAGCAAGCGGACCACAGCTCTGCGTCACCGCAGTCCCTGGGGCTCGTGAGACATCCGACCCTGGAGTCGGGGGGCGGCTCTGGGAGTGCGTGATCGATCGTCTCCTGGGTGACGCTGAAATTAGGAATCCTTTATCGAGGATGGATTGAGGGGTCTGGAGTAGAGGTCGCGAGGCCGGCTGCAGGCTGTTACAATAGCCAAGGCAGGAGATGGGGAACACTAAGCAGTGGGCGTAGAAACGCAGCAAAGGTGGGTTCAGATAGGTTTAGGGTGAAAATAGGCAGGAATGGGGACAGCTGAATGCGGGGCATGTGGGAGAGTGGGGACGCAAGGATTAACGAAGGGACTTAGGATGTTAGTGCCTCTACCCTGATAGGAAGGAACAGGAGGGGAAAGTGATGGGTGAGATGTGGACGCGGTGAGCTGTTTGTGACAGTCTAGTGGGAGCGTCTGCCATGCGTGTATCCCTTCGGCCGTGACGGAAGTCAGTTGTGAAGGTGGTGAGAGAGGGCGGAGATCCAGATTCCTGAATTCTGATGAAGCCATCGACCTGGCACAATATTGAGCCCTGAGGACATGCCAGGCACTGTTCTAAACACCTTTCATGGATTCATGAATTTAATCCTCATAACACCCTTATCCAGTGGGTACTGTTATCCTCATTTTATATATGAGGAAATCAAGGTACAAGAAAGTTCAGCATCTTGCCCAAGGTCACTCGGGTAGCGATGGAGCCAGAATTTGAATGCAGGGATGGTTTGCCAAGAAGTTGACTTTTCGTAGACTTTCTCAATTTTCTCTCCTGTTGGGGGTCCAGAAGAAGTCCTCTTTTTCAGCATTGCAAGTCTCCACGTATCCAGATTCTTGATTTCCTTTCGTTCTTGCTTGCAAACAGCTCATTTCTTGCCACATGCAGCCAACAGCAAAGGACACACCAAAATTTAAGAAGCAAATTGATACAAAGGAACACAAGGACAGACAACAGGAGAGGAAAGGAAAGGGAATTAGGGAAGAATGTCAAAGTCAGATGACAGCGTAAAGTGCAACTGAGAGGTAATCTGGAAGTGCCCATCGTATGTTACAATTGGGAGGCACTGATGAATTTAGCAAGAGAAATTTCAGTGGAGCAGTCAGGGTATGTTTGTGAAACTGAGGGTGCAAAGAGTTGAGGAACGAACGGGACATGAAAGAGTTGGGAATGTTGTCAGCTCTTCAAAAAGTTGAGAAAAGAAGGAGCTGAAAAGGGGTACAAGATCAAGGGGAAATATTTTAGAGACAGAATCTGTTTCTAGGCTGAAGAAGGTAGCTAACAAGGAAACAAGGTAAAAGAGAAAGAAGAGCCAAAGTCCTGGAGGTGGTGAGTGAGCAGATGATTAAGCAAAGGCAGCGTAGGGGGCGGGAGGGTGGGGTGAATTGAAAGGTAGGGGCAGGTTTCATCCTCTAAATCTCTAGGGAAGGCTGTGAGGCTGGGAGCTGGAGGTGGCCAGGGGCCACCGACAAGGTGATTCATCTCAAGCATTCCTTGGACTAGTTAGGCAGCAGTTAGAGTGTTTGTGTTTCCCGGCGCATACTGTGAGTAGAGTCAGAGAGACAAGATGGCGCCCCACACGGCTGGTGATACCCAGAAAGAACAGAGTGCCCACGGACAGAGGACCAGGTGCTGGGTTGGCCATTTTGCCTCTCCTCCGCTCTTAGAAACAGCAGTGTATGGTGCAGCTTGCAGGAGCAGCCAACAGGATTCCAAGTGGGCTGGTCAAACAGATGCAACAGGTGACCTAACAGGATGTGATAATTAGACCAAACATTTGAGGAATGCTATCTCCATGAAAGTGAGAGTAAATTCAACACACAGACTCATACCTAAGGAAAAAAGGTAATAGAGCTATCTATCATCATTGTAAAGTTTACCCTTTTGGGTGCTGAGATCATTGTAGATTTACATCTGGCTGTAATAAATGATAGGAGGGCCTTTATCCAGTTTTCCACAGTGGTAACATCTTCTAAAACTATAGTAATCCACTCTGCCAATCTTTGTCCTTTGGTATGTTAGACCATTTACACATAATTATTGTTAGCTCTGAAATCTACCATCTTATTATTTGTTTCATCTGGTTCTAAACCCTGTTTCTCTTTACTTGCCTTCTTGTGGGTTATTCAAACATTTTTTAGTATTCTATCTTGATTTCTCAAATCGTGTTTAAAAACAGATAAAATTCACATACCATGAAATTCACCCTTTTAAAATGTAAAAGTTAATATATTCACAAGGCTGTGTTACCAAAGCAGGTTCCTTTTCCCCACTGCGTGATTAGGCCAATCACTGAGACGATGAGTTTGCAGCAGAGAAAGAGTTTATTCACAAGGCAGGCAAGCAAGGAGATGGGAGAACAAATCAAATCTGCCTCCCCAAAAATGGAGACTAGAGATATTTATGAGGTAGAGGGGCGGGGCGGTCTGAAGTGTGGGACCAGATGATTGGAGGTAAGGAGGGGGGAGGTATTTGATGATCTGTGCATGCACAGTCAAGCTTTATGGCTCTTCATAGGACACATGTTCACAAAATGGCAGTGTTACCATGATCTAAGGGTGGAGTTTTAGGCTCCTTGATGTCAAAGGGTCACCTATTATTGGTCATCCAAGCAAGCCTAGTTGATAAGTCGGTGGTTTTAACCAGCCTGAACTGGACAAGGAGTCAACTCTCAGTTACTGAAAAACTTAAGTGCCTGTGACCATGGAGGCATGGTGACCCAAACATCAGAGATGTTATCTACAGGGTGGGTTTTAGTAATGTGTTATTTAACTACTTTTTCACACAACTGAGTATAGTTAAAGCAAATTGGCCCCTGGTTTCAGTTGTGCGACCATCACCCCTGTCTAATTCCAGAACATTTTTATCACCCCCCAAAAAACACTCCTTATGAGCATTCAGTTCCCATTCCGTCTTCCCCAGCAACAACTAAGATACTGTCTATCTCTACAGTTTGCCTTTTCTGGGCATTTCATATAAATCAAATTATACACCATGTGGCGTTTTGCATCTGGCTTCTTTCAGTTAGGATAATGTTTTCAGGGTTCATCCAGGTTGTACCAAGTATCAATAATTTATTTTTATTAATGGTTACTATTCCCTTGCCTGGCTGTACATCTCGTTTTTCCATTCATCATTTGATGAACATTTGAGTTGTTTCCATTTTTTTACTGTTATGAACAATGCTGCCCTGAACATTCATGTACAAGTTTTTACATGGAGATGTTTTCATTTCTCTTGATTATATACTTAGAAGTGGAATTGCTGGGTAATATGGTAACTTTATGTTTAACTTGTTGAAGAACTTCCAAAATGTTTTCAAAAGCAGCTGCACTGTTTCACATTCCCACCAGCAATGGATGAGGATTCTAATTTCTCAACATCCTCAGCAACATTTGCTATCATCTATCTGTCTTTTATTTTAGCCATCCGAGTCTGTGTGCAGTAGTCTTCATTTGCATTTCCCTGATGACTAATTGTGATGTTGTGATTTATAATAAGAAATGTATATTTCATCTTTGTCCCTGTTCCTGGCACAGCACTCCTAAAACCCTTGGAACTTCCTACTTGATAAGAGTGATAAAGGTGAAAGGAACATCTTTTGTTATTCATAACAAGTCCTTTTCAACCACACTCCAGCTTGCCCCTAGGGATGGGGGGCCAGTTTCAGGGGAACCAACCATACGATTAGAGGGTTGGAACTTTCGGCTCTACCCCTCCCCTGCCCCTGACCTCTGAGGAAGGGACAGAGGCTAGACGTCTAGTTTAATCATGAGTGGCCACTGATTTAATCAATCACACCTACATAATGAAGCCTCCATAAAAACGCTAACTGAAGGGGTTTAGAGAGAGCTTCCAGGTTGGTGAACACATGAGGTGCGGGGAGGGTGGCGCACCTGGACACAGCATGGAAGCTCCGTGCCCCTCCCCCTTACCTTGCCTTATGCATCTCTTCCATCTGACTGTTCCTGAGTCATATCATTTTGTAATAAACTTGTAATCTAGTAAGAAAACTGTTTTCCTGGGTTCTGTGAGCTTTCTAGGAAATTACCGCACCCAAAGATGGGGTCATGGGAGCCCCTGATATATATTCAGTCAGTCAATCAGAAGTCCCAGAGGCCTGGACTTGTGATTGGCATCTGCAGTGGGGGGCAGTCTTGTAGGACTGAGCCCTTAACCTGTGGGATCTGATGCTAACTGCAGTTAGATGGTGTCAGAATTGGATTGAATTGTAGGGACACCCAGCTGCTGTCAGAATTAGTCTACGTGGGGAAAAAAAGCCCACACATCTGGTGTCAGAAGTGAGTAGTAAGTGGAGAGGAAGTTTTCCTGTCACTAATGATGTTGAACATTCATGTGCTTACTGGCCATTTGTAGATATGCTTTGGAGAAATGTCTATTCAAATCCTTTATCCATTTTTTAATTGGGTTATTTATCTCTTAATTGTTGAGTTGTAAGAATTCTTTATATATTCTGGATACTGGACTTTTATCAGAGGTGTTCGGCAAATATTTCCTCCCATTCTGTGAGCTGTCTTTTTGCTTTCTTGGTGATGTTCTTTGAGGCATAAAATTTTAAATTCTGGTCAAGCCCAAGTTATCTTTCTTTTGTCATTTATGTTTTGGTGTTACATCT